AGAATGTTTAAAATTTATCTTATTGTACGTTTAAAAAAATTTAGTAATCAGTTTTATTATTCAACTCATCTGTACTAAATATTCTTTGTTTCTCGTAAATTCGTAAGTTTAAACTCGTAGCGTTATTGATTATAAATTTAATAAGATAACAATATTTCTTTGTCAAAAATCAATTTAATATTTTCTTAACGAAGATATTAAGCGGTAATTATAAGTATCTTTTGAGTTATCAATTTAATAATTAAGAAAAGTAATTTTCTATCAAACTAATACAAATATATGTCAAAATTCCGTTTTCCAACTTTGAATGAATTTTAATAATGCATTGCATTTTAATAATATATTGTTTCGAGATATAATTTTGAAATTATTTAATTATTTAATAAGATACTTTCCCCAAAAAATTTTACAAAAAAATCTCTTCCAATCAGATTATAGAGAAAACGCTATTTTAATCTTCAATAGGAAATATTGCACTGATTGCTAAACATGCTTACTGTCAAACACCTTGCATATATAACTGAAATTTGCAATCAAAAGTTTCGTAACTTTACTATTGCAACGACGATATGCATGTTCCTCGATAAGAATGCACGCCGTTCGCGTCTCTTTCGTAAAAAATTGGCGACCAGACACGTTTCGCTGATCGATTTTTATCAGCTTCTCGTACTTCGCAAACTGGAATGTATGTTAATCGACTGTCCCAGGCATGATGCAATGTAACACTTTCTCTGCAGTCTGGTGCAGCGGTTTTGGCGACGCCTGCCTAATGTGGTTTATGCGTCCGATAATCATATTATGGTTATCTACAATCGATTATTCCAACCATGTAAAACCTAACCGAAAATACATCACGGGAAAAAGAAAAAAATGTAAATATAATAAAAATTTAAATGTAACAAAAGTATTTTTAATTTATTACAAAACTTGATATAATGTGTAATATATATTACATATTTATAATTTGATATAAGAATGATATATGTATTTAATGCAGGCAATAAGAAACTTATAATGATAAAATAATCTCTTGTATGGATTTAGTAATTTAATTCATTTGTGCATCATATTTCATATCATACTTTTGGATATTAATGGAAAATAACAGTACGATGTGTTTTAATTATACAATGAATATATCGTGTTTAATAGCAAGATGATATTTTAAGATGATATGTTCATTTACACTGAAGAATGCACATCTAGAGTATGTTTTATCAGATAATTATGAAGGATATCATGTAAGGCTTAATTATCTGATTTCTTGGCTACGTAGTAGAATTAGCTCTATGAAGAATAATTATCTCGTGTTAAACTCACATTAAAAAAAATCCGATAATCGTGTAACGTATACCACAGCGAACATTTTTTCGGTCAAAAAAGTCTAATATGAACTTTATAAGGTTATTCGCAGAATTTATCGATATAATCTAATAATGTGTGTGAGGCACTGAATAATAATAAAAAGCATCGCCTGCTAAGAATATTTATTATGATTAAATTCATATTCAATTTATTACTTCTATCTTTAATTTAATTTAAAATGTACAGAAAGACTTAGGCTAGTTTGCATTTGCGAATTTTTCAATAAATTTGCAATTAATTCCGCTTAAAATCATCCATAATTGCAAATTTAAAATAGTCAACATTAAATACATTTTTGTAGTTTTATATATTGTTATAATCTTCATGAATTATAAATTATTATTAAATTATTTATTATTAAAAAGAGATGAAATTTCGATTTCAAGATCAAATCGAAATTAACTTTACAATTTGTCTGCAGCTTTAAGAAATTTAATTTCGGAAAAATTTTTATTTTTTAATTTTAATTTTTAAAAATCATGAATGTATCATTATATATACAAAAAATTTATTGTATTGTTAGAGTCAAAGAATTCATAAATAAATTCCAAGACACTCTTTATTTTGCAACCATAGCGAAAATAGATTCTGCGATGATTACAAAGAAAAAGAACCGATTCAAATTGCGAGTCAAAAGAAGTGCTTCGTAGCAGAATTAAATATTATATTCCCACATTTTCCTTGTTACTATATATACTGAATGAGATAAATACGTTGCAGGGAGAAAATTAGCCGCTTGACAAATGATTGTCATGCGGCTTACTTTTGTCATTACATTTGCCAAGATAAAGAAGATAAGAATAAATGCGCACCTAAGTTTACAATCTGACTTTCAATTAGTATCGCTGCGCGAATAAAAACGTATATCTTACATGTAAAGTAATGTGTCGTAAAATGCATGTTTATAGAATTAATTTTTGACGCTATTTTCTAATTATTGATATTAAAAAAATCAAGCGGTACATTAAAAAATCTGACATTAAAAACTACTAACCGGATTAATGCAATGCTAATGCCATGTGTACACATATTTATTAATAGTGACGTACTCATGTATGTGTTATTTCAAGTAAATATATTAATGATATTACATTAATTAGTACCAGTCATGTGTACGTGTAGGCCTTAATTATATTACTGCAAAATAGCATCAATACATATGATTAATTCAATTATTGTATTAATTATTATACCAGTTAATTTTAGTTCGTGTGTTTTCTTAATGCTCCGTTAATATTACATACATGTATGCCAATATGTATGTGTGTGTGTGTGTATATATATATATATATTAAAATTATATACTAAATATTAAAATAAAAACTATAATAAAAATAAAGTTATATATTAAATATTAAAATAAAACAAGAAATATTAAAATAAAAACTATTATATATTAAAATTAAAATTAAACAAAGAAAGTTTTGTTATCTATTTTCACCGTTAAAATCAAGAGTGATTTCCCATAAATTGAATAAACACAGCTTGAAATTTAAATCATATTTAAGGCGTTTTTTGCATTTTCTATAAGTTTGCATTTTTTTCGCATACTCCAACTCTCATTTTTCATATTTCTCATCATATATTCTATATTAAAATTTTATTACAATATATATACATATATATATATGTGTGTGTGTGTGTGTGTGTGTGTGTGCTTAATCTTAATATTATCCCCAAACAATATAAATTCCTTGTTGTCGCTATTATACTATCTCGATCGCTCACTCGCGTTCCGCGCTTCGAGAAGTCCATCCAATCGTCGCTCGCCGACAATTACCGCCAATAATAAACGGCCGTTAGAGAAAAGCCTCCATTCATGAGACGGTAACTCGAGCCGACGTCCGCGAATCGGTCAATTAACCACCGATCGGGGCCAGGTCCGCGGGTGACCCGTGGGCCATGTGACTAGTGAGCACGCGCACTGCGACGCACGTGAGCGCGTTCTCGGCGGGCCGCTCGGCACGTGCGCCTCTCCCTCAGTATCGTTCGCGCGACCGATAAGTGACTTGCCTGGGCTCACGTGTACCGTGAAACGAAGGAAGAAAGGAAGACGAGAGGAAGAGACAGATCGGTGAGTGCCCCGATTAATTGATCGCGCGATTCGACGAACTGAGAGAGAACATTATATTCCGCTGTTACATTATCTACGAAAGCCGATACGTATATTGATATCGCGATGACCACGTGCGCTTGAAACGCACATCGCGCTCTTTGAGGATGCTAACGGTATTTCGTGAAGCGACGCGAGAAATACAGTTCGCGGGAAACGTAAGCACGTGAATAGCGAGATTCTTTTTCTCTCTCGTTCGTAAGAAATGTCAAAAAGTAGTCGCAGTTGATTCCTTATCTTCCTAGTTTCGAACATTAAGAAGATAGTCGTTACAAATTAAGCCGACCTCTAATCACGTTGGAATGAACTGATGAGTCATGGCCGTTAACTTTCGAAAATACATGCGGAAAAATAAATACACGCATGTTTTGGAAAGTTTTAGAATCTACATTAATATGATTAATAAAGGTATTCGTATCTCGTGCATAGATACAGTAGTCTTCTAATCTAATTTTTATCTTTTGTTTGAAAGAAGGAAGAGGAAGTATAAATCTTTTTATCTGCAACATGTGTATCAGAATGTCTAGAGACAAATTTCCATTGATTGATAACATGAGATCTATAATATCTAATTATTCATTTTTTACACGATTTAAGTAAACAATATTTTATCGTTCATAAAATATATATATCTCGAGTGATTAGATATCTTATTACTAGATCATAGATCTCGCGGAAAAATGCGCGAAAATTATACGTAGTGTGATCGTGATAAGATAGAATAGATGTCTTAAAAAATTGTAGTGAATCATATACACGATTTTAATTCCAATAAATAAAATTTTATTTAAAGTCAATTTTCATGCGAGCTGAATCTAGAAATATCTCCCTCTTATTTATATAGATTTAACCTTCGGCTGTTTGTCGAATCAATAGTGGTGAAATGATATATCGAAAGATCTCTAACAAACACTAAATACAATAACAGTTAGGCTTTGTTCGGTATGTTTCTGCGACCTTTCGTGTGTTCGATCGACGACTTTGTATATACTGATGTTAGCGGACTTTTTTACGTGACATTCTTCTTCTTTAAATCTTCATATTTTTTAACATTAAATATCTTAATAAATAAATAACATTAAAATCCTGGTCAAGCAAAATGTGTGCGTCAACTTCAATAATGAATACGTCCGCAATTTACGAAATATAATTTATTATTCCCCACTTTTGATATACATTTTTTTAAATAAAATCGATTTAAAAATTTCAAAGTTTATTAACTTCAAAATCCAAAGTCGAGTGTAACGCAGATTTCTAAACGCATTTATATAATTTATATAATTGCATTAATTAATTAAATTTATTCAACATGGAATGAATCGACTTGGAAAGTTGAGCGGATTGGAGCCTCGATAAAACATCTGGGACGCAACACGTTGCATTGCATCTCGTTATCAGCTAGTTGCAGATCGGTCTCTTACGCGTCCGCATGCGCGTGTTATCTCGTCTTTTGTCGGCACAACGAGGGGACGTCCACGTGGCCGCGGGAAGATCGTCGATTGTCATTCGCTCACGTGAAGAGACGCTCCGGACTTTCTCGGGGGACCATCTCTCCTCCGTCTATTTGTGTCTTGTGTCTCGTCGCGCGTGTCGCGATTTCTGCGACGTGTATCCACGGTATCTCGGATCTCGGCATCGCCGATTTTTAATCGCACGCTCTTGCGTGACGCGTCCCACCGACAGTGGGAGATCATTTCGCGGGTGATCATTTCGGCGAAGCAGAAGCGGAAAGCGCGTCGAGGATCCGGGTAGGAAACATCTCTTCTTTCTTCCTTTTTTTTTCCTTTCGCTTATGTCGCTTCCGTGCATCGTAAACGTGCGCGATCGTGTGTACAGAATGTCCGGAAACTATCATCGCTGGATCTTTACTCTTGTTAGCTACACGCACCTTCTCTCTCCTCTCCTCCTTTCCTCGCTATCTGAGAGAGGAATCTTTACTCTAATCGTGAAAGCGCACTGGCACGAGAAATATTTCGAGTCTTTTGGGCCGGGAATTTTTTTTAATTAAGATGATTGTGTTTTATTGAGGAGAATATTATTCTATCATCTTCTTTCCAGCTTTGTAATTTGTAATATCGGATAACGTGTATCGTAAGTTTCATTACAGATTCAAAATCGTTTTGGAGTTATTTATAAATGAAAGTTTTGTCATCGGTTTCTATCTATAATGTATTAATCCGCTTATGTAGAAATTATCGATTCTGAATTTGTATTGGAAAAAGATTGAGAGATTGTAGGTGAATGCATTAATTTTGACATTTCCCTTTACATATATCGGCAACCATATTGTCGCGTTTGTAATCATGCCTGTAATCTTTATATATAATAATAGAAAAGGAATTTCCACAGAACAAAATCCGGTGTATATTGATAATGATGACATCATTTCTATTCAGAGAGATCGTGGCGAACACGCATATATAAAGATATATACTTTGTCATATCTTAAAAACAACATGCATACATTTATAAATATCTCGCGATATCATACAAATAATTAAGCGAAATTAGAAAAGTTGAAGGAGGAATTTATTTTTTAATATAATATATTTTTTAATATAATTTTAGGAGGAGGAATTTACATAATTTTAGAAGGAGGAATTTATTTTTTAATATAATATATTTTTTAATATAATTTTAATATAATTTAATATAAAAATTCTTAATTTTCAAGAAAATTGGCTTTATATGATTGTGTTTACTTTAATTCACTTGTAAAAAAAGAAGCGATATTTTTTTATCATATATTTTATATACTTTTCCTTAACTGCGGTTCCGTGTTGTACGAATTTCAAGATTTATCGAGCGATTTCATAAGTTCTTATACGTGTCGCGAAAACTTGCGCAGCGATGTGATATTTTAGTGGACACGAGCCAAAACTTCGAATCGAGAAATATTCGTATCGTTGTAACGTTCGGTGACAAGAGAAATTCAAACGGTGTTTCAATATTATGTTCCTTTTCAATTAGGTGTTTACATTCTCGCAGAATCGACTGGAGCTCTCAAGGCCGGTCGTGATATAAAAACTATGTTATCTATCATGTCCAAATGAAAGTGACTTTATAAGAAGCTTTCTTGGAGAATCTAAATTTCTAAAATAATATTCGCGATTTTTGATAAATTTAGGAAAGAGTCACTGATCAAAAATTGTTGCATTAATTTTCAATCGCAAGAAAGATAAAATTAAAAAGTTTATAAAATGATCATTAAGATACAACAATATTAATTGTATTAATTATTTCGATGAAGAGTCTTATATTTTCAGAACAAAAAATGAAAGTTGACTTTATAAGCTTTCTTCGGGAATCTAAATTTCTAAAACAATGTTCGCGATTTTTGATAAATTTAGAAAAGAGTCTCTGAACGAGAATTATTGCATTAATTTTCAATCACAAGAAAGATAAAATTAAGAAGTACATAAAATGACTATTTAGATACAACAATATTAATTGTATTAATTATTTCGATGAAGAGTCTTATATTATCAGAGCAAAAAGTGCTTTTTTACTGTAGGATTTTTCGAAATACGTTAATAATGTGAAATAAATATTATATCACCTTGTCATACATAAAAGATTATCTTTGTTTTACCTATTTTATTAGATTAATTGATATAGAGAGAGGGGAATAAGAGATTCGTATGTAAATCTTTGCTCTTCGGGGCTTCCCGGAGACATAAAGATGACGTTGAGAAAAGAAGCAATCAGAGTGAGATAAGAATACGCAAACGTTTGCTTTTCAGGAAAGTAACTCCGTGAACGATGGTATCGTCGACGATGACGGAAGTAGATCCGATGAAAAAATCATGCGACGCGATGGGCATCGCACCGGGTGATTATTGCCTGGTCGGCTGGGACATGGATACCACCGGTAAGAAGGTCATTGACGAGATCTGCCAAATAGCCGGGTACACCTCCAACTCCACTTACTCCCAGTACGTGATGCCGTATAAGGATCTCAATCCGACCGCCATAAAGCGACACAGCATGAAGGTTGTGACCAATGGCAAATTCCGCGTTCTCAGGAATAGTAAGACCAACGAGGTACGTACCAAGGTCGTAATACTAAATACACATCGATACTCCTTCGTAAAAGGAAGACAGAATTTGTATCGAAGGCACAGATCTTTTGAAATAATACTTCATGAATTGGAAAATACAAAATTAATTTCTCTTCAACATATAAAAATTCTCATTAAATTCTCGTTAAATTCTCTTTGAATCCTAATTGATATTAATCATAATTTTATATAACAGCAAATGGGAGAAAAAAATTATTTCTAATCTTTTACGAAATTGTATTTGCTTTCAAAGAGATTTTTGACAAATGCCAAAAATTTCCTTATTATATATAAATTATTTTTTTACACAGGTGATTAAATCCAAAAGTGAAGTGTCCGCGCTGACGGATTTCTTGAGCTGGCTGGAGACTATGAAAGGAAATGCGGACGGTGTAATTTTAGTTTACCACGAGCCACGCAAGGTCATTCCTGCAATGTTACTCGAATCATTGAAGAAGTATGATTTTCTCGATCGGTTTAAGCAGACGGTCAAGGGATTCGCGAATGGCTTTAACATCGCTGAGGACAAATGTGCAAACATGGCACATATCTATTCTCTTCGCACTCTGTCACGCACACTGCTGCAGAAGGTGAGAAGAACGGATATATCTTGAGCAATATTTATTTTTTATTAAATTATATATTTTCATTATATATTTTCATAAAAAAAACTTGAATTTATGATAATAGATGTTCATGAATTAATAGCTGACATATTGTGCGTTATAAAAATGCTTCTAAAAATGTAGTAGCGTGATACAATTGTTATTATAATAATTGTCAAATATATCCAAAGGAAATGAATCTGGGAAATGCGCAAGATAGAGCATCACTGGCGTTGCAAATAGCGGAATATTTGTGTACGATTGAAAACATTAAGGTCGAGGGTGAGAGCAATACAAACAACGTAGACAATGATGCAGCTATGAAAAAAACGATCGAAATGATTCGAGAATTTGCGCAGCCCGTTGATATCGAGGAGAAAGAACACAACGGTATCTATCATTAAATTTAACTAACACGTATTTTCGAAAAAAGAATCTGGTGCAATTTTCATTTTAAAATTTAATTGTTTTGTTACTAATAATAAAAATATGTAATCTAATAGTAATATACAATATATAATTATTTATTATTAATTATTGATAAATTACTGCATTTTCTTTAAGAATTTTAATTTTGTTACAAAAATATCCACTAGATAAAACACAATTTTATCCCAAACTTTTCCAAAACTTTAAATTATAAATTCTTCAAATTTCGTCAAATTTGTAACCGGAAAATTAAGTTGACAGGTGTTCGAGATAAGAAATTGATGCAATGTATAACTTTTGTTGTAGAACTGAAAATGGTATTCGAGCGGCAGAACAACTTGCGGCCGATATTCAGCGCACTGTTCCGTATGAACCGCCGCGAACGTCAACACGCTAGTCCCCTCCGGCGATTGCTTGCCGAAGCCGGGATCGTGTACTCGGAGCTACAGGTGAGTGTGTCTGCATGATTAATTGCGTGCTAACAATCAGGGTTCGTTTACGCCGAGCAACATCAAACGGAAACATGTGTAATCCGATTTTTCTCAGTTTCTCTTATAAAACGTTTAATTTATTATCGAGTTATTATCTGGGATTTCTCTGTAAAAAGATTATATGACGCTTTTATCCTTATGAAAGATTCGATTTATAATCAAATAAGCAGTTTCTTCATCGACCATATCGATAGTTATAATCGAACATTGGAAATGCACGTTTCAGGATGCCTGGACCAACTCGAAGAAAGATGGATTGGAGCATTTGATGAAGGAGAAGTTGCCGAAGGTCGATGAGAAAAAACTGGAAGATCTCATGATTATCCTCGAGCGTCACTTCGACCCGGAGAAGAAGCCGAAGAGCAAAATGTCGGAGAAGAAGAGTATCAAAATTAAAAATGAAAAGAAGATAAGCGACGACAAGGAGAATAACAATAAGTGCGATTCGGGCCACGACAGTCCCGACACCACCACGTCCGGTTCTCCTGTCAAAATAAACAGCGACGAGATTAAAGCACAGGAGGATGTTTTAACGCAGGAGTGCGCCGAAGTCTAACGATGTTGACTTCTTTTACGCGCCGCAAAACAACAGTACAACATCGCGGCCATTATCTCTACTCGTTATTCGGATAAACGAGCGAACGTGGATTCTTTTTTGTTGCCATAAGTATCGATGACGAAAAACAATTGATAATTAACGCAAATGACGATTGCAGATTTTGCGTGTCGAGATAAAATGCAACTCGCGTTTAATCGGACTTACTGCATTAAAAGCGTGCTGTGTTTCAGACAATCATTAGAACCATTTATAACAACCATTGAATTTATGTTACATTGAGAAGAAACGATCCTTTTCAATGTAACGTAAATTCAACGGTTGTTCTTTTGATTGCGAGATAAATACGTTAAGATAAGATTACGATCGCCCCATCGGGTGTTGTGCGTGATCAAAGACAAGTGTTATTTGTTGCAGTATTGCATTTTTGTTTCTTTTTTCTTTCTTTTTTTTATTTTTCCGTTCAGTTATTTCCTGACCGGCGTTACATTAGGAAGAGGACAGGTTTCCTGCGAGACACGCCGTCATATTTATCAAATGTACAAATAACACGTTAAACGACGTTTAGTTAGTTTATTTACGCGAAAAGATATATTTAATATCGTTTACATTTCCTAATTTTATACTCGTATGTTTTCTCTCCCCCCTTTTCTCTTATTTCTTTCTCTTCTTTTATTTATCCTGCAGAATTTGTACGCTCACTACATAGCGAAAGCGTTCGTTTATAGACTGCTCCGCGTGAAAAGCATAGAAAATATCGCGGGCTTTGTTACCACATAGTTCACGACGTATAGTGTACGATAGCGTGCACGATATTTTCTACTTTTTACCGTTTAAGCCGCGCGCAAGGTGCGCATGTGGTAGTATTAGAGAGAGATATATATTTTTATATTATCGCACAATTATATATATAATACGCCATTTCATTTCTGCTGCGAGAGTTCATTGTATCAGCATTGGATAATAAAGATTCGAGTTTAGTTACAATCTTTAGTTTGTTTTATAATTCTGCAAACATTTCTTCACATATTTAATGTATATTTTTAATTCTGTAAACATTTCTTCACATCTTTAATGTAATATTTTTTATCATTTAAACCTCCACAAGTTTGCATTTATGTTTTAGCACTGAATGCATTCGTCTGATACTTTATACGAAAATTGTAATTTAATTTTTAAAATCGCATCATGTTGCTTAAAACTGACAATCATATAATCATATTTTAACATTTAATATAGGATAATTTGCAGATTCAACTGTGGAGGAAACATTTCCAATTGCTTTTCAAGCTAAATACGTTTTAAAATATAAATTAATTATGATGATAAAAAATTAGCATTAAAAATAGAGAACGCAGCAAGCGATTAATCTACGCTAATAAAGGATAAATTCCAAGTTTGTCGAAGAATTTACCTGACGAAAGATTACACGTAATATAGCTCTGTACTGTCTGCATAATATCGGAGGTGATTTATTTCCGCGCGGGATATATACGGCGTTTATTAATTGCGACAAGCACGCGCTGCGATGCGTGAACTGCGGGGAGGAGGGCTCGATCTTATATAAACGCGATTCGGTAAAATTCTTAATAAGCAAAAAAGTCGCCGCGCGGTTAAAGCGGAATTCAGCCGCGGGGAAAAAAGCGGAATTTTCCGCTTTCATCTCTCGCGGCGGATGCTGCCCCTTCCCCTCTCCTCCCGATCCCGAAAGAAGACGGAAACGAATTAAATACGCGAGCGAACCGTTGTTCAACACATCTGCCGCGGCGGATTTTCATGCCGTGTGCCAAAATGCCCCGAGGCGTGAACGATGCGGGGAAAATGATGTAGTTTATACAAAAGAGATTAAAGAGAGAGATGCTCTTTTCCTCCCGGTAAACGCGCGCGATTCTTCCGCGAGTCCTTTTTCGGGCAGGTGCGATGATAGGTGCATAGGCAGGATCTCGCAGGACTGCGACGCACTCGGCTAGAAAATTGAGTTTTTCCACACGCAACGGTTCAGATAGAAGGTACCGTCATGTTACTTCGCGTATATACGCCTTTTTTTCTGATCCCGTAAAATATAACTGTGCGTTTAGTAGTATACAGGTGTTTCACGCACGAGCTGTTTCGGAAACCAGAATTTAATTTCACTATCCGATGTCAATCGAAAGCATATCGGTACTTTTGAGACCACCTTCAAGAAAATTCTATCGACGATGAAGAGATTGAGTAATTATTTATATATTCTCAATTATATATATATAACACTTCTTCAAATTTCACAGCTCTTAAGTTAATTAAGAAAAAGAATTTCGATTCTTATCTGAGTAAATGATAAATCTACTGTACTTCTTATTTGAGATAATGATAAATCTACTGTATGTGTATATATATCATACGTTTAGAATTTAAATTAAGTTTACTGTTTAAAATATATAAAAATTCGTAACATTTTATCTCTTTTTCAGAATATAATATTCTATAAAAAACAAATATACATTATAAATGTATATTTTTTGATAAAATATGAGTTTTCTAGAAAGAAATGATATATATGTTTCTTCGCTTGGAGGGAAAATAGGTCACCCGAATAAGAAATGACAAAGAAGGAAAACACTTGCATAATTTATATTATCCAAATGGTTCTTCATTGAAAAATTAATGTTGCCATTGGCATCCAACAATAACGACTTGAAATATTATTTTTAGAAACGATAGATCGATAATTATACATGATGAAAAATAATAATTTTGTAATTGTGATTGTTTTTCTTTTGCGATATATTATTTTTGCAGAAAAAAGCAAGTTCTGAAATGTGGTTTTCATGATCGCGTTAATTCTATTGCCAGGACGCTCCCTTGACGGAAATTCTTTTGGAATGAAGTTTTATCGTATCCACCAGAAATCGATAGTGGACCTGGCAAAGCGTAAAATACCGACTTTTAACCGACTTTAACAACACCCTTCGATGACCGCTCAATCATTCAACAGTTGTAATATACAATAATAACATAATAATGACAGCCGGAACATTTCCAGGAATCGAGGATGAAGCACAATGCTTCGGATATGGAATTTATAAAGAGTATCCCGTATTGTAGCAGTATATGTAGCAGTTCCGCATAAATCATACATTGCATGTTACAATACCTGTTACAAACTCTAATTAATAAATTCATCGATATTTCTTTAATATATCATAATTTTCGCATATGGAAAGTATATTTCTATTAATTTCGTTTTTATCAAGCGAGCATTTTTACATCTGAAACATATTTTTCGGAAAAAAGCTTTATGTAAAACAGATAATGGAATGTATTTTGCGGAGTGTTTTCTTTGCGAACTTTTAATTTAAGCACACAAGAAACTTTCTCTCTAGAAAATTAAAAAAAGTTTTATTAAATTAATGCCTCAAACTAAATTAAAATCTCAATCAGTTACATAATTCGCAACGACACTCTTATGACTTTAATAATTTTTCGATTAACTAACATATTAAATGAAAATAAACGACGAACAAAATCAATGGCCGCGGACGTGAATTTCGTGCAATTAATTTTGTATTTCGATCGCGTAATTTCGCAATAGTCGCGGAGCGATTATCGACATAAATGTTAATATTAATTGCAGGATTTCAGAATTAACGCATTGATAATTGAATGCATGAGGATTTCACGGCAACACCACGAATTAGCGAAAACCTGCAATTAACGCGTGTTATACGCAGGAACGAATTATTAACGCGAAGTGTCTACGTGCAATCTCGCGTTATCTCAATTAACGATGATACCGATAGTAGAATTATTAGTGCACGAAAAGAAATTTAAAAAAATCGAGCGAGATTCTCTCTCCTACGAAGCGCGAGCGCAATCTAAATTGATAAGTAATTAGCATACTATACTGTATTTTTCTTACGCTCGTTTGCTAGGCATCATTATTGCGCAATACTTACGATCCATCTTCATAATTTTACACGCGCTCGTGTGCAATTGTGCAGTCTAGGATGCAAATTTCCTTTAGAAAATTATATCGCGCGCTCGCAATTATACACGTCTACTGAATGTCTTCGATGAGCGCCTAATCGACTTGTATAATATTTATAAAAATATAGTTTATTAGAAATAAATCGCACGCATCTCAACGACATAATATTCATCTTATTACATTAATTTAACAGTAAAAGAAGATATTAATATAAATATAAAATAACAATATAAATTAAATACAAAATATTAGATATAAATTTGCTGAAAACTGAAAACAATATAAATGAAAACAAAAAAATCTTATTAATAATTTAAAATTTGTGTTACATTAGTTTAAATCTGTTCTCGTCTAAGATAATGGAGATCTTTCGAGAGTAAACGAAAGAATACAATGGCCGTATAAAGGTGCACAGATCGATACATTGTCGATACCTCGATAATGTTCCTATGAGCTTAATGCGCGTGCAAATAATCACCTTCGTCCTGTTTAATTCCTTTTCGCAAACAACCAAGCGTGGCGAACAAAATAGCCCACGGCTTGGTATCGCGATCGCCGCTGTAACAAGCGGCGCCGCGAAGGAAATTGCCGCGTCCGAGGGCTACCTTAATTGATAATAACGCGCGGGCAACGCAGAAGCTATCGGGATAATTAATGACACGCTGGCTAACCGGCGCGCCGGGGTTGCTTTCGTTACCTCGCTCCAACAATGTATCCGGTTGATGAAAGGGAAGGGAGATGAGACGAAACAATCGTGATCCACGCGATGCAGCATCTCCCGCAAATAGGTTGCTGGAATCTCATTGCACATCTCTTTGTGTGCGAATGGATCGAAAAGAAATCAAGACACTTGCAGCATTTTGATAAAGGAGATTAAAAAATCATTGTTTCAATTCTTGCATTTTCCGTTGTTTAAATTATTTTATCAAATCGCTTCGTGAATCGATATTTATTGAATCATGCGCGGTATTTCGCTCAAGTTTCAAAGATTCAAATTTTTTAAAATTTTAATAAATAAAACGAGATAGTGAAGTGAAATATAAATGCTTTTTAATCGTACACTCTGCACAACCAGAATAAAATGGTTTTTTAAACCTGCAGTAACGTTCGAGAATATTTCAGAAAAAAGAACACATGGTCACACTTGTACAGACAATGTTGTACAAAAATCAGTTAATTCGAGTGGTCTTTTTTATTTTACATCAAGTGCAAAATATATATCATGTTGCAATTTACTTTTAAAATTCTCCATTAACCTGCTTTTTTAATGTGAGTTAACATTGAATATCAATGAATTGAAAATAAATTTTTAAATATAATGTATAAATTATAATCCTAAATATTCAATGAGTTTCTAAAACTCTCGCATGCAGATTTTGCACCATTTTAGCTTTAAAACATGTTATAACTTTTAAATTAAAAATTTCTTCCTTATATTTCATATAAGTTTTAAATTATTTTTAAATTATTATAATGCAACATAGAAAAGCTATAACAATTGTTTTAAGAAAAAGATTGTAATTATTTTATAAAAATAAAAATAAAAATTAAATTTAAATTCGGTTTATATTCGGTTTATATTCGGTTACATAGCTTATTACTTTCTAAAAGTGAAAATATTAAGAAAGATTCTTTCTACAAATGGAAATTGAACTAAAAATGATGAGAATTTAGATTCAATTTTTTGGGAGTTTATATTTCTATTACTTGTCTATTATTTTTCAGTAATTACAAAGAAGAGAATAAATTGTTTACTTACACGAATAAACGCATACTGCACAGGATGTAGAAAATAGAGTAGTCAAAATAAATACATTTATTGATGTTGTAATCTGAAATATCGAAGACCATTATTGTCAGTGCACATAATCGCAATCACTTACATTGATTAATCCAAGTTTATAAACACATACTAGATTCTTAATATTGATTGTGTGCAGATAATAAAGATAATGATTATTTCTCTAATTCTATTAAAATCAAATGTATTTAATTCGATATTTTAAACTTTTCATCGATAAATTGTTGTTGAATTGTTTGTAATTTGTCTTTAGATTTAAATCGCATAATAAGACATAAATTGTTAATTGAAAATTAATAAAAGCAATTGAATTAAACGTATTAAACGTATTAAACTAATAAAAAGCAGTATCAATCGCTTTAATTAATAACTAATAATTAATTTAGAATCCAGAAACAAATATTTCAAATTTATTTTATATTGAGTTAAAATAAATGGCTGTAATGAATTATTATAATATAGTTTACACAATGTTTAGCGTTCACTTTCTTCTAAAATATATAAGATATTATTATTTATCCAAAAATTATATCCTTGATCGAAATTGATCACATGAACAATTGACAAATTTAATTATATTCTCGAATATTTATATCTATAAATATTTATCTTTAATTTTAACTTGTACACATATTTATTCATTTTTGTTAAAATGCGATAAAGGCAAATCTCTTAATTATAAAATAAATTACAAATTATACATCGTGTCAAAAATTAAATAAACTCCCCCACGGATATATCTTGACATTGATGGGAGGGCTTAGTACTTGAAAGGTTTATCCTGAGAGGAAAGTTACCTAAACGATTCGTGACAATATTGTAAAAGCATTATCAAAAGTCATAAATAATTCATATGTCATAAGCGTATTTAAGCGCACATTAGTGTATCAGTTTTTCGAGTACATCGAGAATAATTAATCGTCTTTGTGTGATATTTTGCTCCAATAAGCGTTTTAATTTAAATCATTTAAAATTAGATCGGTTACTTGATAAGAGCAAAATGAGATCGTTTTTCGTTTAGTTCCATCCCGTCTCTTGTCTCATACATTATAAAACAAGTACGATCTGTAATCGTATTGAAGTGACGGATATTTATTAAAAGAAGTTTTCATTTTTTGAGAAGAATAAAATTGGCAGACATTGAAATTGTGTGTGTATGTGTGATGATTAATTGGTTCTTTCGCACAGCGAAAGCGCGCACACATACGTGCTTTTCTGATTAAATATATCATTATACATTACTATAATATAAATACGTTAAAATTTACGTAATAACAATACACTCGAAAATGCAACTTTTTTCTTATTTTATAAAAAAATCATTACTCTATTATCTTTGTGTGACTCCTAATAAATATGTCGCAATTCACGCATATTATAAATTGAAAATTATTTGCAAAATAATCAAATATATTTGGCTTTTATAAAATAAATTAAGATTTAGCTTATTAGAGATTAGAAAATACATTATTTTGAAGAAATGCAAATTATCGAACGTCTATAAATTTTTGACATATCAATATTTCTATATCTATTATATTTTACTAATAACTTTCTATGTGTAAAGAAATCTTGATATTAACACGCATTGATAGATTTATATTAAATCGATAAAAAAGAACTCAATTATCTTACAGGGCACTTTTTATAGTTAATGAATTACTGACGTTTCGCATTTGCGGTGTCAATCGTTAGGTAGCACTATTAGAAGGAATCATCGTACGTTCACTCTTGTCGAATTCGCGGTAACGAATGAATCTTACCGTAACTGCCGCAAGAAAAAGTGCGGATGCAACGGCGGCGAGGTCAGCGGCACGCGAGCGAGATAGTTTTTGCGTCTTTTCCGCGAGCTCCTGGTAGTTTCACGCGCGCACTCGCGAAATTCCGCTTCCATTCCCCTTCCCCTTCCTCCGTCGACTTCCGATCATCTTTCGTTCGCTCGCCTCACGAGCAAGTTCACGATTAACGACTAACGTAATTATTAGCGCCTCGCCGGCTGTTACGTCGACGTTGATGTAACAGCGCGTGCAACGTGCCTTCATAACGTCACGGACCATAACGAACGTCGGCGAATCGCGAACGACGAGGATGAGAACATTGAGAATGCGACGACTGTAATGGATAAACCTTCTTCGATTTTTGCTGACATTTAAAGATTAAGATAACCACGTGCAGCATCAGGAATTTATATACAAATTAAATAATCTGTGAGACTAGAAAAAAGTTTTATAATAGAAATGCGAGGCATTTAAAATTATTCGCAAATAATTAATTTTTATTTATGATAATATTTAAAACACATTAGAGAAATTTAATTTCTTGAGAGAAATATATAGTTTACATCTAGTATATCCAGTTAATATGCAACGAAAATGAAAGATTTATTTTGACAATTTATTTATTTATTTTTATATAGTTTTATTTATATAGTTATTGTTTTATTTATTTATAGTTATGATTTATTTTCATTGATTTATTTTTATTTATTTATAGTTATGATTTATTTTCATAATTTTGATTAATTTTCATTTGAAAAAAATTAAAAAAGCAACCGCTTATTCGAGAGAGTTAAACGACAGGACAGACACGCACAGCGAAAAATAACGGAAGGGCAATTTCTTTCTTCTCATATGAAGGAACGTGGACTGTTACTATTACTATGCGCGTTTGGAGACTGCGTGACACCGCATCGTGCTCTATCAGTCACTCAGTCAATGACAAGTACAGTAAAGTCGGTGCGAATGTGCGATGCCGGGACCGTCATTCTCACTTTTTACAGAAACACACGACGTCGATAAGCACTTAATTCACTATTCTATATAGCGATCTATCACACCTCGAAGAGAGTGTTACAACACAAAAAGTCAATTTTTGCAAAATAAGGGATTGTGCAATATATTTGAAAAAATATGGTTTTCTTTAAAAATGCTTCTTTCCTTTAATATAATATTCTATAATCAATGATCTATATTTTATTAATATTGATCTAGGATACATTCATAAAAGAAGTCAGTAACCGGTTAAATAATTCACCTATTATACATGTCAGAATCGCATAATGTTTCACGATTCGGTGGTTTCACTGGTCTTTTCAGATCAAAATGCATTCGCAAGCAGAAAGAATAAAATGATCAAATTCTCCTGTGGTTATGGATCAATCCTATAATTTAAAATGCCGTTTGTAGAAAGACATCGCAATGCATTATCATAAAATATAACGTATTTGATATAAAAGTCAAAAAGCACAGCTTAGATGTAATAATCAAGACTCTAAGAATATCTCTATTTTTTGCAACAGAAATTTGAAAAATTAAATATAAAAAAATTGGGAAATATTTTCAGAATATAAATAAAATTAAATTCATATGAACGATCATTTTTCCTTCGAAAAATTCACGCGCTAACATCGCTGAATCAAATTTCTAGATATGATAACAGATATGAAAACTAGAACAAGTTTAGAAAAAGAGGGAGAAAAACAGAAGACATAGTCAAGCGTGAAAGACAACCTCAGGAGCAAGATCGGTCGAATCGGATTAGGATGATGATGTTTCTTGCACGCGAGGGAGGGGCACCTGAGAGACAAAAGCCGACGAAAACACTTTGGAAACTGGGACATCTGGTCACCTTCGGGTCAGATCTTCAGGTCCTCCGGTCCGAGGAAGCCTGGACTCGCGACGCTCGTTCGAGGTCGTCACTGGGCGAACGCACGGAGCGAGGATGGTTGTTAGTGGAGGCATCGAGCATGCATTTAACAGTACTCCGGACGGGCCGGTGCGGCGGCGGTGGTTCGCTGATTCCCTGGGTTTCCGAGGCCCCTTCTTGTCGGGAGGACGAGCTGCGCCCGGCTGGACATCGGGGGAAAGGAATCCTCCGCGTGCCCCGACTTGGTGCACGCGCTTCAGTCCATCGAGGGCCTTCGTCAAAATTGCATCCCTCTCTGGCCACCGGCGGTTAGTTCTCCAGTTCGAAAGTGTCTCGAGTGTCTCTAAGGTGAACACCTTACGTGTTAACGAGGAGAGTAAGAAAGAGGAACAGAGAGCCTGACGAGATCATGTGGAGAATCCTGATCGCAGGATTTTGCACGGTGAGTCTATCCAGAGGCCGGCGCGGGATTAAATGTCACGAATATACTTGTCTGAGGAATAGATGCGAGTAACTGATATTTTTTTCAAGCCTTCTCTCTGGTCGGTGACGTAAAAAGGGATTTAATAATTCTGCCTTCCATTATGTGTTTATATATTTTAATATTAATATATCTGCCTTTATATGTCAATATATTAAACTTATTAATTTTTATTTAAAATCCTTATCAATTTGTTTAATATATCTATTTTGAAAGTATCATTCGCGATTATATTGGAGAGCTTTAGAAGTTCTTCTTTTGAAATATAAGTTATTCGTTACTTAATTTGCACTGCTTCCATTACTGTCTTGCATAAACCTATGCATCTAAATGAGACAAAGAAAAAACTCGGAGCAAATCCTCTTTTTTAAAAGAGAATTTGAAGAAGTTAATCTAAATATGATATTTTCTGGATTTTTTAAATGAATCTCGTCAAGTCATCTGATTATCAATTAGACTCTAATGAATTTTTCAATAAACTTTTCATGGAAAATATGAAACCTTGACGTTAGATTCACTGGATAGTAAAAATGTTTGTCCTCCTCGTGCTTTGCACATCTAGTTTGCATGTCCCACAATCTTTATCAACGTGAAGGACGGATTTCGGCCGATTCTCTTGCGAATAAATCAGTTCGATCGTGGATGATGGACGAGCACTAGATTTCCATGTCATCCACATTCCTGGTGACTTATGCATGTCATACGGCACCAGGAGTTTGTTTGACACTATGTGATGACAGTTTGTCATATGATCGTAATGCATATACGCGTATTTAGATATCGAAAGACCATCAATATCGATCTTTTCTATTAATTCCTGTTCAACTATGATATAATCTTTTAACTTAAAAAAATAAATTTAAAAAATATTATATCCAAAATTCGCGATCATAAATATATTTGTATAAAATATAGAAATTTTATGAGTTACGAATCTACATAAATAGATAAATAGAGTTTCCCATTTAACAAATTATTGAATAAATTTTGAATCGATATATCCGAAGCGAATAAGAATTGTGATTTCTATATAAAATAAATCGTAACATATCTTTCAAAGTAATTAATAAAATAGGATTTCGACATTGATTCATGTTTATCTTTCAACATCATTTTAATCTTATGACATTTAATTATGTATCCTTTTCCGACTTATCTTCTATTTATTCGCCTTCATCAAACTCGTCATAATTTGTTAATCTTGTGACACGGTTTCGAAATATCTGCCAATAACGAAAATGTCAATTAATTTCCGTTGGCAAAAGAAGCTACCGCGTAGGCGAGTGTCCGGAGGTATTCTGCGACAAAGAAGAAGTGATCGGTTTTCATTTTAACTGGAGCGCGCGGGGCAATCTTTTTCTCTCTCGCAATGTTCCTTTTGCGAAAAAACTCGGGCATTCGATGTATTTTTATATTACGCCATTAAATCACGCCACACATCAAGAATAATGGCCCATCGAGGCGTTTTTCGCGTTCGATTCATTTGAATTTTCCAGACCGTCAGAACGAGAACGTCGCAAACGTAGACGCGCAAATAGACGATATTAGCCGAGGATAATTTAAAATGCACCCCATTAATACACGTGACAACATTCGAAGTGATGAAATACGATAACGGGCAATTTAAAGCGAGTCGCGCGATCCGCTACTGATACGCTTGAAATATTAATGGCTTTTCCAAATGACGAAATAATTGTATTGTGTCGGACAATTCCCCGCGGTATATTGGGTGCGCGGCGACTAATTTTGCCGTGAAACGCGATATGTCGGAATACTTTAACACAGCCGTGCACGCGAAAGTATCGAGAGGATCGTATATAGTGTAATATAATTCTTTCGTGTAAATTGTTTACATGTGTATATCTTGATTATTTTTTTCTTTTTTCCAATACACTTGTATTACATACAATATTGTATAGCAACGTAATAACGATATGATGAAAAAGATTTTAAATATAATAGCTCGCTGAAACACGTATATCGCACGAACAATATTTATTCTCGCGTCATCGATCTCGCCAACATTCGCGCTTGTTACCGAAAACAATTTCTCGTCACCAAGTTTAATTAAAATTTAATTAAAATACGTTTGATTTAAAGTTTAAATTAGAAATTAAAATTAATAATCCAGTTGTATATGTAGATTAAAATTCTAATTATGCATATAATTCGATTGAATTTTATAAGCAAAGATCCTGAAACGTTTGACAAATGACAATTGATGAAGGTCTAAAAATATAATCTTATATAAAGTATTATCTATATTTTTAAATATTTAATTTTTTTAATAGTGAGATGGAGAAATTGTCTTTATACTTTTGTTATGATTCATAAATGTTTTCAATGGGAAAATCAAAATATCATAATGTTCTCTTGCACAAAGTTATAATGATATATATGTTGTATGTGTATTTGTCAAATTGTATTTATTTACAGCTAATTATAATTAATTATATTTGTTTATATTTTTATTGGTTTTATTTAATTAAAGAAGAAATATTGATTTAGTTTTAAGATAATATATTAAGATGATATAAAATTAAAAGAATTTAAAAAACATATATAGACTGTATTTTTGATAGAGTTATATAACATTTATTATTAAAAAATATAATAAAATTTCAAAAATTTGTTATCAAACTTATATATATATATATATATATATATATATATATATTTGCAAATTGCAAATTAAAAATCTTATATCATTAATAATAAATTTGAGTTTTGATTAGATAGATAATCAAATAGATTAAAAAATAAATTGAATAACTTGATGATAGTAAGAGATAAAAATGGATTATGCAAAATAATTTACATTATTTCTTATAAATTATGTACATCTTATTTTATTCGTTATACATTATTTTGTGAATATTATTAAAATACCATATCATACACACAATTTTATTGTAATTGTATTATCTTTAAATACAATTACATCTTATCTGTTGCATCTCATTTTAGCTATTTGTTTGCTCCTTGACCGTTGTAAAATTTTTTGATACGCTGACATTTCGCATTGTGTCACGTATCATACTCAAATTAAATTTGCTTTTATCTCGTTCCAAGTCATTCGAATAGGACATGTCTCGCGTGTCAAAAAATTTAACTGTACCGAATTGTGTCGGCGATGAGAGGACACCGATGTCGCGGATGAACGATACTAAAATGGCTTTAAAAAAAAAACGGGTTTTATGAAGTCATAAAGAGAAGAGTTTGCGGTTCTTCTCGAATGAGACCGAAAAAAGGCCAGGGACTACCTGGCGGTCAATCGCGGTCGTTTCGTCTCGCGTGGCGGATTTCGAGCTGTCTGTCTTTTACCGTTACATTTGCTCGATTCTTAATGAAAAAACAAAATTCTTCTTGCTATATATGAACTAGGCACGGTTTATTAATTCGTTTCGTGTTATATTACGTAATTTGTCCCAGAAATCGCAATCTTAATTTTGACGATGGAATTCTTAACGCAATCTTGATTCGACAATCTAAGAAAGTTCTCAAAAGGCATTATATTAAAGAGTATTCTTTTTCGTATAAATTTTTTCAATAATTAATATGTACTTACGCTTGATTACTTACATTAAGTTTATTAAAAATTGCATTTGCAATAATTTTAATTTATGTTTATTTATTTATTTTTTTTCATATTTTTTCTTATTCGACAATTTTTATGTAATTAAATTGTTAAGTATGGATCTGATTTATTTGTCGTAAATATTATAAAATTGTAATATTGTAATGTTCCAGAGAAAAAAAATATAGGAAATATCGAGAAAAGATAGTATTAATGTAAATCTGCATGGAAAGTTTGCATTTTAATTTATGAAGATTAATCTCTCTCAATTTAATTTGAAATCAGGTTTTTTTTTTAGTCTATTGTTTGTGTGAATTTTTCGAACCATCATGTCGACACGCGTAATCACTCGATCGAAGTTTCGACAAGTCGCACAATTCCTATCAACTCGAGACGAAATTCATCGAGAAAACAGCATCATGAAAGTTGTTCGATGAAAGCTGTAATGCACATACAATCAGATGTTCGACTACTAAATACTTTGATTCCTTTATCAAAGACGCTATTAAGAATATTGCTTGCATTGCAAATAGTTTCCAATATTAATGGCCGACAATCGTCCATCGCGCTTTCTTGAATCTTCTACTCACATTCCACTTAATAGATTTCGCAAATAAATTTACGAGATGTTCATGATAATAAATTTGCCGTTTATTTATTTTCTCATTTACAAAGATTCTGATAAGGAATAAAAGGCAACAGAGCAAAAAACACAAAGAAATTTTAATCGACTCCATTAAGCTTTATTTCGCTCAAGTTAACCTGAATTTATGAGTCTATATGTCTTTGCTTTGAAGCTAATTTTTAAAAACGAAGAACCAGAATTCATTAAGAGAACTTTTTACCAGCTTTCTCGGAAAGCTTTAATTATTAAGTTATTTCTCGTAATATGAGGAATTAAAATTTCTAATCTTCGATCAATATTAAAATTAAGCTGATAAAAGCAAGGATTAATCATTTCCTCTTCCAGTTTTTTTTAGCTTTTCCAGCTGTTTCTATGCATATCTCTTTTTATGGCAGATTTTTCCGCCATTTCAAAAATAAAGATTGCACATCACTCAGTGCCGTTTCCAACTGCTTACATAATTCGCACATTACATCTCGTGACTTTGATGAATTTTGTATCAGATACGTTTTCTTTTTTGGACTTTACAGAAATATCGTCTCAAACGGAATAATTATCGCGAATTTTACGAACGCGACAACATAAACGCAAATTTGCAGCGCAAATTTATCTCTTTAACTTGGTTGATATCACGTTGGAAATCGCATGGACTATCATTTATTCCGGAAATTTTTAATTCCAAATATAAAATATAAAAAAGATCTTTATATGATTTTAGATGAAAGCTATAAAATGGTCGAAATAGTATTAATTTATTAATTAAAAAATCCTTATTATATATTCAAAATAGGATTATAATAATCTTGTATTTGCAAAAAGGAAAATAGGATTATTATAATCCTATTTTCCTTTTTGCAAATAAAAGATTATTATATAAATAGGATTATAATCTTGTATTATATAAATAGGATTATAATCTTGTATTATATAAATAGGATTATAATCTTGTATTTGCAGAAAGGAAAATAGAAATAATATAAAAGAGAAGAATATAATATATGCGATTTGTGCTTTACTATGACAAATATGCATTGCATATCGTGAAATTTAAGAAAATTATTAAAAGTAATTAAAAATTATGTATTTTATTAAAATTAATTAAGAATTATTATATCAATAAATTAACAATCAATTTATCTTTTTAATTTTATATTTTAAAACGTTTTACTTTTTAAAATATATAGATGTACTTATACATATGACTCAAGACTTGAAAAATATTATAGTTATTAATTGTAAAAATAAAATAATATTTAATACGAGAGGAAAAATTTATTTAATTATATCTAGCTTTTAAAACAATGAAATTGTATTAAGATTAGCTATGATAGTTTTCTTCAGGTTAATCTCTTCGTTCTAAAATAACATCTCTGATATTGCATCCTTTAGCTTATGACTTCGCATAATTGACAAAGACGGTAACTGCTTGTAGTACTTTTTTTTAAGCGAAATATAATGGAATAGTTTGATATTATACGAAAAGCATAAATTGTGTAACAGAAAATCAAAATTCCATTTATGATAAAAGTTCTGTTATAAACAAAATAATTCCTCCAATATTGTTGATTGAATATAAAAGGTATTATATTACATGGAATTTATATATATATCTATACATATAAAAATGAAGCTAAATGATTATTTTTAGATAAAGCTATGAATTCTATGGACCCTATGGATTTATGAATCCCAAGAATTGTGAGCTTAAAAATCTAGAAGATTCTCGATCAAGAGATTCATGAATCTACAGTTTCAAAAATCTATAGCCACAAAGATACTAACAACTCGTGGACTTCGCGATCTGAAAAACAATTTGCACGTCTACAGAGCATCTACAAATCTTCAAATCTAGCGATGCACGAACTTAGCGATCTATGACGAGTCATCTACGTGCCTACGAATTTAATGATCTGTCCTAGCTGTCTACGCAACCATGAATTTATGATCCTAACATCCTATGAATTTGACGATAAATCTATCAGTAAATAAAAAAAATTTTTCATAAAAAAAATTCGCGATTAATATTAATTAATCTAAATAAAATATGAATAATTTCATAATTGCTTATTTTTTGGAAATCTTTTTTTATAAACTCATTAAAATATGAAAATTGTTTTTTTTTTAATATATGAGAAATATATAAGACGTAATAATAATTATATATAAGACATTATAATTTTATTTTTTTCAATGATAATACACATAATTATATTTCTTCATATTATGTTTTGCATCAACAATTTATTATCACCTCACTATCAGTATTTTTATCTCATCTACGTCACAGAAATTGACGAACACGCCTGTGCAAATGCCTAGCAATATAAGTGCGCTTATCGATCGATCTGATGTTCCGATACGGTATGATTACAAGCAAGCTACGAACTCGAAAAATACGGCCTACCATGACCTGTAGGATGAGCATAAGCACAGTACAGGAGCTCGCGCAATATATAACGTGTATGGTGCACATAACGAATATCTTACGCGGCCACCAGAGCGTTTCCTTACACCGTTACCTGTATCGAAGTGGGTTCTCGGTTCTGGTCGCGCGCTGGTCACCCTGTTCTTTACCAATAGTAATGTAATGGCTTTGTAAACGTCGTCGACACCGAGGTCGTCCGTGAATCAGCGAGCAAGAATTCTTCTTTTTAAATGATAATTAATGTGATATATTCGCGATGAAAGACGGGAATGTCGAGTATCATCAACGTAGATTAATTAGAAATTTAATTATTTTTATTGCAATGCATAAAACATTTTACGAAAAAGAAAATTCGAAAATATATTTTATTTGATATTTATGTGAAGGAAACGATATGAAAAGCTCAGAAAGACAGTTAAAAATATTAAATTATATTTTTTATATTTTCTATTTTATTAAACTATTTAAAGTTGAATAAAATTTTGTTATCTATTTGATTACTGAAATATAATTCACAAAAAGACTCCTATTTTCAATAACTTCAAAAAAATGGATAGCTCATTTAATAAAAAATTAAAAGCTCAATTAATAAAAAAATTATTCCTTCAATAAATAATATAAATTTTAATAAACAATCTGCTCATACATATAACATTTTATAGATTGGTTTCGAGTTATCCTCGATTCCGTCCGAGAAAATAAATTCAAATCAACCAAAGTGTTTATTCAATTTTCGTAAACTAGGACGATGCAATTCTTTTAAGTAGAAAGTAAATCCGGTTAAAATTGAAAATAATGCACTATCCGCTATAGTACCGCGCGAACGCAACTGGACGTCAGTAAATTACCGTGAAAAAAGATGTTGACTGCATAACAGTTATAGAATAATACGGTTGTTAAATTTCAGCTATTTATGCGACTTTACTATGTAATGTACAAGTCTATTTACGATCCAAATATAGTGTGCATAAGCTATATTATCATACAATATATTATCATATATTCTATTTACATTGCATTATCTGCTATAATTTCATTCTAATAAAGATTGACATTAAACGAAAGTAACTGTCTGCAAAATGTTCACTTTTAACATAACGTTTCGAGATAAAAATGATGTTTTAAATATTGCAAGGATGATAATAGAATACCTTTCAACATAATACACAATCAATAAAATCAATTATCTTTGTGAGATAGGGCAAAAACTTTTATAAAAACAGAGGATTTTGTTTTTTCAATAATCGAGTGTTAAACGCCACGAAGGTAAACAAAGATTCAAAAGAAGGCAGTGGAAAGGATCAAGAAAAGCTTTGATATTATTCACAAAGTGAACAACACTATTACGGCGAGGGAGAAAAATCGATATTAAAGAAACAGGGTGCAAGAGAAAACTTGCTCCCTGAAATCTCTCTCGTGCCAGCCTCCGGCTGCAATATCAGCAATATTTGAGCTGATGCTCGTGTTTCAGGTTGCCGCCACCGTTGCCCAGGATTACGAGGTCTCGGACATTCAGTGCAGCGGCGCGGGATCGGCGGCCGATCTTCTAACAGCGAAGATCAAAAGACCGGTTGGCTTCAGAGGCACCCCGCTCTTCGCTGACGACAGATCAGCGAATCCACTCGCCGACATTCACTGCCAGATCAGACCCGACCCGAATGATCCGCAGGAGGATAACTACTTCCTGAAGGTGACTGACTTCTCCCGATGCGGTATCCTCAAGAGAAACGTGAGTCATCGATCGAGAGTTACGCGGAACTGATTCTTATGAGGGGTTACGATGATGCGTTCTTCTTGCGACTTATTGCTGACGTTGCACAAGCGAACGGAACGGTCGATTCGTAGATTGCACACTCGATGGCAACTACTAATTCGCAATTGATTCCCTTTTATTGCGGGAGGTATCAATAGAATGCTTTATATTCAGTCAGATCAGGCATTATTATCAGGCATCATTGAATGCCGTTATGATTCTTCCACAAAAAGAGATATCAGCTAACGATGTTTCGATGTAACTTGCTGGTGATAAATCACGTTTAACTGTATGATATTTGCGTTCCATTCTGCTGGCCGACCAGGAGCTGATCTTGATGTGCCGGCCGCCCGAGCCGACGCTGCTCAGGCATAAGGCTGCTGGCTTCGCCGGCACTTTGTAAGTCACACCGCGCCCATTCGCACGATATCTTTGCGAATCTCAAGATATAATAAACGAGCATTATTTCCGCCACACTACACGCATCGCATTCGTCGGAGCGCGTTCCCGCGCGAGTTCCTGCGCCGAGGAAACAGTTATTTGCACATACGGGATACTGACACAGTGATGTATACAATAAAATGCTTAAATACCATCCAAAAAAGGATGTACTGATTTATCGTTCACCCGAATAATCGTAATATCAGGATAAAACTTAATGAAGTGCATTTTATAAAATAAAAAATTGATATATTGCAATATGTACGCGAATTAAATATAACTTATATAAGTTTCAAGTTTATATTCCACGATAGAGTGCAACTTGCTGAAGCGACGACGCGCGTCTGCTTTAAAGGGCTAATCGTTTCAGTCCGCACGGCGCCAGGGTATCCGGGGTTGTGGAGGAGACGCCGGGTCGACTCGAGTACGAAGTAGCTCTTTATCGAGAGGCGACCGGCAACGTGTCCGATAGCTCGCAGACGGTCGACCAGGCGGTTCCGATCGGCACCAAACTGCAGCTGCGCGCCCGCATCAGTGCGGACAGCGCATGGGGCTACATCAAGTTGTTGGAGGTGACCGTCAGTCCGGACCCGGATCAGCCCCATGCTCCCGGTAGCGTCGTACTCGTCAAGGATGGCTGCAGGAATCGCGATTTCGCGTCCATCATCCCGCATCAACCGGCGAGGTATCGCGAGCGCAAAAATGAGGTCTTCCTCGACTTCGAGGCCTTCTTGCTAAGTTCAATGAGGGAGCGCTCCACCCTCTGGATTCACTCCCAGATAAAGGCGTGCATGGAACCGCAGGACTGTCAACCGGTGCGTGATAATGACAGCTGTTTAGTCTAATGTAAAATGCAAATGAGATGATAATGGATGTCCTATCCTAGGACATCTACTTCTATTTCCTAGAAAGATGAGACTTGGGTGTATATAGTGTTCTTGACAGATTGATTTTCCACAAGGAGTTATATATGACATAAAAAATTAGCATAATAGAATATTATGTTAATGTTATGCCATATATGGCACTTTATTAGTCTTTTTATCTTTGCAGGATTTCTGTCTCGATCTCTTCGAACCCTCGGGACATGGAAGAAAGAAAAAAAGAGCGGTCGAGGCGAGTGTAGAAGCATCGGGTGAGTTTCTCCCAAAAGTCGAGCGTTTGATCAAAAGGTATAACGATTCCACGCAATATACAAAGTTCAAGGAGAACATTGAATATACGGTGATGATGCCAGATGGTAAGTTAACATTTTTAAATTTATTAAAAAAATATTATGAAAAAATTAAATTTTTTTTTAATCAATTATAACGATTCTTTATATCTTTTCTAAAATTAATCTTTCGTTTTATTTTCATTTTTTTCGAGAATAGTAATAATTTTTTCGCGCGCGTTATAATTTATAATACATAATATATATATTGAATTGAACGTTTTTTTAATGTTTCATTAAGTCTTTTAGAAAATAGAATTTCTGAGAAATTTCTGCAAAAACACGTATAATCTTTTCGGAAAGATTAATCTAATTTAAAATTCAGCGATATAAACTGAAATATTAATTTCTTCGATATAAATTTTATTAATATGTATTAAAATGAAGAGCGTCTCGCCTTTAAATAACAGTTGAACATGAGACGCGCGATCACTGGCAATTTTAATTAATATTCTCGCTCATTATCATAGACTTGTATGACAAAGTAGCAGCCGGCCTCGAAGGTAGCTGCGGAAATTTCCTTTACGTGGCAACGGGATTGGGCGCTCTACTAGTGTTATCAGCCTTTATCATGTGCTACCTAGCATCGCGTCTTCACAATCTCTCCTCGACGATGCAGCAGAGCAAATCTATCGACGAGTTGGTCAGAGATCGCACTAGAAAATATTGCGACACCACGCCTGGCTACACCGGTCGTTCGACGATGCAATAGATTCGGAGAGAAAAAAAAATTCGAAAATAGTACTTTGTCGCGCAATAAATATACTTTTCGCGAAATATACATCAAGTTACAATGTAACGCGTAACGTATAATTCATGCAACGTTACAACGATACTTGGCAACTGGAATGACAGATATTTATTCGCGACAGGGAATACGTTATATTTGTAAGCCACATTTTTTTCTACAAGAGGGCAAAAATACTTGTCCTATTTCAAAGATAAGAGAGATGCGAGAGATGTATTTTAATGTTTCGTTAATAATTACGTTGCATTGCAATTTATCGTAATTATCGATATTAGTATTGAGAAATAATTAATTCTCATCGCGAGAAAGACTTTGACAGGGATTCTCAATAACGTTTGAACAAGTGAACAACATCGCCCACTGAGGAATAAAAATAATTCTCACGACGTTAGAATGCTCGAAAATTCTCGTGGTGGCAAACGAGAATATTTTCCATATAAAATAGAATCAATTCGCATTAACGAGACATGAGCGAAGATAAATTGCAAATTTATAAAAGAAATTTATATCGCCAAATTTGGAGTTATGCCGATGGAACATCGTTTGCTACTTTGCAATGTAGATATGATAGTCACGCTACACGTGTTTATATTTTATGAGGAAGCACAGTTTTAAACCGCTTAACACAGTTTTTCTATATGAATACAAATGCAAACAGTCTATTTTTTGCCCAATTCTTCATTTCTTGATTCTCTGACGTCAGTGAAATAAAGTATTTAAGTGAAAAAATAATTTTCAATTTATTATATAATTATTTAATAGTATACAAATTTATACTACTTCTGCTATATATATAATTTATCTACTTGGTTGAGTTTTATTATCAGGACAATCAAACGAGTAAAAGATTTTACTGAAAAATTGAATTCTTTCACTTAAATGCTTCTCTTCTGGGTCAAAGAATTTCAATATAATCTAACTTTTAATGCACGATACTACGAGCATCGCGCACATCATATTTTTCTGTTTAAAGTTTCATCAATTTATCGATATTACTCAAATACAAAAAATGGTCTCATTACGACGAGTCTCTCAAATGTGCAATGCTATCACGTGACCTGATCAAGCGAGTCGATCCACATTGATCGCTCGTATAATATGTAGGATAAGAATCTCGCCGGATGCGAAGAAAACTCGACGGGATATTTTGGGTGGTTGCACGAATTTATCTCACCTTGTAAATAAACACAAGCGACAAAGTTCTCTGTATTTTACAGCAAACTTATTAGCGCGAATACTTAATGCATAATATTATAAAAATCTATTTAAGTCGTAATAAACGATACTTTTATATAAATAGAAGCTTATGACAAATTTCGAATCATATTTATTTTTAGAATATAAAATAAAAAAATAATTTTAAAAATAAACTTTTACCAAAAAATTTTTTGCAACTTGTACTTATATTTTTTAGCTGGATGTTGTAATTAAAATAGGATTTATGATTAATAAAAATCATTTTACAGATTCTGAGATGCGTAAAATTAATCTATATATATATATATATATATATATATATATATATATATATTTGTATGAAAAAGGAATTAAAGTTATGCATTTAATAAAAAGAATAGAAAGAAAAAGACACGAAATAAAAATAAGGAAACGCGATTTTGAAGACAAGATAATCGATCCATGAAAATAATTGGGAAATGTAACATTATAGAAACTGCGCGAAAATTGTAGAGATTGACAATTGTAGTGATCATGTGTACAATGACTATTTATTATAAAATAAAATAAAAAATTAAACAATATTTTTTGCATGTTACACAATTTTTATTCGGCGTGGATTCTCCTGTAGAAAATCACCAACTATATATATACATTTTTTTTCTGCGTAATCTAATTCAATTATCGCTAAAAATTTATCGGCACCAATGTCATCGTCGCTATATTATATATGAAAAAATTTGCTTGTGTTATATATAAAAGATATTGGAAATTTTTTGGGCTACAAATTGATTTCGCTACCAATCTTTACTTGATGGAAATTTGATAATTACATATCATAATTTAAAATTTTATTTGATAATTTACATATCATAATTTAAAATTTTAATCTAATAATTATCAATCGTAGCAATTTTTTAAATATTGAATAAAAAATTTAATTTATCTAAAACAACGAGTTTCCTCTGTCTTTGTATACCACAATAAATTTTGAAACTGCCATGTATTTTTCTCATTCGTAGAACAAATAATTAAAATTCGACGATTATATGGTGACGTGAATTTACGTTCAGTTTATTCGACACTCTAAACCTAATTTTCTTTGGCTTCGTTGATATTTTTGGATATATTTTAATTTCACATTAGAAAACCTAGTACTTAAAGTTAGTCGACTTCTCTATCTAGCCAGATGTCTTTTGAATCGCAAAATTCGAAACATCGTTATCAGGATAAAATGCCGATAAATCACCGAGGAATATGTAGGCATATCTATAAATTCTCAGGAACTTTTAATTAATTAGACCGAATTGAATTTAGCTTACTTATTCTTATTTCGACTATATAGTAATTCCTGGATAAAGAATTATAGAATACCTGCATACGCATAATCGCGTTTTTATATACTTTCGCTATTTAATACACGTAAAATATTTCGTAAATATAAGAAAGCGTACACTTTATATTTTACGACGATGACAAATAAATGATTCTTGAAGACCAAACATTATTATCCAGTAAAACTCGATATTCGCAATCTTTTAAAAATAAGAAACTTCGATTAAACATAAATAACAAATGCTTCAACGTGTATACAAGAGATATAAGAAAGACAGCATAGAACGATAGAATGATAGAATGATATTATGATAATAAGTTTATGACACGATAAAAGAAAATATTATACTGATAAAACTGCGAACCTCAACAACTCGATCTGAAAATATCTGATTTTTATAATGATCCCTCTCTTACATGATAATTACGATTATTTTCAATATTTGAGTTCAAACAACGATATCACGATAATCACATCGTGCAATAATAATTATAAGCATATCTACACTCAAAGACGATTATAACATGCGATATATCTTTAAAACACTCTCCATATCTTTAGAGATATGTCAAAGTATATGTAGGGTGTTCCAGACTATATTTTAAATCCGTGGAATTCTAAATCCCTAGAAAGATATCTGATGAAATTATTTAAGTTTCTACTAAAAAAATCTGTTGAGAAATTATCTTTAAGATATAATATAATTTAAAAAATCGATTTTCAAAATCAATTTCATATTAGTACAATTGCAATATGATAAGGATTCAGTTAAAGTTTGTCTAAAGCTAAAGATAGACTTGAGCTCTTTACGCAATATTTAATAACCGATATTTAATAACCGATCATAAAAAAAGATCTTGTACCACGTCACATTTAATTGATAAAACCTCAAATTAAAATTTTACTCAAAGCTCATTACATAAAAAAATTAAATATTATTCTCTTCTACTCGTAATTCTAAATAGATACTGATATATGTAAGAAAAATGAACTCAGAAATTGGTAAAAAATCTAGTGAAGAGAAACAAATGGCGATAGTTCTGGCACACCTTGCATATAAAATATTTCATAATTATCATTGTGTATTATTTTTCATTGCATTTTGCAACAAATAAAAATCAAAATTGATCTTCCCATGTCATTAATCGACTTTTCTAGCGTGTCGAACAACTATAAGTGTTTACTTCAACTCTATGTAAGGCATTTCGAAACGATAAATTGAGTGCCAGTGTGACATCATATTTACATATTAACTTTATAAAATCTGATTATCACACATACACACTGTAAACGTTTGTGGAAAGCAACAAAACAAATAATTATTCAATGTTGTCATTTTTCTCAGACTTCATGAGGGCTTCGTAAGCGGCAAGCTCTTTTTTCTCCTTTCTTAAATTTCTATCCTCGTATTCCAACCTGTAATTAGATGCTAGATCAACACGTGATAGAAATACTCAAAATCAGTGGAATATGTAGATGTTGTATTATCATTGGAAAAGGCTGCTAGTATTACGATAAATAAGAATGGAATAAAGTAGAATTCAAGAAAATATTTTGCAAAATAAACAAAATTGTATATTCCAGAAGCAAAAATGAACAACAAGAAATTATAGCGGAAAGTAAATAAGCTTGCGTTTATTGCAAATTAAGTACAAAACAACCAGATTTGTCCCATCAACAATGGTTGAAATTCTTAATAACTGTATAAAGCTCGTTCGGCCTAAGGGGATAAAAAAGCAAAATAAAAAATTAATATATAAAGATTTTCCGTCTCAAAGAACATTTTAGTTTTGCAAAAACCTTATTTTGTAGATGCAAGTAAGAAGTTTTTACAGAAATAATATCTTAAAAAGAAGTTTTTACAGAAATAATATCTTAAAAATGTATACAACTTCAGAAACAGAAGCGATATGGTAATCCGAGAACACACAATATGACATAATCAAATTGCGATAACATATCACCGTTCGAGTAACATGATGTTATTCTATAACACTCTTTCAAATATATCGAATTATAATATATCTAATTATAATATATTCAAATTATTATAATATATAAATTATAGGAGTAACTTAAACTTTAAAAATGGAAAATTCGAACCGCTTTTAATTTTCAATTATTCTTTATCACATTCATGTTTATTAAACACATAATCCGCGAATGTAAATACATGGCAGTGGATGTTGGTGGGTAGAGTGGTGAATTTAATAAAGATGTTTTATACATATACATATGTGGAAGATTATGCACATACACACACACATACACACACACACACACACACACACACACACACAATTTTCCAAATACATACTCTCTAAAAGTGAATCAGTGTATTATCACTGTCAGTGCTGTACTTATAACTGCTTGTAATCAGTGAGTATTTACTGTTTTTCAGTGATAATACACTGATTCACGCGAGAGAGTATATGTTTATAAAACTCAATTTTTTTGTTTAATTAAACTGAAAGCACTTTTATAAAGCAATATGTAAATAATCCATATAAAAATTTCATAGTCTTACATCAACTCTATGATGTATAAATTATATTATGAGAGTATAGCATTTAAATTATAATTAGAGAATTTTATATAATATATGATGCATAACACACACAAAATTATTCTTAAAAAGTTCGATAAAATGTGTATGTATATAACTTAAAGATAAAACATACCTGAAAGATAGAACATACCTGTGAAGAATGATTCTTTCGACTATTTTCTCCGTCGTCATGTCGTTACCACTATCTAACAATTTAAATTTATTTTGCTTCTTGGGTTCTGCATATGGATCTGAACCATCTTCGCAGGGCATTATGGGCGTTTGTCCATGACACACGACAGAGACATTGAAATGTTCCATTAGATCTCTTGTGACTGCATATGGTGCGCCGATTACAACTTCATTGACGTACTATAAAAAAAATATAAAGAGCTCTTGTAGATACAATAAAACTTGTTATCTCAAAAACAATAGTATAACTCATTAAACTTTTCTATTGGAAAAAATTATTAGTGTTGTAGAAACTATGGAAATAATGTCTTTATATATTAAGAAAATCCATATATTTTTACATTATATTTTTGCATATTATGATATGTCATAAATATAATCTGAATGAAAATGACAACATCGCGCACCGCTTGATTAATCGCGTTGAGCGCCACTGGACGCTGAATAAGAGATAGATAGGCTCTGTACTACAATTGCTTTTCTCTCTTTCTCTCTCTCTCTGTGTCTATTATTGTTTCATTCAATATTTAGTTGCGCTCAACGTGAATAGCCATTCACCGCACGTTAATGCTTTCATTTGGATTCTACTTGTGAAACTTTGCATTAAATATTCCGAATGATCAGAGTAACTCTTACCTTACATGCCAACACACTGAGAACTCGTTCATGAAGGTTCATAATGGGATGATTGCCGCACTTGTATCGGTTAACGGCTGGATCCGTGTGCAGTCCGACTATGAGATAGTCGCCCTCCTTCTTAGCGACTTCCAAGAAGTCCAAGTGCCCCACATGGAAGAGATCGAATGCGCCTGCCACGTATACAATCTTGTCTTCTGGCTGAGGACTCTTGCCGTCGCTGAATTGTATTATTTTCTGCGTGGTTGGCAAAAATTGCGAACAGCCAGTCCATGGACTCCGAGCAGTTCTATCTTGACCCATGCGCTTGCTCGGTTCTCTATCAACGCTATACTCATTGTCACCCTGTCGAAAGTGCTGTCGCGTCATTAGCAGCATACGTCCCACAAGATCGGTCGTTGAAACGCCAGCTGTCCGTTGAACTTCTCTGAAATAACATCTCTTTTTAGTAAAAAAAAATTATATCATCTTTTAATGGAAATTTAATTGAACAGGAAAATTTATTGCTAAAATTTATGGAATTATACCTATAACGACCGGCTGCCTTGACTAAATGATAAGTATCTACACCATCGGCTGTCATTGTGATATCATCGCCATGAACACAAAAATCACAGTTATACTTGTCTAATGTCTCTAATGTAGTGACATAAGGCGCAGCTTCGACTACTTCGTCCACCCATTTAATACCACGCACCATTTTGTACCTAAAAAGAAATTTAATACATTTGTTAGTGTATTCATTATTATAAAATTGCTAATATCTTAGTTATATAATCATTATAATATATTTTGTCATATATATATATATATATATATATATATATATATATATAAAATTATTCACAAAATTATGATTAAATATAAATTACACATATAATTTTAGTTTTTATTAATTACACAAATAATTTTACGAAATGCACATACAAAATTATTATATTTGTTATTCGCGTTTGTATAACGTTCTTGTACTGTCTAATCTTTAATTAATATCGAAGAAAATAACATATATAAACGCAGTTGACAAGACAAGGTTCTTTCTTTCTTTACAATAATGCTGTATTATATTCTTCAGCTACATAAGTTTTTTTCTAGATCCAGATGCTAATTTAAAAAACGTCAAGGTTGCGGCAAAAGTTTGCTACCAGTTCTGAAATTATAGCTTTGAAATACATTAACTTTTTATTGCCGCACGATGATTACAAAAGTCACGTTTTTTTTCAAATATTTTTCACAATAATTCAAATATTTTTCAATATGTCGAAATCAACACAGTTCAATCACGCTTCCAATGCATCATAAAACCTATTGTTTTCTAAAATATGTTGCGCGATTCTTTGTAAAAATACATAATAAAGAAGTAATATAATTAAAAAAAGAATAAAGTCAAATATTCATGGATGAAATTAAATGAAAACATTATACTCTAATATAATTAACAATAATATCATATTAAAATCTTTGTATTATTCTCAATTCTTTTAATACATACTTATGTGTTTAAATAAAAAAAATTATATTTTAATATTTTTCGAATTTTTTTACGAATAATTAATACAATATAAATAATTATAATGTATAATATACATAAGGAATAATGACTTAGAAATTGATATTATATAAGAATTATAAATCTACTATATAGGATTGATAAAATATTCAAAGTTATTAAATGGAAAACGCGCTCTAATCATTACACTAGTACTATGTATTTCAAGAAGGTAGTAACTGCGGAAATTGAAAGATTGACACATAATTACTAACTTTAGAAGAATAATCAAGATCGTAACTAGTCATTATATCTTATGCAATTTCCTTTAAGAAAGCAACGAAATGATACCTTTCTTGTTCAGTAAAGACGGGAGGGCCTTTGTGTCTCGTAATCTCTTCATCATTATGAACACCTACCACCAAATAATCTCCTAAGGCTTTGGCCTGTCTTAAGGAATTTGCGTGTCCGAAATGCACCATATCGTAACTGCAACCAATGACACTTTATTCGTAATATGATTTATACAATTAATAAAATTATTTCGCAATTTATCAGAAAAACTATATTAACAAAAGTCATTAAACATAATATAATATATAATATAATAAAATGATATATATAAGAATGAAAATTTAAAACGGAAGAAAATCGCTTGAAATCGATTGAGATAAAATTAAAGGGAAGCTAAATCTTTTATCATCGCAAAACTTTAGAATAAGATTAATTTTATCGTCGCAAAACTTGATCTAAAATAAAATTCAGTTTAATAAAATTCGAAAAAATACTCAATGGACCTTGGACGTAAAATTGCTTTATAATTATTGTTTTGATGATTATTATAGCAATCACACGGTTCATGATGTGTGACTTACAAAATATGAATTACGATATAATAAAATATATTACAATGTGTTGTTTTATATGCCATGTGTTTTCTTTCCTATCGCTTTTACGAAATATAATTAAACGTTATCATTTTTATGATAAAAAAACTGTATGAATTTTGGAAAACGCACTAGATGTAAATGTTTTGTATCGACGAGATACAAAAATCTATTTTAAAATTAATATATTCATAATCATAACTATAACTTGACAGATCAATTGATCTTTGCATATTATTATCCAATCGTACTCATATTACGCATAAATTATTTGAATATAAATTTACATGTGAACGAAACATGGTAATTAAGGCCTCGCATTCCGAGGTCTTGCGACATCGTAAAAGAATAACAGTGTAACATATAAACCGTCAACAACCACAAACCGTCCGATAAATATCAATATCATTATTATTATTATATGAAACTACTCATCTTTTATGTATTTTTAATTAATGTGATTTTATTTTTGTAATCGCTAGTTAATTATCGTTTTAAACAGCTCGATAGCTAACGATATTTTAATCGATGGAAATGTACAATATTTATTTTTATTTGAAGAATATTTTAAACATAATTTTATTTGAAGAATATTTTAAACATTTTTATTTCGCAATAAAAATGTAAGTTTCACTCGTACAACGATTTAGAATCGAGCGAAGCTTAAATTCAACGCTACTGACGAACAGTCCGTTATTCATTCGTGCTTACTCTGTATCATTTTATCGAAACAGGGAACAAGGACACGTATTCTTTAAATGATGTGAAGGCGAGCTCCAATCAGATATCCGTTGATAATTTCTCATGGCGAACTCAGATATCCGTTGATAATTTCTCGTGCACATCATGTAGAGAGAGAGCTTGATTTTGAAGCGTAAACTATCTCCTATGTACATACATACACACACGTTTCATGAAGAAAAATAAACGCAGCCGGAAAATTTTTCTTTCCTTTTTTTCTCTTATTAAGCCTCGCTCGCTTTCTCCAATTTATTTCTACTTATAAAGTAGAAATAAATTAGAAATAAAGTAGAAATAAATTATTTCTACTTATAAAGTAGAAATAAATTAGAATTATAATTAGTTTAAAAAGAAATTCGGAGCATCAACTCGGAAACTTACTTTACTCGGAATGTCGCCGAGACGAGGACGCCTCTCGAACGACCAAGTAATATCGATTGTTCGTGTTCCTAGACGCTGTAAATGACGATAATACGAAATCTAAACGCGCGTCGCGACGTCGAGAGCGAGAACCGACACGTGTCGATCGCTTTTATCAGCCGGCCGGGCTGACAAGCGACAAAGCGACGCATTTATCAGTCGCACCCTCCCATTTATTCGCGAACCTGGATGCCCGAAAAAGAAGGCCTCGATACTCACCACCCATCGCACCAAACGCGAACCTCCTTGCGAGTCCCCTCTGTCATGATGACCAAGCGTCGCGCTTCTTGATACACACACTATCGTTCCTCTCCGTCGCGTCGTAGGGAGTGACGTGAGCTGCGAGTTAACCTCGAGGAGGGGGAAAAAGGAGCGAGGGAGACGGAGAACACAACCGTCGTGGATGCCCTCGTGAAACTAACTGCGCGCGTCGCATTTCCACACCTCGCCTTTAAAATCCGTCGACGTATCGTGATGCCCCCTGGAGTCCGGATCTCGAAGCAGGGATTTTCCAAAGCGTTGATATTTCTACGATACATATGAAAACAAGTTTCTTATTTATCTATCGTCTCGATAATAAAAGATAATTGCTAATGACATGCAGATTTTCCCCGTATTGAAATTGATTGCACTTTCTGGTATTGATTGATATGAGCATTTTTTAAATAAAAAGCTGACTCGACAAAATTAATCGCGTGACCTTTTAATATGAATATGTGCTAGATATATGTATATAAAGTTATACAATCGATTGTCGAGTATTCGAATGACAAATATGAATACGTTTTTATCATATTTTTTAAGTGAATTTTATCGCATTATACTGTAATTGGGATATAATTATGTTTATATATATATATAGAAATTGTTTCATAGAAATGCTGAATCCTGTTTGCTTCACACAATCATTATTCATTACGTGGATTCTAATTTTAATTTCTAATATATACGAGTTTCAATTCTTCTTTTTATGTAGACTTGTAGACATACATTTATGCATGGAACAAGCTACATATTTATTAGCATAGTCATTAGCATAAAGTGAATAGTTACAAAATGAAATCATAGAATTTGATATTTTGTTGGTCTTAATATAATTTGAGATTTTTTTATGAAATATATGGAAAAAATTTTCAAAGTAATTTAAACAAATTGACAATTTGGATTAAATTTTTAATCGTGTTATTCCAAAAATATCGACAAACCAGACGCATTCATTATTATGTCCTGAATCTCAGGAATATGCAGATTGGAAAATTTGGTTTAAAAGCCAGATAGTTGACGATATATGTCATTTAAATTATGTAATTTTAAATTAAAAATACATCCATTAAAAACTGCATTTACATCATTTTACTATTTATGAAAAATGTTTGACATTTTACATGCATGTAATATTCTAAAATCTTATAACAAGAATACCACGTAACATTTATTTTATATGTATGGTATAAACCGCATATAATTGTAGTAAATAACTGAAAAGACTCGATTAGCGAAAAAGTAGGAAACATAATTAGCAGACATAACAAATATCTCATTGCGATAAAGGCATGTACTTGACCGAGTATGTGTATAGAATCAAAGAGCAAACTCTGACCACATCGTATGATTCTTGATAAACTGAATCAACCAATCAATGAAGGCGATATTTTTTTCAAACTTGATAACGATTAATTATTCTCGATAATGGCATAGTACAATTAGCAATATCATAAGTTTTCATTTTAGATAAGATGATACTTCATAGTAGGTCTACTATTATTCGTTATCGTAATCGCATTTGTGACTCACATGCACATCTTATACATAAAGTAATTTGTCATTGTATATACTTGATGCATTGAATGAATATCGATTTTTCGATTATATAATTTACGACTCATGTTGCAACGCACTTTTACGTGAGCATCTCTAAAAAATATATTCGCTCTGTGACCGAGGCAAGTTGATGTAATTTTAAAGTCCTATTGTAAATAGATTGTAAAAAAAACTCGCACATATATAGAGAATTATCATATTATTTGTTCTTAGGATTATATTATTTCATATTTTCCCAGAATACTATCTATTATTATGTTGTTTCCCTGAATATTATCTATTTTGGATGAGACTTTCTTTTTGTATTTCTTTATTTTCTTTTAAAAAGATATTATTACGTATAATTTAAAATGCTATAAAAAAAGGAAAACATCAAAAAATGTCGAGGCAAGAAAAAAATCACTTAAAAGTGTAACAAGTTTTAACACCTCTTCTACTATTATTCTTATGCTATTTTATTGAATGTACAGTAACAAGCCAATCGAATTGTTTTTTTTAATACTACACCATTCGGTGACAATTACAGGGGGTGTAATTGACCATCTAAATATATTTAAAGAGCTATCCTAAATATGATTTGTATAATATGATTTATAATTAATTGCAATGTTCATTAAATAAGCTAATGGAAATCTTACGTGTACTAGGAAAGGAAAAAGAAGGTGAAGGTGAATGCTCATGAGAATGTATGAGTGTACATCTTTCGGAACGATTCTGGGTGACTCTGGGCTTATCGGCTGGCATCACATTCGCCGATATGTATCATTCCCTGGAGCCTCTGGAACATTCTCTGTTACAAATAAAAGAAATATGTATAGAGACAAGCAAATGGTAAATCTATTGTCTTCAGAACAATTAATTCTTTTCTAGATAATTTTTATTACAGATAGTCCTTTCTATCTGCTTTTTTCTGAAACATTATATAAATACTTACTTTTATTTTTCATTTAGAATCAATAGCCATTTTGTTGCCTATAACTTCCTCCGCCATATCCGCCATTCTGACTGTAGTTGCTGGAACCACCACCTGAAGTTCCACTGCTAAAATTGTTTTGGGGAAATGATTTACTGCTTCCATAGCTAGCTCCGCCCATGCCACCTACATGAAACAAATGTCAGATATTAAACTACAATATATTTTATCAATCTTTTATTACTTTATAATTTTATGGAATGTCATACATAATTTAATATGGATAATGATAAGTAATTGATTTCAAAGTTTTTTTTAAACCTACCACTGCTACTTCCGGCCCATTTATTAGCACGATCATTGGCACCGCCAGAACGATCGAATCTTCCTCTATCTCCCGCCTCGCGACCTCCACGAGAACCTCGCGAACCGCCACCGCGGCCTCCGGATCCTCGTCCGCCGCCACCACCCCCGCTGCGTCCACCATATCGTCCTCCTGATCAATTAGTGTAATATTAGAAATGATAAAGAGAAATTAAAATTTATATATTTTTTAAATAATTATTTTTAGATGTAAATAGGCTGTTTAAACTTCTGTTTAAATTCTGACGAAAAGAATAAGTAATACTTACTCTTATACACGCCAGGATTTCTAGATAACTCGTATAATTTCGGATTGACAACTTGCTTGGCCTCTTCTAAAACTTGGATCAAGTCACTAGCCTTATGCGCATTGGCGGGTGTGAAAAAGGCATATGCGGTTCCTGTACGCTGCGAACGACCCGTACGTCCGATACGGTGCACATAGTCCTCAGAGTTGGACGGATAGTCCAAGTTTATCACAAATTTGACATCCTCGACATCTGCGAGATGCAATGAATTAAAATCGAGGTATGCAAAAGATGCTTGTTTCTTTGTGGTTCAATTAACTTATAAAGCGAATTGATTCAAGCATTTTACCAGAACGTTGCCTTTTGCTAATGGAATTAAAGAATCTAGGATCTCGAATCTTATTAGATTATCGATTTTTTTTACATCAAATCTTGAAACAATTGCTATTATAAGATATATAGAGTGACGAAATCTTCTTCAGTGATGCTTCTACATGTTTGACATTTCAAAATGATATTTAAATATCAAGAATGAACAAACATAAAGATTACCTTAAATAGATGATACCATTCCACAAAGATGCAATAAAAATAACTTTAGTTCCATTTGCAATTTGCATATAACAACACTCAAGTTGACCACAAAGAGCAAGTCTGCATGTTAATTACCTGTTTGCGACTAAAGCTGGAAATGTAAATACATTTTTGGAAATGTAGAGGAATCAGAGCTCAGATGGTTCTCATGGAATTCTCGCTTCACGTATTCAGCGAGCTCTACATTTTTATTCTTAGAGAGGCAACATTACACCCTTCTCTCCTGCACCAAAGTATGGATCTGTGCTGGCTATTTCGAAATTTGGTCCTTGTACATTGCTTCGGTGAAGAGGTTGGAACACCAAGTGAGCATCTTGCGTTCTCCACTCAACCCCCACATGTACTACTCCCATCGAATAATTAAGCATCAAGAATTACGCACCACAATATTGTGAAGACTCTCCAACTTCAATGTTATAATTATTATTAGTAATTATCATTATGTTTAATTTAATTACTAAGTTTATAGAATCGCACACGATCCAAATTAATAAATAATGTAAACATATAGAAAACTTAGCAGAGAGCGTATACTATCAAAAATCATCCATCCTTGCGAGATAAGACGCAGATATATATATCGATAACTTTAGAATAATATCACAATTAATGCAGAGCGCGACTTGATGCAATTGTTGCAATCTAACGAATGTAACCGATGACGATATCTATTTTTTTTCTTTTGTTTTCTTGTGTTTACGCGCTAAACGCCTAACATCACGATATTGTTTTCCATACTTTGGACCATAGCAGGTACAGAGAGTGTTTTTCGAGTGGCAAGGTGACCGAGGCACAGCGTTAGCTTGTTGCGAGGGGGCGGCGACCAGCAGTCACGCCCCGTTCAATTACATTTTCCAAAGCTAGCTGCAGAGTTCTAAGACTCCTGACTCGCATGTGCCTCTGAAAACACATAGAACAGCACGTTAATACCAGACTGACAAGACTTGTTTCGATCTGAGTACAAATCGGAAGAGATGAACCTGACTACATAAATCGCTTACCTTTCTTACTCTTAAAGCTGAAATATTTTGACGTTCTTTTTCTTTCTGTTTTATTTAGACGCGCATGTTTGATCAAGATCTAACATGAACTACATATTATTGTTTATAGAATAATAAAAGAACGTCAAAATCCACCTATATATTAATCTATAGATAGTCAAGACTTAGAAGAAGTTAACAGAATAGTTGAAACTTATTCCTTTACTATTTGTATCGCTGAAAAGAGTGTTAATTACTTTAGTGCGTTCGAACGCGCACTTATCGAGATTCTCAATTAATTAGTCGGCGAAAAGAAATAATTAGATAATAAAATTAACAAAATAAAAAGGTGTCAATGGTGAAATTAAAATGGGGCATTTAATTCCTGAAATTCCTTAAGAGTAATCAAATTATCTCCAACCACACTTGTGTAAAAAAAAAAGAAAAAAAAAAATAACGTCAATCAGTCTGGCACATGCCGTTATCTGTTGCCACATACAATATTACAACTTTCACAAATGTGAAATAACCATCGCAGCCTGACCCTTACATCATACCTATATATCTGCAAATTCTTACCTAAACCTCTCGCCGCCACATCCGTAGCCACTAGGATGGCAGACCTGCTATTCCGGAACTCTAAAATAATACCTCTCACATTAGAAATCACATTACAGCTCTTAAAAGCAATGTAAAATAATTCAACATAAGGATAAATGTTAGCCATATTTTTAGTTTCCTTTTTCTTTAGAGAGAAGTATTGAATTGTATAATTTTAAAAAAGATTTCAAATGTATCATAGAAAATATTTCTTTTTGTATTGTACAATTCTAAGTTCAACAAATAATTAATTTTTACAATTTGAAATAAAATTTCAAGTAATATTTATAACCAAAAATATTGTTTGCTTTTTATAGATTAAAAGGTCATAATAATATCACTTACGATTTAGTACATAATCTCTTTCTTGTTGGCTTTTGTCTCCATGAATGCCAATTGCTTGCCATCCGTATCTATTAATGGCCCTTGTTATATCATCTACTTTTCTCTTAGTTTCCACGAATATTATAGTCTTATTTTCCGGTTCTTGAGAAATCTCTTCCAAAAGCTTCATAAGTTTACTCTCCTTCTCGTACTCTTCACACACATCCACAATTTGCAAAATATTATGATTGGCAGCCAATTGTAGAGAGCCAATATTGATTTGTATATAGTCTGTTAAGAATTCCTCCGCGAGATTACGCACTTCCTTTGGCCACGTCGCCGACCACATGAGAGTCTGACGGTCAGGACGTATTTGTTCTACAATTTTTCTAATTTGTGGCTCAAAGCCCATATCTAACATCCTATCAGCCTCGTCGAGCACTAAATAAGTACACCTACGTAGATTCGTGGTACCACGTTCCAAGAAATCTATAAGGCGACCTGGCGTAGCAATGCAAATTTCTACACCACGTTCTAGGTCACGTGCCTGTGGTCCTTTCGGGGCGCCACCAAAGATGCACGTATTTCGTACTTGCGAAGACATGCCGAAATCTGACGCTACTTGTTGAATTTGCTGCGCCAGTTCTCGGGTCGGTGCTAAGATAAGAGCGATTGGACCATCATTTCTGCTAAGTCTAGGCTGATGATTTATATGTACGATCGCCGGTAAGATATACGCCAGTGTCTTTCCCGAGCCCGTTTGCGCTATACCGACCATATCGCGACCGGACAGAGCAATGGGCCAACCTTGAGCCTGGATGGCAGTTGGTTCGTCGAATCCCTGTCTACGAATCTCGTTGAGAACGTACTCCGGGAAGCCGCCTTCCTCGAAAAGCATATTGGGACATGGGACGTTGGCTCCCTTTACGGTGATCTCTTTACCGGAACGATAAGACTCGACTGCGTGAACGTTGCGTCCCGTCACGTTGGGATGCGGCTGGTAGAAGTCTTTTCTGAACTGCGGCAGGCTGCTCATGTCCCATCGCGGTTTACGCAGTCGCTCCCCGGGCTGTCGATTCTTGAAGTTATTATTCCCAAAATTGCTGTCTCGATTCCCACCGCTACTGAATCTGCTGCCTCCTCCACCATCGCGTCCACCAAATCGACCACCGCCACCGCGTGCTCCACCTCGCCTGTCGGAACGTTCGCGTTCGCCGTATGCCCTTTTTCAAACAAACAAATTCAAGTTATCAATCAATTATTTTTAATAAATATAAATTAGAATTTCCTCTCATGAATAAATAGAAACTAATTTCCTCAATAACATAGACTAATTTCCTTTTCGCAGTCGCTCACAAATGTGAAAAAGCAATGAGGATTCGCAAAATGGCGTACAGAGTTAACCGAGCACAAGTTGTCGAATTATAATCGAACAATAGACGAGAATCTCGCGTCGATTAGAATCACATTGTAACGATTTAGGACTTACATCGTAAGCAGGAAAAATGTGCCGCTAGCTTCTGTGCAAATTCCTTAACGTTTACCGTGAACAGCCTGAAACGTGGCCCGAGCCGATGATTGATTTCCTCGTACGGAGGAGGCCCTTGGCTGAAGAGAGCGAGAACGGTAAGAACAGGATGTTGACGTCACAGCTTCACGACGAGAAATAGTCCCTCCGCCAATCGCAATTACAGGGTATAAATGCGATCTGTGAAGAAAAAATTTGTATTTCGCGTGACAATTGCGAGTGTTTCTTTACATTACCAGGTCAAGAAGTCGATTATTCTCTTAAACACACTGATAAGTAATGAAAAATACAGGAAGTCGAAAACGGATCACGTGCGTGCAACGGTCTGAAAATTAGGTAGAGATATGTATAGTAAAACTTCCCCCTCTCCTGACATCACCCTCATCCTCATTTTAATGACATGTGCAGAATGAGAATATCGTTGTCTGCGCAGGTCTTTCACTTCTGCTTTTTTCACTCGCATTGTCACGTGATCGTGTGAAAGTAATGGGAGAATTTCAGTTTATATAAGTTTCACAATAGAGAGAGATCCATAAAACAGGGATTCTACTATATAAATGAAAATGATTTTTAATAATTATTTTTAACGCTTTGTATTGTAAAAATTATAAATTAAATGTAATTAATAAAAAGTTCTATATGGTTAGAAAATATATATTTCTATTTATTAATTTATAACTATTAATTATATTAAATTTAAAAAAATTAAATTTTTCTTCATTAATTAAGCTTTAATGAGTACAGTTTATGAAGATTTAGTTCTCGAGGACAAAGGTATCAAGAGATATGAGATACAATGTATATTTCATGGTACAAATGCAAGGGAAAATTCTGTAGATTTTTCCAAGAAAGCGAAAGTAGTTTACTTTATTAATCCTGCAACGTAGAACCATGTAACAAATGACATATCAATTCTTTCTGATAAGCTCTCTAGCAATTTATCATTAAGTAATATACTAATAATATCACAGTTATTAAAAACAGTTGTTAATCTCCAGTATCACAAATAATTATAAACAATCAATCACTTATTCAGTCGATTATCAAATAGCAAATTTGATTATATATATTAGTTAATTAATATAAATAACATTATATTGAACAGATAAAGCCTCTTGCACATTAATTTAGCCAAGTATAAAAGCAATTACAAGTATCTTAATCGTGGTAAATGTCCAATATGTGTGTGTATTCCGTCAAACAATGTGATAATTTGAATTAAGCATTCACTACTATTATAAATTGTAGTGTGTATGTTACCCATATACATCTTTATATTATTTCGTTTATATTTTAACATCTATCATGCTTATTAATATATTTAATCAAATTTGCTATAAGACTAGAGTCACAGAAAATTCACAGTTCTATTAAAACGAAAGAAATGTAAATCAATATCATATTCATATACAGTGTCGATCACATTTCTTTCTGCAGATTCATTGACAAATTTTTATCACATTTCCTTAGCCATTTCCTTTTAATGGCATATAACAATGGACAATTGTTTAATATCAACTCTAAAACACCTGGCAAATTAAACATTATTTTTAAGAATTTAAGTACGCAATTAAAATAAAATAATAATACTATGAAACTGTAAAAATTAAATAAAATTAATAATCCTTAATTTTCGTTTTTCGAAACAGATTTTTTAAGGATAAGTGTCAAAAGAAATTTATCACAGAAAGATAGTAAAACATACTGTAATAATAAAAAATAAAAATAGTAGTAACGTAAAACATACTTTATGATACTAAATTACTTTATAAAAAATTTTTGGTCAAGTATTGCACATAACTATATCGATGACGCATCTCTAACGTGCACAACTTTCTCTTCACTTTATTACTGCATATAATAAAATTACTTATTAAGATTAACAAAGTTTAATATGCTACAAACAAGCATAATTGGTGTAATAATATATATATGTATATATATATACAGGGTAGGCTATTTTAAGCTACGCATTGAAATATCTCAAAATCCATAAGTTTAAGACAAAAATGTTTCAGACAAAAATTGTATGGCATGAAAGGGGACATAAGATGGTGCCATTAGTTTGACTTTGAAGAGTCACCTGAAGATCACCTCCAACTTTTTAAATGGGACGCCCTATATACTTTTGCATATCCTCTTGTAGCTTGTCTCAAGAGCTTTCCAAAACACTATAATAAAGTATTTTTTCTTTGAATATTTTTCGAATTATGAGGCTTAAAATAATATCTTAATTTTACATAAACCATAAAATATCTAGTAAAATCTTCATTTTTCGATTTTTCTTACTTTAATACTTTTATGTACAAAAAAATAATGAGAGGAATCAATTGATGTAAAGAAAACACATAATTGTTTCGAAGAAAAAATATGTAATGTGTTACTGTAATTTGTAATTAACAATTATATATTTTTCCTTAAAAACAACTGTGTTTTCTTTATACCAATTGATTCCTCTCTCGTTATTTTGTACATAAAAATATTAAGGTAAGATAATAAAAAAATGAATATTTTACTAAATATTTTATAGTTTATGTAAAATTGAAAAATTATTTCAAGCCTCATAACTCGGAACATACTCGATGAAAAAATACTTTATTATAGTGTTTTGAAAAGTTCTTGAGGCAAGCTATAAGAATATGTAAAAGTAGGTAAGATGTCCCATTTAAAAAGTTGGAGATGACCCTCATGTGACCTTCATATGACTCTTCAAAGTCAAACTAATGGCACCATCTTATATCCTCTTTCAAGCCATACAACTTTTGTCTGAAACACGTTTTGTCTTAAGCTTATGGATTTTGAGATATTTCAGTACGTAGATTAAAATGGCCTACCCTGTATACTACTTGCAGTAATTTTTTGTGTAACATTTCATAAAATTTATAAATAAAATTCTTATCTATTGCATGTATAAAATAGAATATAAAATAATTATTTAAACAAGAAAAAAACTTTGACTTTTGAGTGATTGCACTCTAATACATATTATATAGGAACTCATTCTTCTGCTCTTGTTAAATTTTGATTTGTAAAATTAGCTGCAAATGCATTAAAATGGTGTCAAAGGCTTTCATTATTCACTGCGTTAAATATGTAAATGGATGGACACACTACATGTAATAAATATGTTATCAAACAGATAGGTCGACAAATAAACCGTCGACTTACAAATATTAATCGACTATTATTCCCTTGATAATATAATATAATATACACTATCATATCGATATTTTTTTTATTCTGTATAATTTATTATTTTCCCTTGTTTCCTGTGTTTTTTCTTATTTATTATAACTTTTATGTCGACCTTAATCTGTATGCATCCAACCAAATTCACTATAACTAAACATGACACATTTCATACATCATCGAAAAGATTATTATGTACTATCGATCGTGTAAAAACGCGATTAATAAGTTGTGCCTCTATATGGATAACCGCTTCCATAGTTATCGCTACTCCCATAATTTTGAGGCATACTTCCCTGTCCATAGCTTCTTTGTGTGCTATATCCATATGTCGTACTTTGTTGACCCAAAGAAGAACTTTGTTTCATATTGTTATAATTATTATAATCCGATCCTGAATAAACACTTGAAGAAGATTGATAAGAACTTCCGCCACGAGAAGGACCTCTTCCTCTTGTTGAAGTACCTCCTCTTCCTCTACCATCATTGCCTCTTCGACCGTTACCTCTTTCAGTACCATTACCACCAGAAGCACCAAAACGTTTTGCACCTTAATGTAGATATAAAATGTATGAAATAATTTATAGTAAATATACAGTTAGTATACAGTTAAATTTTCCTATTTTAGATTTTTCTCTTAGTTCTTCAGTTTTTCAATCCCTATACTAAGAAAATATTATGTTCTGATATTCTAAATGCTTAGAATAAGAATGAATGAAAAATGAATGAGAAATAAGAGAAACTATGCATAATTTTATATAATGATGTGACAAATATGAGTAATGGAAATTTAAAGTAATTTTTTTTAAGGATAGAGAAATTCGACTTTATTATGGAAAGATACCTCTGCCGCTAAAATTTCCTGCTTTGGCCATTTCCGCCATTTCACTGAGACGTGGATTGACATTCTGCCCAGCTTCTCGTAACACCTCTATCAAGTCTCCAGCATGCTTCATATTGTGACTCGTGAAAAACGCGTATGCCGTTCCAGTTTGTCGTCTACGCCCGGTTCGACCGATTCTATGTATGTAGTCCTCCGATGAGGATGGATAATCGAAATTTATCACATATTTCACATCATCCACGTCTGTGAAAATGTCATGGAAAATGTTAGAATTGTTGATATTAATAAGCAATAATTTTATATGATATACTTTTCTTCGTATATATCTTTACATTCTTTTTAGAAAAAGTATATTTTAATTCTTTATAGATTAAGAAATAAATTCAGATATTTTTTTGCTTGATTACAAAAATATTATCACAGCACATTTGAGAATAAAAGTTTATCAACGCTTGTGGTGTTCATATATATGAATATATTATTGTAAATTTGTTTAAAATAAGGAAATAAATTTTTTTAAATAAGAGAAGATATATTTTTCAAGTGAAATAATTAAATGCATATTGAGATATAAAAAAATATGATATTATTTTTTGGTAAAGCATTATTGATATTAATTTCTGCTAAGAATTTAGTCAATAAAATAAATTTTGACCCACCTTGCACTTGGACGTTCCGATGTGAAATCAGCAAGAGCCGACTCTTTTTAAAGTGTGGGCAATTCTGGTTGCTTTCTTATGGTAAAATATTGGTGGCCTAGAGATTAGACAGACACAGCGGTTGTGTCTGGTTTGGGATAGAGGCAGCAATTTAGGGTTTAAGCCTGAGTGCATTAGTTTCGATAGGCATTATATAATTTCTTAAAATTAGAGGCACTTGATAACTTAGTAATTGCACTTTTCGAGTTATTGCAAATTATCACAATTATATATTTAAAATTATTTAATGTGTGCAGACTTTTGAAAGAAAATCATTTGGTTCATTAACATCAAGTAATGATTATTTAAACACAACACACATTTTATAATCTAACTGTCATGTGTCATTTAATATATATTGAATGTCATGTAATGTACTTATTAAATATTATTATAAAGTTCATTTTACTATTTTGCAATAATGAGAAAATTAAAATAGAAGTCAAATATATGAATCTATCCTTGGAAATTGTGATAAGATATAAGCAAAGGAAAATAAAATAGTCACTGTGTCTGCCCAATACTGGCAGTACACCGCGTTGAGTTAGGGTACTCTGTGCCTCTGAAAAAGAAAAGCAGACAGACTTAGTGGTAGCTTGTGTGCATTTTTTTAGAACTTGTTCTTATACATATTATTGTCAAAATTAGTAAAACTCTTTCAAAATCGAAGTTAATCATATATTAATAAAAATAATATCATGAGTAATTTAGTTATAAATCAAATATGAATAGAGAAAATGTTTTTAATTTTTGTATAATAATGAGGAATATAAATATAAATTTATTAAAAAATAATGGAATTATATATAATATTAAAAAGTAAAAAGAAATGTATAAAAATAATAAAAGAAAATAATTTAATAAAAAGAAAAATGTTTAATAAAAAAAAATTGTTTAATATCTACATAATTGCAGAACAAAAAGTTGCTTGTAGGAAAACAAACTATATAAAAAATATTGTAAATTTTACATAATTCCATGATACAATCAGAAGTAATAATAATAAAAAGTTCCAATGCATCACACACTGCTACATACACACAGCTGTCGGCTGGCCTCACTCTAATAACGCATCACTGGCTAATCCAATAAGTGTTGCCAATACCCAGTTTAACCGTAATTCTTCTAATGTAACCTACACCAAAGCGTAGCCGAAATAAATAAAGTTTTACTTACCCAAACCTCTAGCAGCTACATCGGTTGCGACTAAAATCGGTGCTCTTCCGCTGCGAAATTCTTGTAGCACATGATCTCTTTCTTGCTGATTCTTGTCACCGTGAATACTCACGGCTTGCCATCCATCACGTCTAATGTTTCTTGTGATATCGTCCACTTTACGTTTAGTTTCCACAAATATAATGGTTTTATTCTCTTTTTCAGTACCAATCTCTTGAAGCAGTCTATACAATTTCGAATCTTTCTCATACTCATGACAAACATCAATGATTTGAGTGATATTGTGATTGGCCGATAGGGTCAAAGAGCCGATATTAAGATGAACATAGTCCGTCAAAAAATCTTCGGCAAGGGCGCGAACTTCTTTAGGCCATGTCGCGGACCACATTAAAACTTGTCTGTCGGGACGTATTTGCTCGATTATTTTTCGTATCTGAGGCTCGAATCCCATGTCTAACATACGATCTGCTTCATCGAGTACTAGATATGTACATCTGACAAATACAATAAAATGATATTCAAATAATTGCATATTTCTTATAATTTTCAGTCTAACATATATAAATTAGTGAAATTTAAAATTATACATACCTACGTAAATTTGTAGTCCCTCTTTCTAAGAAATCTATAAGTCTACCTGGAGTAGCAATGCATATTTCGATGCCTCTTTCCAAATCATGTGCTTGCGGACCTTTTGGCGCACCACCAAAGATACATGTATTTCTTACAGCTGCAGTCTCTCCAAAGCAATTAGCTACTTCTTGAATTTGTTGTGCTAATTCTCTAGTTGGAGCTAAGACCAAGACAATTGGACCATCTCCATTGCTTAAGCGTGGTTGATGTATGATATGCACAATTGCAGGTAAAATGTACTGAAAAAAAAATGTTGCTGTTTAACACTTCTGATATATACATATGTGTATTTATTTCTTTATTCAAATTATACAAAATTTATATTATTAAGCTACATTTGTGCTTTAAAGATATTTGTTATTATATAATATAAGAAACAAGATTAAATGTTCTTAAATATAAGAAACAAGATAATGTTATAAAATTGTTCTCATTTTCTAAAAAGCATAGATTTCAAACAGTTAAAATATATTTCTAATACTACTCACTCCAAGTGTCTTTCCTGAACCGGTTTGAGCAATTGCTACAAGATCTCTACCACTAAGGGCAATAGGCCATCCTTGCGCTTGAATTGGAGTAGGCTGTGAGTATCCTTGTCTACGAATACCCTCCATTACATAGGGTGGAAAATTTCCCTCTTCAAAATATTGTATAGGATTGGGAACATTTTCACCTTTTACAGTTATTTCTGCATTTTCGCGAAATTGACTTACTTCTTCATTAGATCTAAATTCAAAATATTCTTATTGTAATTAAATTTAATATATGTGGACATTTTGTATCAAATAAATAAATTATTAAAAACTATATAAAATACCTATTTCTAACTGCAGGATGCTCTATATAAAAATCTTTGCGTAGTGGTTCCAAAGTGCGAAGATCCCAATTTACTTTTCTTAAACCACCACCAGGTTGCTTTCCTTTTAATCCGCCTCGTACATTATTAGCGCTTCCTCTACCAAGTGTAGCAAATCTGCTAGCAATGTGCCCACGTCCATTATCACTGCCTCCTCTACTAGTACCTGTCCTGATAGTTCCACCACGACGGCCCCTACCCTGATCTCGGTCACGACTAAACCTAAACATTTATATATACTTTTATATATACTAGCATTTATATATACTACTAACATTTATATATATTAGAAAATTATGAATTTTAATAGATAGATAATCTTTATTTTTCAGCTTTATGAATTTTAATAAAAGTACAATCTATATATATTATATAATACTCTGTTCAATAAATCATAGGCTTTATTAACTAAATTTGAATAGATAAAATTAATAAAAATTCCAAATTTAATTTAATTTAATTTACAAGCTCTGATCATTCAAATTATCCTACAATTAATGCTAAACACAGACAACACTCTGCATATGATTTATAGTAAATATAATTTCTATACCTTATTTTTTACTACAGATTAAATCAGAATTTGTATTAAAATATATACAACAATTATGTTATATATATTTGTATTATTACAAATTGTTCAATAATCCTTGTCATTACAAATGATTAAATAATCAATTGATCTTCATGAAATATTGAAAAAAAATTAAAAAATACTACATTTCCTCTTTTTTTTAGCTTTGATAGCGGATTATTTTTTTATCAAGAGCGATGCATTGTCCTAAAGAATAATGCAATTTTAATTACTATCTTCTTTTGTTTTTATAGATAGGATAGTCCATTTTATATTGTCAGAGTATCATCTCGAAGCATCTCAAGAAAAATAGAATTAATGCGCGTTTCTCGCGAACGAATCACCGTAAAAATTCAGTTAAGAATAATTCGATCGTGTCGCGGTCAGACAAACGAGAAAAATATCAATTTCCGAGCGGTCAATAACGTCAGACAGCTTCCGTTATCGATTAACATTCACCACGAAACGCTGCTCATACAGCTTTACGTGTTCCTCTACGAAGAATCTCGCGGATATCCCACGTGTCTCACAAGACGACCGATTGTCGAGAGCGATCGTTTCGCATCCCGTACGACGTTGTCATTGCGTACTTACATCGAAAAGCGGAAAAATAACTTCCTGCGGGTAACGGACGACTATCGAAGCCACGGACGGTTCCACGGGAGCCAATCGATGGTATATCAACGATGTATCTAAATCGCTCGTGATAATTGGATTCTCGGCAAGTCAGATGAATCTCGGCGAAATCGAGCAAATTACTAATAGAAACTAGTCAATTTTTTACACGCGGAAAAACGCGAACAACGTTTGACCCGCCACCGGCGAATCGACGGATCGAAATTAACAGGCCAACTTCCGCAAGTAGTTCCGTGTAAACCGTTTCCACGGCAACCACGCGGAGTGATACGCGGACGCTTTCCCGGTGCCCGCCCATTTCCGGCCGAAATCCATACTCGCGACGATTCGCGACGATCCACGATGATTCGCGAGCGCGTGATTCGCTGTCAGACCGCGGCGCGGAAAAGATGACGCCAGTGGCGTCGCAGCATCTGCTCGAGCCGGTAAATCCGGTAGATGTGATTAGATTCGATCGCAGTAAATGGTATTGAAATTTAAAAATTAATTCGTCTCTTAAGACGTTCATTTTTCACATTCGTAAAATACATAAGAGGGCTACTGCGAACACTTCTCTTCCATTGGTACGTGTGCAAAAAGGAATTTAAAAAAAAAAGAATTTTATGACGCAGATAAGAATTTTAGTTCGTCGAATTTATACCGGCTCATAAATATATGCGTGTATATGTGAAGGTTGAAAACGTCGAATGTTATAAAATTTATTGTTACATTTGTATACTGTAGTTGAATTTGCATATACATATATCTATACAGATATTTATAATTGCTATACTTTGTATTTTTTTTCTATTTTTGCCATCTGTACTTGACAGGTCGCCTGATTGCGGGGCAAAGTCCGCAGTAAGCATGCTTTTATAGCTGGAGTCTGCTTGAACTTGACGAGTTACGATTTACTACTAGGATTTATTATCACATATCCACATGCTTGGAATCCGCTCCCAGGACCTGATCTGATACAAGGCTGTTATCATTGGTGGATGCAGCGAACGGAAGAAGAATGATAAGGTTATCTAAGTGTAGGTTCCTTCCATGTGCACATTATTTATTGAAGTAACGATATTTTTGGATAAAAAAATATCGCATCGAAGCCGAACAAGGATTGACGATGACGGAGCACGAGCAAAACGCAATGTTCGTGCGCCTGATGTCGGCGTTATTTTACGGACTGTCATCGTTTATGATAACGGTTGTCAACAAAACCGTGCTCACGTCCTTTGCCTTTCCGTCCTTTCAAGTGTTGGGGATCGGCCAGATGTTGGCGACGATATTAGTGTTGTTCGTCGCCAAGAAACTACGTTACGTCGAGTATCCCAATCTGGAGGTGACAACGTTCACCAAGATGTGGCCATTACCCTTGATATACATCGGCAATATGATATTCGGACTGGGTGGCACGAAGCAACTGAGCTTGCCGATGTTCACCGCCCTGAGGAGATTCAGTATCCTCATGACGATGATCGCCGAGTATTATATTCTTGGCATTAAAGCACGCATGTCTATACAATTAAGTGTTTATACCATGATTCTGGGTGCAGTGGTAGCTGCGCTCAACGACCTTGCCTTCAATCTCGAAGGTTATATCTTTATCCTGTTGAATGACTTTTTTACCGCCGCTAATGGTGTTTACATGAAGAAGAAATTAGACTCTAAGGAGTTAGGAAAGTACGGACTGATGTATTACAATTCTCTGTTCATGCTAGGTCCAACTGTCCTGTTAGCATGGTGGATGGGTGATATAGCCTTAGTGTTAGAATTTCCCGATTGGTCGAATTTGTTATTTATTTTACAGTTTATATTATCGTGCATAATGGGTTTTGTATTGTTATATAGCATGCTCCTTTGTACACTGTACAATTCTGCATTGACCACTACTATAATTGGATGCTTGAAGAATATATGTGTGACGTACCTTGGTATGGTTATTGGTGGAGATTATATATTTTCGTGGCTCAATTTTGTAGGATTAAATTTAAGTGTGATAGGTAGTTTAGTATATACTTGGGTAACATTTCGTAAGAGGGAAACTTCACAGTCAAAGTATACTCTGTTGACTGAACCTCAAATCAGCAAAATACAAGCTGTATGATTGTAAATTTTCACATAGACATCTAACATGTACAATATGAAGAACAAACTTCATACAATAGAGTTATTATCATTTCAAAAAAGCATGTAATAGTGATCTTTGTTTAGATATATAAAAAAATGATTAATACATATAATGCATTTCTTCATTCTAAACAAAGATCAAGATGATGACCAATATGCTATAAGCCATAATTTTATATGTTTGTTCCTTGTATAAGTATGTATGTCACAAAGTGCTTTTTAACTTTGAAGTTACAGAGCGACGTGAAATAACGCGTATACATACGTGAAATCGCTGATCACCTGACTGTAATATGTACCAAAGTAAAAAAGTATTGTTACCAGATAAGTATTACGCTAACTTTAGGAAAACGTTCAGGTCAATTGAGGTACATCATCGCCATAAAGTTAGTTGTAATCTGTATATATAACTATCTGTACATATATAACACTATTCTAATGGAAATAAATTTTATCTATTAACTAGAGCACATGATCAAACTTCATTTTCTCCTCACTCGGTTTCAGGCCGTTTCGCGACTGCCTCGGCACGCGAAACATTTCTGGAGGATTATGCCAAGCACCATGTATCCCTATCCTCTCTGCAGCGTGTGCTTCTCACGGCGGGCTCGGCGGTGATATCGTTGGCGAACCCGTTTCGAGGTGACATGATAGCATGTCTTGGGGAAACTACCGGTACAAACGCCCTCGTGCATTGTCATCGACAGATGAAGAATACAGCTGAGGGTCAACGTATACTCGCGCAAAAGCCACGTGTAAACACGTCCACTGTCGATCTCTCTTATCTCCGAGATCTACCACCAGGAACTGTAGGCAGAACGTATCGTGATTTTTTGGATAATAATGTAAGATATGAATTTTATCGTTCATCGAAAAAAAAGGACACGTTCATCAGCATTTCTTTCTTGAACGGGCAACTGTAATGTATGCGTTGCAGAAGGTATCTCCCGACGAGAGAACAATGGTGCAATTCATCGATGATATCGAGCTGGCTTATGTGATGCAACGATATCGGGAGGTGCATGATATCTTTCACGCTATGCTTTTAATGCCTACGACGATGCTAGGAGAGGTGTCTGTTAAATGGGTAGAAGCTTTACAGCTGCGCCTGCCGATGTGCATAACCGGTGCAATATTCGGAGCGAGTCGGCTACGTTCTAGGTAAACTAATGCTTGACGAACGCTCTGTATGATGGCTTATGATTATCGCTGGATGACGTATCATCACTTTTATATATCGTATAACATTTCAGGCAACGACAATTGTACCTACATTATCATCTTCCGTGGTCTATAAATACGGGATTAAACGCAAAGTTCTTGTTAGGGATTTATTATGAGGAGCGCTGGGAACAGTCTCTCGAGGATTTTCACAGAGAGATGAATATCACACGTCTCGTATGATAAAAATTTAGTTAATCGAAAGGTGAAATTATATAATAAATATTAATAATGAGACTGTAAATAATGACTGTAATTTATCAATGATTATTTAGTTATTTGTGATAAAACGAAAAATAAAGTTGTGGTAAACGTTTATTTCCTTAATTCGCCAAACCTTTCAATTTTCAGTGTAATATAATTTCAAAGAAAGCGCTCTATAATTTTTTCTTTAGATTTGTTGAATATTTACCGGATAGTTTCGAAAGCAACACACATTATTGATATTACAAATTTGATTTAATTAAACGTTACATCTGTTATAAACATATATAATCTAAAATTGTACGTTTACCATAATCGTTATTATCGTCGTTGTTGTTCCAATTAGCGTAATTGTGATTCTCATCTTTTGCTCTCTTGCTCCTTTTTTTGTTTTCTTAATATTAATTGCGTTATTATATATAGGATGTATCTTAAAATAAAAGACAGTCTTTATAGAGACATTATATCTATTGAATAAAAAATACGCTATCTATCTTGAAGCGCACATTTTTTTATAATTATTTTTGGCACAAAAATTTTCATTTAGATACATTTTCTTACATTGGAAGAATTAGTGACGCGATAACATGATCTGTAAAGAGCGCCTTCATTTTAAAATACACCCTGTAAATTATTATGTTTTTGAATAAAAACAGATGACTTAGCTTAAGATATATATAAGAAAGGATATATTTATATATATATGAAGAGTATTTCTATTTAAAAATTTTGCGCCATTGCGAAATTTGATTAAAGATTAAACGATTCGCCTTCCTCCTAAGATGGGTAAGCTGAATCGATCAATACGAGTATATTATGATATTATTTTGTAAAATAAGTACATATAAATAGATGAGCAAAACTGATTGTCATTATTCGACGTAATTGAGTATTACGTTCGTTTTATGCTGATCTCATTAATATTATTTTGCTTTGACTACACGCAACGAATTCTATACGACGATATAAAATATACCCAGCTATAAGACAAAATACGATTAAGCCTTGCGCAAAATCTGCACCAAAATTACGATAAACTTTGCTACAAATCTTGTCCATAATCGTTCTACGATTAGCTCTGGGTAATAGATATAGAAAAAATGGAACAATTTTCTTAAGAGTAAAAACGATAATGATTATCACATATATATATAAGCGTAGGAAAGAGAGATATGTGTAAAGTAATAAATTAGTAAATAGATAAATATTCGCGCGCGAAATCACACATTTCTCTCAAATACTGATTGATCATGGAAATAATCAATGAAAGATATCACCTTCAGAGATTATTCCTCAATTATAATGCGTAGAATATCGTACGAGAAACCTGCGATTATTCGCTGCATTTGAGTTTTATCATTATATTATTAACCTACATTTATAATCAAAATTAGATAAATCTAGTTGAGCAGTAATATTTTAGTGGCCAGAGAGCATCCCATACCTTGATGTGTTTAGGCATTGACGACTCTTCGACTCGATGTATCGGATTATCGGCAATTGAAAAGTTCGAGCCACACATGCAAAAGCGATCAAGAAAGCAATCAGGATGCTTCTCAGCTGATTGTAATCGATTTGGTCCGCGCTGCTGCTGCTGCTGATGATGAGCATGGATCGTTTTCCGCACGCTCTCGCAGAAATGCGTTCGCATAAATTTAATCCAAAGTCAACTTCTTGAGGTAGCAGTGAATCTCCTGGAAACTCGGCCGATCCTCCGCGCGTTTACACCAACATCGCAGCATCAGCCGATACAAGTCGTCTGAACAAAATACTGGCTGTTCGAGAATCCGCGGACATTTTCTTTTACCGCCGCTGTCGATTGAATGATACCACAGGCCACAGTTCTCCAACACTTGTTCCGGAGTCAGGTCGGCATGGGGTACGTCTTCGCAGCGCGTCAGAACTTCCCAAATTGTTACGCCATACGACCAAACGTCAGATTGACAGCTTCGTTTTCCCTTTGTATATAAACGGCAAAATTGTTCTATTATTAGATTGATTTAAATATTACAGAATTTTTGAATAAGTAGCCGAATATTTTAAAATAAGATTGGTCGCTCTAATTTTAAGGCAATTACCGATAATACTGCTTCCCACGCCATCCAACGTAACGGTATCTTGGCATAACATTCATCAACGTAATATTCATTATCGTATTTACTGCAATACATGGCTTGGTCGGATACTTTAATCAACAGATCTTTACAGACGATGCAATTCCTACGACGCAAAGCATGAATATGTGCAACATACGTACATGAGTTTATTATGAAATATTATGTAGTGAATATGTTACCTGGCTGCCAAATCGCAATGAGGTACGTTTAAACTTTCGAGATACTTCATACCCGAAGCGATTTGCGTGATGAGATTTAATGAGCACTCGTAACTGCAAAATTCATTATTGTATAAGAGTCTGATAAAAAGAAATAAAAATTCGAAATCTCTAATTAAATTGTCATGCAGTCTTACCTTATTGGCACATTGCGGTCATGATTTTTTAGAAAACTGGACAAATCTCCAAGTTCTCCGTATTCGAAGATGGCACTAAAAGGTTCTTCTTCAACAATGGCGATTATCCTGGCAATGTTGACATCACGAATTTCAGCCAAGATTCGCATGTCATTCATAAAGTCCTCCCTAATTGATTTCCATGCAAATTAATATTTTGCAGAATTAAAATCAAATAATATCGCTTTACCTTAGAGCATCGACGACACCACGCCATAAAGACCGGACTATCACTACTTGACGATTTTGAAGGATACCTAAATCCGGATTTTGTATGCCTTTCGCTTCGCATAGGTGAACCTAAGCAAATTAACATAAATACATGGATTCATAAATATTTGAATAGTTAAAAAGTTAAATAGCACAGAGATTTAAAATTACGATTAAAAGACATTTGAAAAACAATATCTTTCAAACGTTTCCTATAATGGTTTCAGAAATGATGTTATTCCCTGAAAGATGAAGTACATACGTGGATGAAACTCACCAAACCAAAGTTTCCCTCGCCGAGTTTATCGAGAATCCTTAATCTATGTCGAGAGATACGTGGAACATCGTAAGTCCCGCGTTTGTACGATACAACAGAATCTCGAATGAGTAGCGGTGTGAAAAAACTCACGCTTGGATGCTGATCGCGTCTCTTTATCTACAACATATCGTAATACTGTATCGAGTATTGCATTAACAATCACAAAATCGTTAAATCACTATCATGCTCGAACGTACTGCGAGCACATTCTTACCGTCAAGATGTCTGTAGCCGCATAATAACTCTCGTAAACCCTCTGATTGATTTTTCCCGTTTGCGAAGGATTCGATTTTATTGTTGGAATTATGCATTCCACTCGTGTTTCGTCGTTAAAGTTTTCGTTGTTTTTAATATCTAAAACGTATACGGATCGGTGATAATATTACATAGAATGTAATATATGAAACGCGCTCGACTAAATTGGAGCTGCATTAATTATTCGTTAAATATATTCCATTTAATTACAATTTACTAATTAATGTATTTATATTAATGGATGTGAAATTAACCATGAGTAAATTAAATGTCATCAAGAAAGATGCAAAAAAGTTGAAACAAATATAAACTGATAAAGACGCAAAAACTAAATAAATTATTTTGATAATTATAGGATAATCATTACGTCGCGATCATATATATTTATTATTTAGCGATTATGTACATTTTGTTATTTTTTAGTTGAAATATAAAATGAAAATAAATTGTCTCTTTCTCTCTTTTTCTGTACACAATTAAATACGATCAATATTAGCTGATTATTAATATCATTATCATTAATATACGATTCATATACATACCAAATTGTTCTGTTTTATAATTGGATCTTCCTTCGCATTTCATATACTGTTCCGTGGGTATTTTATCAATTTTCTCGTAAGCATTACGTTGCCCATTCGCACCGACATCGTTGAATTTGTAATCGTTATTCGAGCCAATCTTGCTCTTTAACGACAATCTCGATTGCGATAGATTGTTTACTACAATCGGTGTAGGTAATTTGATATCCTTCGTATTGATCGTGATACCCGATGCCGGCGAGCCGCACAGTAACGCAGTATGTTTTTGCAGTAGAGCCACTTTGTTGCGACCCCTCTGCTTCATCAAGAAGATTGTGCAACTCGAGAGGAAGGCGATGACAGTTAACGCTGCGCTGATCAATCCGATATACGTTGGTGAATTATTCACGGGAAAAGCGTCTGGCGTTAGATTCGACTCGTTTAACACCGATGTTGTTTCATTCGATTCAGTTATTCCCGTCATTGTATGTCCGATATTAATTCCTTTTTCATCGCCAGTTGCGCCTCTGATTTTGTTATCTATTTGAGTCTCGTTGTTTTCGTCCTTATTTTGTCTGTCCTCCATCTGTTTTATTTTTGCAATCTGATCTTCATTAATCATTTGAGTCATATTTTCATTGTTATTCAAATGTATCCATACTCGTTCCAATGCTCTGTCAGTGATGTTCTTTATATCTGAAACTGGATTACACACACAAAATATTTAGATTATTTTAAATTTTTGCGAATATATAATGATAAAGCTAGAAAGATTACCTGTCTCAAATGTGATCTCGCTCAACAATAACCATTTTGACTTAAATTTTAATTCTATCTTAATAAATTTGCCGATTCTTGACTGTAAGGGAATGGATATCGATATACTGCTTCTGCTTCTGCCATTTTTCTCATTGCTGCTGTTAGGGATGGTGTTCGTCTTAGAGTCATTAAATGTTTGAAATATTTCTGGCGTTGCGTGATAATCCTTGCCATCCAGTGAAAACCAAAAATTTGCCATCGAGAATGTCTAAAAATATTCTTGATGTTACAATAAATTAGAATAAGTTTGTTAATAGAGCTTATTTCTCGAATAATCACGCACCTCGACACTTAGATCGGGCAAATCGGCCACGTGAATCGTGCAGTTTTTAAATTTCTGAGAAAGTCGGAATTCAAAGAACAATTCTACATTGTCGCGATTGTGCCATCCGACCCAATTGGTTACTCTATTAGATTCTCGGATCTCACTTTCGCTGCCGATTATACCATCTGTTAATTGTCCCAACCCATTTAACATTAAATTCTCGATCTCGGTGCCATCATATGACGTATCCTCGACATTGCATCCATTAGGTCCAATTTTATCAGCTTTAGGCATAGCATAATTAGCAATGTTTCCTGCATAAAAAATAAAGGGCATATTTTTTCATATATTTACGTATATTAACGAAGATTTGAATTTTTCGTCTTCGTCTTTAAATTGATTGATTATATCTTTAGATATATATATATGTAATATCTTCAGATTTATTTCTTCACATGAAATTTTATAAATTATTTATTATATTAATATAAAAAACGAAAATTACTCGATTAGAATTGTTATAATATTATATACATTCGTGAGGATAAATCCGTAAATATAAATAAATATAAAATTAGAAGAATTGCATACTCACGGTTCCAGATGCAACCGTAAATCTCGACACGCATGCACACGGTGCGCGGATGTTGACTGTAAGGAACAAATCTCACTCGACTCGCAACAAACGGTAAATCCAACTTCTGCTTCTCGACTAGATATGTATTGCTATTACCACGCAGGATCTACATAATATAATTTGAAATTTTAATTAAATAGTTTCGAGTCGATCCTCTTATCTTAATTATATCGAAGTCGGATACAAACGCATACCTTGTTCCCCTTCAAATCTTTATACTGATGCCACTTTTCGTGTCGCCAATATTCCAGAAAAAATGCCTCGGCGTATTCCTGACCCTGACCGTTTCCGAATCGACCTTGAGTCTCGGTCCACGTGATAAGATGATCTCTCGTCAAGTCAATTTCCAGATATTCGCGTATAGCGCTACTGATTTGAGCTTTCGGACACCAAGCACCACCGTTCTTTTCCTGCCGTATTCTATAAATATTTATCAATTAATTTTCATATATAATTATTACATAAATATTATCACATTTTAAGTTCCGTACCTTGCATTTTGAGGGCCGACGGATTTCATCTCGTAACTGGACGATGCCGTGATCGCTTCATCCGGGATTCTTCCTTCTTCCATGCCAAGGGGAAGAATGCATTTTTCTAAAATCATCATCATTTTTATAGCTTTAATATTTTAATATTATTATTATAAAATTTTTATAATTATTATTATAAAATCATCATTATTTTTACATTTTTTATATTTAGGAGTAAATATGATTTTATTTATATAATTTCAAACAAGAAGCTAAATATTATCTATTTTAGCTTTGAAGTGCCATTTGTTTTCATAAATGTATAAAATGTAATAAGAGAAATATGAATAAACTGGAAAAAAATATTAAATATGCTTATTATTCAAACATAAAATAATTATTTATTTTTTCACTTAAAATTGTATTTTTTTATCACTTTTTTATCATTACTATTTTCAAACAATTATTAACATTATTAATTATTATTTGACTTATATATGCAATTAATCCTCAATAAATAACAGGAGGAAATCAAAAAGTCGCTTTTATTACTTCTTATAATTTTAAAAATTAATTGGGAAAAATAAATTTTTTTGTCAAAGGACATCACATAGATCTCGCGAATGCGGTCTGTAAAAAAATAATATGTATATTAAAAAACAGATCATTATATGAAAGAAATATTGATAATGGAACAATAAAATGATAAAGCGACTTACCGAAAGCGTTTCCAGGGGATCCCTTTGTACACCAGGTAAACAGCATTAGAATTTGTATCAAAAGACGTACTGGCTCCATGATATGTTACGATAGCGCAGCGCGTATCGACAGCCCGAACGCATTTATAAATCATAATATAACTCGAAGAAATCTCCCCTCATCGCGTTCTTTCTCGCAAATCCATCACGCGGTAAAAAATTCGAAAAAAAAAGAAAAGGGATGTGATCGACGAAACGGCAATGTTCACGAGGGTAATGCAGCTTTTTGCTCGCACAGGGTGGGGATGTTGATACTCGGCGTAGCTCGGCCCGGCTGTTGTCTCTGCGCAACAAGTATGGAACGATCAATATGCGTTATTTCGCGGGTGGGCGAAATTCCGCGTATTTCGCTAATCTTCTTTTTTCCTCCTCTAAACGGACGAGCGCGTTTGCTCTCGATTCCTCAACAGCAGAAAGATCGAGCATCATGCTCGAGATTTTCAGACTCTAATCCCGCGCATACTCTTGAGATTCTTACCGTTCGAAAGGGAAATCGCCGACCCTTGAAAGCTGGTCTCATAATTTAAATGAAACACGTGCGTTGCGTTAACGATAATTCTTCTCGCAATGAAGCCTGGCACTTTAATAATTTTGCTCGACTATTTCTCTGCTTCAATTTCTCTATTATGTGTGTAAGACGTTTGCACAATGGTCAATTTCCGATGGTCACTTTCGCAACATCCGTGCCAACGAAAAGTAATTCGCAGCATTACTCTCGCCACAGCCACTACAATATCGCGGAAGGAAGGACCTTATATAGGGATGTGTGATAACGCCAAGGGGTGTGACGTTTCGATAGGCGATAGCAGCGGCATTTCAGTGCGCAAAATCATAAAATTCCCGGCAATCAAAATACCTTTTCGTACAATATCAAGATAGAACTTTTAGTAAAATTAATTCTCTAGTAATTAAATCGTTATCAGTTTTTTTGTTCTATATCTTATTATATATATGTGAATAATGTATAATTTATATAAAATTTGTAACATTTATCTATTTCGAAAAAAACTGATAAAAGCGATTTAATTACATTTATATAGATCTTTTTCTAGCCATTATAATATGTAGGTAATTAACTTCAAAAATTTAACATGAAATATGAAATAAAATATTTTTTTTATATATTTTTAATATATATGTTTAAATAAAATAAAGTTATTATATATTAAATAAAAGTTATATTAAATTCAATTTGATATGATTAAGTGAAAAAAAATGCAAGTTATAAAGATATCTTAATGAACACCAAATATTCAAATATCAGTTTTTTTATTAGCACATTTGCTTTTGTAATACTTTTCATGATTCTGTTTACCTACGTTTTCTCGTTTCGTATCTTACTACCGTTTTCTGTACAATTGGTAGTACCTGTTTACGTGTTGCCTTTATATTTCTTTGTCTATATAAACAGAGTTTATATTTCTCATCTTCAATTTCTTTGATCAGTTCTAAATTTAAGTATGCTTCAAAAGAAAACAATGCTACAGTTATCTATAAATAAATACGATCAAATCAAACACAAAATCATATATATATATATATATATATATATATATATATATATGTTGAGATAAAATTTGATAGATAGCATTGGCATTAAATAACACTCACATCAAATGCTAATCGATTATCTAATGTTGAAAAAACTGCAATATCTTTAGATACACACTTTTGTTCATCGCTTATATTTTGGCCCATGAGAATAATGACATCATAATTTCTATCATTACCAAACTTTTCAATTGTCTCTTTTGCATTTTCTCGCGTAAGAAAATTCTAAAATTGATTATAAGACATATTTATAAAATAAATGAAAGTTATAAATTTGTTAATTAGTAATAGAAATTCTTAGTAACAGAAATAAATAACATACTTCTATCAAAAAAGGAAACCCTACAAGAGGTATACCATTGGTTACTTTCAGATCTTTAATCATAAGTTCTTCAAGAGTTAATTCACTAATATCTGTTTTTGCATCCATAATTTTATTAAATGTTTCAGTTCTTGTTTCAGATGTAAGTCCACCAAGTTGCTCAAGAGCATTTAATACACTAATATCAGTGGCAGTTGCCCGACGAACCTTATGTGACATATTGCAAGTGTCGATTAATATTGGACCTGGAAAATACATTGCATATTATATTAGCAGCATTGTTATAACAGCATCATTAACAACAATTTTGCAAAAGATAATGCTTACCTCGTAAAAGACTTGCAAGTTGAATGTCCAAAATACCATCATTCTTTTGTAGAACATTACGTGCAACAAGGGTGGCACAACTTCCTACAATTCTTATAGTTAATGATATGTTAGGCCATGACCAGGCTGGATCCAATGGTCGATGATCAATTATTGCTATAACTGAAGAATTCAATGCAAAATCTTCATTTGAGAGAGTATGATGGTCAACTAAAATCAGCTCCAGCTTCTTATTAGCATCATTCTGTATACTTTGCAAATCGATCTGATCTCTGTCAAGAGCATATTGGAGTAACATAAAGATCGCAATGTTTTTTAGAATTCAAAGACTCACCTGAATGTTATCAAATTTAATGGAATATTATGAGACTTTAGACTATAAACTACTTCAGTCTTAATGCGAAATTCTTTTTCTGGGATATTCATGACTGGTATTACAGCAATATCATCCTGACCACACTTTTTGACACCAACATGTTCTAACAATCCTTGAACTAGAGCGCATACAGCAGAATCCAAATCGCATGTCTGATTTCCCAGAACAACTCGAATTGTATGATATGATGATAACTGTGACTGAAGCAAGAGACAAGAGATAAAGTAAACTAGATAAAATAACAGAAAAAGAGATAAAGTAAACTAGAAAAAATAACAGAAAAAAAGATTTAAATGTATGCACATAATATCAAATTTTTACCAAAGCAGTTTTTGACGCGTTAAGGAAGGATTCCATAGCTCCTGGCGATTGCATTATATCAGTTTCTTCTTTTTCCTTTATAAATATAAATTATCTATTCTTGTAAATATACAAAATTACTTTTTATTATTCTAATTTGTAAACTTTAAATCCTTTTCTTTCATGTTATTTTTCAACAATGGCAATTCGCATTTAGGTTGTTGTCTTCCCCCTCCAGATATGAAAGAAAACAAAATTACCAATGAGATGCTAGCAAAAAGGTCAACATATAGGTCTGCCACACAAGGCATGTTCCATTTGACGTTTACAATACTCGCGATATTAAACCGGACGCCATTTTTGCTCCAGCTTATCTTATTGAGATCAAAATTGCGGTACTTTGTTAATCTAGTGACTTTAAGATCGCCTAAAAGCAGACTATGACAAAAAAGAGTGAAAACTATGAACAACTTTGTTGTTTGTTTTATAGATTTTAAAAATGGCTTGTCGTATGCTACATATTTAGAGTTGTAAATAATTTGATAAAAAATGTTCAATCTGTAAACAATGGTAACGCAAATAAAATATATCATTGTCTCTAAATCATTATATGTAATTAACATATAATGTGTATTTAAAATTAATTTATCAATTTAACTCTAATAAAATTATGAAATTTTTTTCAGGTATATATTATTGTTTAATATTGTTTAATTTATTGCTTGTCAGTCATTCACATTTATTAAAAATAATCACTTTATTAAATAATGTGAGAAACTCTATATTTTTTGCGAATAGTAAGTAGAACTTTTATGGATATAGCATTTTGATAACAGTTTATATTTACAGTAGAAAATAATTTGTATTTCACTGTGCTTTTGTTCTATAGGACCTGAAGATGAATTATGAAAGGGTGTGACAAGTATCAGTAATGCAGGAAGACGTAGAGGTAGAGCAAGAAGAGTAGTGAAAAGAGAGAGCTCCTAAATAAGGAGCAAATTATTGGCATGGGAAAAATTCCGATACAATTTCCTGGTCTAAACACTCCTGTGTTTAGAGGAAAAGAATTAATTCAACAGCAAAAACTGCTTGTAAATCTTGAAAGAAAGCAAAAACTTATGGAATTACCACAAAGTCAGACCAGACCAATGCAAATAAAATTATCGCCATTGGAATGTGGTTGGATGAGTGTTACAATGGATGGCAGAAGCATTGAATCAGATCTTATTGGAAAAGGTTAGGCTAATATTTATGCTATTATTGGATTATAATGGTTAAATCACACACATACAAAAATCATGTGATACGATGTCTATTTTCAATTTTTTTTTTGATGTTTCAGTTCTAAATATTAGAATCTTATATAATTAATATCTTTGTTTTCTGCAGATACATTTGAAAGTTTTGAAACCTGGATTTTGGAAAACAAAATGATAACTTGTATGACCGGTAATTTAGCACGTAAGACTAGAATCAGTTCATTTATAATAACTGGAAATGGAAATGGATTAGCTGGATTTGCGTTATCAAAAGCCAAAGCATCCCTAAAGACGGTTAAAAATAGGGCTGGTCAAAGACTAATGTATATTCCTACATATAAGGAATACATTGGTAAGAAAATAATTGTCAATACTATATAATATAAAATTTATTTCTTCTCTTTTAATATCACTTTGTATTTTTTAGTGTTACATGATTTCTTTACACAGTTTGAGAATATAAAAATATTTGTAAAGAAAATTCATGAAGGATAATGGGCTTGTTTGTCACATGCGATAAAAGCGTGTTGCGAGATAATTGGCATAAAGGATATGTATGCCAAAGTACAAGGAGGAATGTAAAAGCATTCTTTGGTTCGTTTATTGCAATAGGTGTGAATATAAAGTATTTAAAGACATATTATACTTTTTATTTAATTTATATTAGAAAGAAACATTTTTTATTTAAAAATATATATACATATATATATATATATATATATATATATATATATATATGTTAGACATAAAGCTAAAAAAAAACGTGGACTGTGTCGATTAATTAATTAATTGTTTTATTTAATTATCAATTTATATATGTATATTATTAACAATAATTTTTTGTTTACCTAAACTGTATAAAGTTGTACATAACAAACAATCTTTTTTATTTAGTATTTCAAGCATATTTTCATAAAACTTTAATTTAATTATTATATTATTAAAAATATTGAACAAAATAAAGAATTAAAGCTGGCTTTCTCTGCAGTCTCATGGCAGATTATATCAGAAATCATACTTTAATTATTGCAATATATCATGAAACAAATCAATCTCAAAATAATGGAAATATTTGCAGAAATATCAAATATGTAATGTAAATATTTTAATTTTTTTTTTATTCTATCGATGTTTTCATAGTGATGCACCTTGAGCACTTTTGCTTCATATGTTTGCAATAAAAATATATTAAAGCAAATTATTTTGCAAATTTATTATTCTAATTTTTATTTAAAAAGACTAAGATTAAAAAAGACGTATGCATTTTTTTCAGATATTTCTATTGAAAAAAACGCATCAGATAAAACTATCCTGTACATTTTAAATGTGCAAAAGATTTGCTCTTTATTCCACTTACTGCAATAATGTACACTAAAAATGACAGATCTGTATTAAAAATGATAGATCTATATTTAGTAGTTGGAAAGAAAAAGAGGAGAAATGAAAAGTGCATCTAGAGAATTTAAAAGAATAAAAATCTAAAAATATAATAATACATAAAAATTAATATTATGTATTTTTTTCATGAGGAATGTGGGGTGCACATTTATGCATTTATTTATTTAGATGAGATTTACTTTAGAGCACATTCAGTATTCAACTTTAATTTTATTTTCTCTTTCTTATGATATATAAGTATAACATAATTACCTGCAAATGCTATCATTTTTGTGTGCTTACAGTGATACAGAAGCAACATTACAAGTATTATATTTACAGATAACATCTGTATAATAAAAAAAGCACCAAAAATCTGATGACGAAAAAAGGATAAATATTGTAGACCAGCATAAGTATCAACCAATTATTCCACCGCTCTGTTTCATTAGAGTTGCAATTTTTTTTTATATCATAAATATTATAAATAAGATAAAGATTTCTGTACGTTTCAAATAAATTTATATATTTTATGTATGTAATACTGCGCACACATATTAAAAGGTGATAATATCGCAGTTATAATAAGATACAATCCTGGCAATGTAGTGATTTTTGGATCCTACTTAAAATAATTTAATTTGATTTATTTTTGAGAAATGCGCACAATACTTGAGAACAAATTATTTTTGTGCCATGTATTACCTGTGTAAAATTGCACACACAGTATCATATTGTCTGCGATATATTGAAAGCTTCATCGATGAAATATGATTGAGATATAAGAAAAGTACTTGTAATGTAGTAATATAGTACTTGTAATGAATAACGTTAATGTGGAATACATAAATATTTTATATTTTAATTTCATGTAATCGAGATGAGATAAGACACTCATGATTACTTTAAAAATGTGTCCACAAATATCATGTAACTTCAATAGCTGCACATTGGTCAAATTAATCCTATTACGTTAAATCAGAATCACAGCAGCTTGTTTTAATTTAATCTAACCTAACCAATTATATTATATGCTTCTCATTAAAATGTGTAAAACTGTACGTCGCACATTTAATACGATTAATATGCTACGTAATAAAATGTAATACACTAATGAAATAATTAAATATTATTTTTGAAAGCATGATAAAATCCAGGGAGCATACGCTTGTGTTTACATTCGATATCCAAAGATACTGAGAGGTTAAGTTATGTTAGGTTAGGTTAGATCAAACAAATTTATCGTTTAACAGTTGGCAGCCCTACGAGATAGGCTGTGCAGCACTGCGCGCGCGTATACAAAATAAATTTGAAATCGCTTCTAGCATAACCGTCTTCACGCGATCGACTTTATTTGAATTGCACCGAATCGAATTATGATGCCGATTTGTCCGAATGTAATTCGGGACATCGCGATGCTGTATAAGCGTCGAATGAGCACAAATTATCACGCAAATATGATAAATCAAATCTACTCACCGGCTGTTCCACAGGCCGCTCCTCCTCGGGACAGTTCGCTCGCCTCGGGACGTCCTATTCCGATCTTGATGTACACAAATCCACACGATATCATCAACGCGAACGCGCGACACTTTATTCGGCACTCCCGATATTCGCTCGCATCCGATAATCATCATCAAGGGCGCGAATAACGCGACGCAACTTCGCTCCATCTTCGCAATGACGTCTGAATCTGAATATCGTCAAAAATCGCTGTCGCGCGTTTCCATCGACACACTATAAAAGTCGCGCGATCATCCTTCGACACTCTCGACGCTCGTTTAGTCGCGATATTCGTTTAAAAACGGTTAAAAGATGCGAAAAATGCGGACATACGACGATCCGTGTAACTGCGTATGATTCCGATTCACGCGCCAACATGGCGGCCGTATGACGCGTTTGACGTAGCAGTGACGTAGCAGTGACGAAGCAGTCACGCGCCAACATGGCGGCCGAACCAGTGCGCATTCGTTTCTGCACATGGCCATTCCTGCGCGCAACTTTGATTTCTGAATATTGTCTACGGCTTTAATTAATAGCACATAATGATAAATATATAAAGATGGAATCAATTAATCATATGTCATATCATTGGTCATATATGTAGACTTGCCTGAAGAAAGAGAGTTGTTCTCGATGTTCACTTTTAAAGGAGTAAAGAGAATTATATATAAATGTAAATAAATTATCCGAAGAGAGAAAAAATTGAGAGATATTTTTAATTTTTTAATAAAAAATGGAAATGTCTATTCATAGGCTTGTTCTTCTTTTCCTCTTTTGTGCAATTTCGATTCAATATATAACGTAGAAAATTCATAGTATATTGCATTTATTTTTATATATTCACAACTATAATATTCGCACGATCATTTTTTGACATTTACAATACTCGTGTGCCTTGTTCTCGATGTTCACTTTTAAAGGAATAAAGAGAATTATATATAAATGTAAATAAATTGTCCAAAGAGAGAAAAAATTGAGGGATATTTTTAGTTTTTTTAGTAAAGGTTGGAAATGTCTATTCATAGAAATACAAAGAAAGAAAATTATTATGTTTAAAATAATAATTTCATATGAAATACAAAATTAAAAGTTACATTATATAACTTTACTTTCTAAAAGCGTAATAAAACAATCAAATAGTAGACAGAGAAAAGACTAATTGTAAAAGAAAAAAAGTTGTTAACTTAACTAAACCATTTAACTAAATTATTATCTTTTTAACTGGAATATTTAACTATTATAAATCTAATATGACATTTATTTAACTTAAATATTTCAATATTTTAATTTAAAAAATAATAATTTAGTTAAATGGTTTAGTTGAGTTAACAAAAACTTTTTTTCTCAATGTACGTGTGTGTGTGAGACTTTAAAAATATACTTGGATATAAATACACTTATATTATTAAACGATTAATACATCTCGTGAGGTTTAATAAATAATTAAACTGTGTACACTGAGAAAAAAAGTTGTTAACTTAACTAAGCCATTTAACTAAATTATTATCTTTTTAATTGGAATATTTAACTATTATAAATCTAACATAACATTTATTTAACTTAAATATTTCGATATTTCAATTAAAAAAAAAAATTTAATTAAACGGTTTAGTCGAGTTAACAACTTTTTTTCTCAGTGTACGTGAGAGAGAGAGAGAGAGAGAGAGAGAGAGAGAGAGAGAGAGAGAGTGTGTGTGTGTGTGTGTGTGTGTGTGTGTGTGTGTGTGTGTGTGACTTTAAAAATATACTGTATATAAATATAATTCTCACATACGTCACAGTACGCGTTAAATATTTCGGCAGCAAGCTAACACGTCATTCGACCTTGTGACGTCATTTGGCCTTGTGACGTAGCGCGCTATTGTTTACATACGCGACGACCTCCCCTCATTCGCACGGCGACATTCCAACGGGAGAAAGTAGCGATACGGACCGCTTCGTATTATCGAATTCTTTTCCTAAAGGTACGATCGCGATTAGATCGAAATATAATAATTCGACTATTACAAATGACAAATAATTAACTCTTATAATAAATGCAATTGTGGCGACGATAAATTCATCGAAACGCGATCTTTCATTATTGCAAATAAAAATTGAAGCGAAAGGGGCAAAAATTACAAATTTTCTCGCAATATTCTCCGATTATCGAACTTTACGAATAATAATTATTTCTTTAACATTGCGTAGAATGAAATTCGATTTCGCCCGATGTTTTAAACTTTCCTAAACTGCATGCATATATATCATATTAATTAAACGATTGCTGTATCATCAATTTACATTACTTTAATATTTTAATCTTATGATTCGCGTTATTATGCATATATTATACATCAACGAATAGAAATAGTTAATTAATGTAAGAATCGAATGGTGCATGATTTTGGCTTCGTTTAAAAATCGAGCGAATTATTGTAATTTTTGTGTTCCTCTCTTGCAATAATAATAAAATAATAATAATATTATAAAAATACGTATCTTGTATGATTATTTTGCGATCGGGAGTGCCGTGCAAAGTGTCTCGCGATCGTTTCTGTATATGACTGAAATATAATTAATTGAAATATAATTGTTTGTTCGCGAGTGAATACGTGACTGCTACGAGGAAACAACAAAGGATGAAACAACAAAAGAAAAGGACATCTGGAAAAGTATCAGACAGTCAGAAAGTAGGGAGAGAGCCTGAAGCAGCCAGAGACATGCGGTGAGTAATTTATAAAAATTATTTGTTATTTATTATTTATATACACTATTTTTAAAATAGATATATATTGCTTATTATTTTATTATCGTTTTATTTTTCGATCATTTAAATATATAATTCGGATTGAAATGCAGTAAAACAATCGAATCGTAGATCTAAATAATTAACTTAACAAAAAGATCCATAAAAGATATATTAGTTCTTTTAATAAATAATATCATATACTTAATCTATATAAAAATGAAATATTATCTATTTATTTCTAAATATTAAATATTAAATAAATTTAATAGTTATATATTTTGTAAAATTTAATTAAAAGAATCTTTAAGATATTTCAAAAGAAACGAAGAACTTTTCTCAACGTAGAAAAAGTTAATTATAAACAAATTTATATTTAATTATTATAATTAATTTGTATTTAATTTTATTGGAATTTTATTATTAATTTTATTGCGTTGTCAAACTCTACGCGATCTCTGTAATGATAGCTATTCACGAAATAGGTACACTGAAATAATCAGTTATTATCGAAAAGAGGCAATAATATACTTTTAAATCTAATTTAATTTTTGATAAACGATATAAAATTTTTTTATTATGATGAGAAATCTTTATTAAAGATCATAATTGCAAATAAAAATGGAAATAACTTCACGAAGTATATTAATCGTTTAATAAATAATTAATCCGTGTGTACGTGTACGTGTGTGTGTGAGTGTGTGTGTGACTTTAAAGATGTGTGTTTAATAAATTATTAATCCGTGTGTACGTGTACGTGTGCGTGCGTGCGTGCGTGCGTGCGTGCGTGCGTGCGTGCGTGCGTGCGTGCGTGCGTGCGTGTGTGTGTGTGTGTGTGTGTGTGTGTGTGTGTGTGTGTGTGTGTGTGTGTGTGACTTTAAAGATATACTTGTATATAAATACATTTGTATGTAATTTTAAAAATATATATTTCCGTTATGTTAATTATCCGATTTTTATTCGATCGTTTTATTGCGCGTTCTGAATCAAATTATATTTAGATCAAATGATATCAGAGAGAATATTTATTTATTATATTAGAATTCTAAATGTGTGTGTGTGTACACATATATATTAGGATAGAAACGAAATAGAAATAGAAGAATAATCATTGCTCGTAAAGATTGCAACAAAGTAATAATTTATAATTTTGATTCCTATCGTATAATCGAGTATCATATTTCGAGAGCAATCAACTATTTATTAATAATAAAATTGTATATAACTTACGAATATATTCCACTTATTCTGGACGTTAATATCGCGACAACGACGAATAAACTTTTCAAAAAAGTTCAATTCAACTATTTCATATATGAGACAGTTCTACCAATCACTGATACACAAAACTCGTCAATTGACCAGTTGGTGAAACTGTTTCAGTCCTGAGTATTTTCTTAAAAGAGCTGTTGGCGCACATACATGCGTGTATTATGTTTACGCGCGTCACGCGTTCGAACGAACCTTGACATATATATATATATATATACTACAGCGAGTGTTATGATGCTCAGTCGATGATCTTGAATGGTTGCGCTTGTATGCGTTCGAAAATTCTAATTGTGAGGTAAAATTTAGTTGATCAATCAAAACAAAAAGGGTAGCAAAGATTTTTTTGTGTAATTATTTATCCTAATTTTTGAGTAATATAAGTAACGATTTATATTTATAGGTAACAGAAAACAGAAGATATAAGAAAGCAGTAAAGAGATTTAATAATTTTGCTTCTCTGATATTATTATAAATAGGAAATTACATATCGTAGAAAATGCGCTCGATTGGCAATGTCATACGATCTTTTAAAACTCATCTTTGGAGCTTTTTCAAGACTCAATCAAAGGTATGTTTTTTTCCGACTGAGAATATTGCTTCATTATTTTAATAATTCCCATTATAGCGAAGTGATTTAAATATCTTTATTTAAAAATTGTGAATATATGCAGTGTGATGTGTAACCTGCACACATAATGTTTATTATATAATTTTTTGTTATGAGAATATTAGAATAATTTAGATGTATACTTTGAATTTGAAAAACTTTCTTTGTTATTACTTTCTTGTTCTACTCATAAATTATGAACAGGATTATTTAATTAAAATATTTATTTCAGGCTGAAGAGATGAAAATATCCAATTCTGTTCATGCTTATGATAATTATTCTTTTGGTAAATATAATATAGTCCAACCATGGGTGGTTTCTGATAGGGTAACTGTACCTGCATACATACCCCAGCCATCCTATAGCGAATCATCAATACCTAAAGAAGAGGGACCAATAATACCTGAGATAAAAGATGAATATCAAATAGAATGTATGAGGCAAAGTTGTAAACTTGCTAGTCACATCTTGCATCAAGTTGATACATTAATTAAGGTGAATTATTTCTTACATAAGGCCATAAATTCATATTACCACAATTCATTAACTTCAAATTAATCAAAGAATTTAGCTACATGAAAAAAATAGAGAAAATTTTAAGTTCTGTATGGAAAATATTTGAAATATGCACATATTTTATGTGTAAAAGTATGATTTATGATTTAAAATAAGAATATCTTTTTGTAAATTTTTATTTTTGTCAAATTTATCATTATTTATTGATCACATTGTGAGCTATTGTTATATATATATATATATATATATATATATATATATATATCTTGGAAGCAATATTTTAAAATAGCAATAGCAATTCATACATATGAATATTTTTAGATATTTTGATTTTCTAATACATATCCCCAAAAATTATTAAATATTAGTAACTTTCATATATACATTTGTATATTATGTATTAAAACAAAGTAAAATCAATACTGTTAGCCAGGTGTTACGACTGATTTTCTTGATAAACAAGTACATGATATGATCATTGGCAATGGAGCTTATCCCAGTCCACTCAATTATCATGGTTTTCCTAAATCTATATGTACAAGTGTTAACAATGTTGCATGCCATGGTATTCCAGATAGTAGACCTTTACAAGAAGGTGATATACTCAATGTCGATATAACAGTGAGTAGTCTTATTAATTATGCTAAAATATTTTTCTAATAATCCAAAATGCTAAAAATAACAAAAAATTTATTTAAGTTTTTGTTTAAGTAGGTGTATCTTAATGGCTATCATGGAGACTGCTCAGCCATGTTTCAAGTAGGTGAAGTCGATTCAGAAGGCAAACGATTAATAACAGTCACAGAATTGTGCTTAAACTCAGCTATTGGAATATGCAAGCCTGATCAACATTTCTGCAGTATTGGTAACATCATCTATATAATTGAGAATCTTTATTTTTAAATTCACACTAATGTTTATATAATATTATTACATTAATTTTTAACACTAAATTCTTTCAATTTCTAGGTAATATAATAGAAGATATAGCAAGTAAACATAATTTTAATGTGATACCTGCGTTTGTTGGCCATGGTATTGGGACTTATTTTCATGGTGCACCAGACATATTTCATTGTGGTACAAGAAAAATTTTTGTCATTATGAACATTAATACCTATTAACATGATTGGCCAGAATTATCTTATCTTTTTTTACTTTTTTTTATCTTTTTTTTGGATATATTAATTTTAATTAAAATTATTAATGCTATACATTTCAGAATAATTATTTGCTGTAAAACGAAATAAATAAGTGTTTTATTTCAATATAAATATATATAAATATATATATATATATATATATATATATATATATATATACATACATATATATTTATATTGAAATAAAACACTTATTTATTTCGTTTTACAGCAAATAATTATTCTGGAAAAATGAAACCAGGGATGACATTTACTATTGAACCAGTTTTGACTCAAGGAATGATACAGGTTGAAATTTTGGAAGATGGATGGACAGTTTGCACTGCTGATAATGCTAGAACAGCTCAAATTGAACATACAGTTTTAATAACAGACAATGGATGTGAAGTATTGACACTCTAGTCCACAATTATTGTTACTGTTTCTGCATATATGTAAATAATGTATTAAATATATTATTTCTATATATTTTTTATGTAAAACAAATTGATACATTTAAAATAATTTACTAGTAAATCTGGCTGTTCTTTCTTATTCATGCATAATTGATGTAAGTTCGCATATCAACGAAAAAAATCAATTAAAAGAGGAGACTTAACTTCTAAGCTTTATTATAATTTAGACAGAAGTGTAAAAAAATTACTTTTACAAAATTGCAGGTCCCCAATAGCTATCTAAAGTTATTGGTCCTTGTATTTCAACGCCTTTTTCCTTTGTGATAATGCCAAGATGATACTATAAAAAATGAATTGAGTCATTAATGATACGATTAAAATCATTGATTATGCATATACAACTTCCGATATTTTACCTTTGGGAAAGATCTTGCATCTCTATAAAAGAGAACTTGCATTACTTTGTATAGAAGTTCGATAGCTTCTTCTTTGCTCATTTCGCTATTTTCCTCATAAGCTTTTCTTAGAACAGGCGTTGCCATATAGGCACCATATCCAGTCGCGATTACTGGATCGCTGTAAGCTGTCCCAAGTTTGTCAACAGTTGCCAAAAATCTGAAAGAGCAATGTCATGATTTGCAATGTAATGATTTAAATATATCTGAAACATTAACAAAATATTATACTTACGGTTTCTCATCTTCCAAACCAGCAATCACAAAATTATTCCAAAATGGATCAAAATTTGATCGCCTATTGTACATGACACGTGTTAACCAACAATGCAGCGCTTTTGGTTTCAAACTAAATCCATCATCCAAACATTTTTCTTCCAGACTGAAACAAAAGCATTAATATAAAGTTGCACTGCACTGTTTTTTTAAGAGTCATTGAAAAGACTAATATATATTTTTATATCATACAAAAAATTCTTTACTTTATTTCTAATGAGAAAATAGTGTATCTATGTATATCAAGGACCTGATATTTCAATCTTATTAAAAGAAATTTACATTTTTCTCTCCACATAGCTTTTGATACACTGAAAATCTGCATAATCTCCAGATGCACCAAGAATCGTGTTATCATTAACTTTCATAATACGCTCGAGATTTCTATAACGAGCAAGTGAACCATAAGATCCTAAGACGTCAGCCGCTATGATGACTCCGTCTTTAAATTTTATGCCAATAACAGACGTGCCGGTCGTTATAGGAGATCTACAAAAAAATTAATTTAAATTTTATAACTTCTTATTACATCTCTTATTACATTACTACGCTTTAAAAATCTATCGAATGAGCTCGATGCAACCTCAATTATTTAATTACATTGATTTGCTTTCTGTGCGAGACAAGATGACATGCGAGTTTCGTGTACGCCATAGTAGGTTATGCTACACAAATACATTTAAGCAGACAAAATATCCGTGAATTGCAATCGGATAAAACGTACTGTGATTTTTGGAATCCACCGGTGCCGTATTGATTGCCTGGAAAATGATAAAATGCACCAGGAGACGGTCCATTGTGCCACAGAGGTACAGCATCCTTACCAATGAACGCCATTTTTGTTTCTGATACGTCATACGCAGTGATGCGCTGTTGTGGGAATAAAGTCGCGCATGCGCATTAGCAAACGCTATGAATTCTCAGTACATACAGAGCCATGAATGTTCTCAGATAAAGGTGCAATTTCATTGACGCTAAAAAGCAGCGTCAACCATTGGTTAAACAATGAAGCAACTACTTACTTCTTTGTTCAACCAATGATTGACGCTACTTTTTAGCGTCAATGAAATTGCATCTTTCTGGTTTTGTCCTCTCTTTCTATAACCTTTCTTCGTCCACTATAATATAGGGTAAGCAGTGGTGAAATTGGTTCCTGTGTTTTAAATAAATCTCGTGCATTTTGAGAGAAAAACATGAAAGTAAAAAAAGACGATACGGTGCGGAAAATATCGAGGCCAAAAGCAGGCGATAATCTCGAAAGAGCTGTTAAAAATGTGCAACATATTTTGAAGGTTAGATATAAATTTTTAGTGGACAATGTGGAATGTGTTTCACATTTTCCAATTTTATATTTATCAAACCATTTTATCGTGTATTTATTGCTGATTTATATTATTACTTATTATTATTGATTTTTTATTTACTTTATGCATAATTATTTTAATATTTATTATTGTATTTACTACATGCTATATATGTTACATTTATTAATATGAATACTCTTTCCAGAAAAAGAAAGCAGAAGCTAAAGCTGCTAAGAAAAAGAAAACAAGTTTAACAAAATGTACATCTAAATCTAAACAATTTAAAGTGAAAAGGAGACGTAAAGGGATAGTTTATGTAGGACACATACCTCATGGATTTTATGAAGAGCAAATGAAAGATTATTTTAAACAGTTTGGAAAAGTAACACGAATACGAGTGGCACGATCCAAGAGAGTATGCATAAATGAGTTGTAAATTATTTTATGAGAATGAGAATTTGACTGTTTATTTTTAAAAACTTTATTCGTAGACTGGGAAAAGTCGTGGATATGGTTATATAGAATTCCTTCATCCAGAAGTTGCAAAGGTTGCAGCAGAAAGTATGAATAATTATCTCATGTGTGGGAGATTATTGAAAGGTATTTAAATGTTTAAGTTATATTATGTTAATTTGATTGCTTTTCTTTATATTCCTATGACGTGTTTTGTAGCCACATATATTCCACCTGAGAAACAGCACTTTGGATTTTTCATGGGATTAAATTGGACAGAAAATACATATCCCAAATTAGAAAATAGGAGAAAGATGGTCCTACGTAAAAATCGTGATCAAAGTACCGAAAATTATAAAAGCTACATTGAAAAATCACTTAATAAACTTTCTACATTAGAAGGTAAGCTACAAGAGAAAGGAATTAATATAAAATTTCAACCTATTGATGTACCAAAGTTATAACAAATAATGAAAGTTATAACTTGATTTTATATTACTGTAAAAAAATATGTGGTACATCATTTATGTATTGGAAGAATAATGAAAATTTATAAGGTAAATACAAGTCTCTATTATACTTGTAACAATAAACATTAAATTTGTAATACTTCTATAAATGATATCTATCATTATGTACAATTACATCTAAGTGTTGTATACTAAATTATCGATACTTGAAAAATATATCACGATACAGTAGCGGTTTCCTATACATTCGTCGTGCTTCCTTTTGTTCGCTTCCACTTCATACGTCTATTTTGAAACCACACTTTCACCTATAAAAATATGATTGAACGAGATAAATGAATATATAGAAATTTTAATTTGTTTATTAAATCTTTTATAATATACCTGACGTTCTGTCAAATCCAGCGCTACAGCAATCTCATAGCGACGCAAACGTGTTAAATAATTACTGTGCGCAAACTCGCATTCGAGATGCCGAACTTGTTGCTTTGTAAATGCGGTTCTCTCTTTCCGCGGCTTTTCGCTTGCCCTTTTCGTTGTTTCTGCAATCATCAAATAATCGAAAAATTAATAAACTATTCGAATTTACATGGTATTTGTAATTTAAATATTTTTTTAAGACCGATTTCTAGCGTCAATTTAATTAGTAAAATTTTCTTGCTTTTATCATCTATAAATGTACTCGAATATATCATATGCTCTTGAGAGCATATGTAAAATATAGATAAATATAAAGAACATAATTTTGAATTAAATTTAGAGAAAAATTCTACATATTTATATTAAATTTGAGAGTTAAAAATTATGAATTTAAAATAATATAATGAAGCAAAAGAATTCATAATTAATTATAATTAGCAGGAAACAAACTTATGTTGATTCGGAATTAACAAAAATCATGTGTTTATAGATAATTCTGATTTAGACGCGAATCCTCTCTAGAGCGCGTTAAGAGATTGGTCCAGTTTCTTCCTGGACGGTGACATAACGCTCATCATCCGGCTCGATCTCGCTGCATCTCGTCCTCTTGCCGCGCAGTTTTCCGCGGCAAGATTTTGCGGCAACTTTTTATCGCCGAGATGAAAATAGCCGCGCGTATGATGCGTCAGTGCGTGATTACACCCGCTCGCAACTTGCGAAATCCGCTTTTGCTGGAGAAGCGCGGCTTCTTCCGCACAACGACACGTGGCCACCGAGAAACAGAGAGAAAGAGATGAGAGACTTTTTCCTCTCTCTCTTTCTTTCTCGAGGCCCTTAACTTTGCTTCCGTGCCGCTATCTCGGCTCTAATTGCTAGCTGACGTCAATTGCGAGATCTCTCGTATAATGCGTGGCCAGCATCGATGGTCACTATGAACCAGTTACGAGAGTAAAGCGATACATCAGACAAGGACCTTGTGCGCCATTTTTACGAGTTATATCTCGATGCGACTAGTTTATATAAACTCGACTTTTGATAGATAGATATATAAATTGAAGACTTACCGGTTTTTGAAATTAATCGCTAGAGATTCAAATGAACAAGCGAAAAGAAGAAATACTATTTCACACAAAGTTTCATTCTTCACATATGTATAATTCTAATTTATAACATTTAAGTTAAGGAAGCAAATATAGGGATTTAATTAAAATTACATTCTAATTTTAGTTGGACACTAATTTAGATTTCTATCGTTGAATATGATTTCCTTTCTTAGTTAAATGTTTAATATTTAATGAAGTTAATTGAAATGCTGATGAATGCTATAATATGAGAAAGGATATATTTGATTATTTTTTTTAATTTTGTGAGAAATTATTTTTTATATTTATTTTATTCAATTCAATGCTGTCAGAAAATGAGAAAAATTTTTCAGTTTGAAAGATTCATTTGCTGCTCATCAAGTTAAGCAGAATGTAAAGAGAAATAGAAAGTCACATTATAAAAAGCAGTATAATATAGTATGGGAAGAGACACACCACGACGTTTATTACGCAAGATGTATACCAGCTCGAGATACATTAAACATTTGATAAATATTTAGATTGCACTGGGCCCGTTATGGCCGCATTGGCGACACTAAAGACATAAACCTTCCAATTGTACTGTCAACGATTTACATCGGAAATCCGTCGAAGCTATATGATCCGAAATGTTTTAAACTAATTTACTACACACACAGCTGTGCACAGCACTATTAAAAATTATATTTAATAACGATTAAATAAGTATGTTGATATTAGTTAGAAATGGCATAAGAATTATTTCTCAACATATGATAATCAATTTTTGAATAATTATTAATTTTTTTATGTAATTTTTAATACAACTTAACAAAATTAATTCTTCTTTTATAAAAGATATAATTTAGAATGCGTGTATATATAATTAAAATTGATAGTAAAAATATGTTACCTTGTTCTCGATGATGCGGAGGTGTATTTTCTCCGAAGAATGAATTCGCACAACTTTGATTGTGTTGCGAATCTTGCCAAAATTGATACTTGTTCTTATCCTCATAATTTATAATCGTATTTTGCAAATGAGGTATTTCCCAAGTGCGAAACATCGTTTCTGTATTTGTCGAGGACATCACATCTTGATTTTCGTATAATAAATCTTTGGATTCGTTCGAAGATGTCACATCTTCCTTCTCATTCGACGGATCGATTATCGTATGACAATCTGTGATATCTTGCTGAAAATATTGCTCCCACCTTTGAAAATATTAATTAATAATTTTACACATTATAGTAAATATAATTTTACACATTTTATAGTAAAATATGCAATTATGTTAAATTATATAGGATGTATGGTAATGATAATTTCATGTTATTATGGCATTTCTTGTTTTAAATTAGAATAATTTTGAAAAATTTTGAAAATATTCTTTTTCTTGTAATAATTTTTATTATAATTGAAATCATTTTAACAAAATATATGATGTTAAAAAAATTGCTCACGAATAATGTGATATATTTTATAAAAGCAGAAGTAATTTTTGAATGAATATTCTTTAGAATATTATACAGAATATAATACAAAGTACATGATAAAATAAAAGTAGAAATAATATTAAAATATTATTATTTTATAATATATTATAAAATAATAAAAGAGAAATGTTTTTGTGCTTTTAAAATATTTCTTATTTGGCTCAAATAAAAGAATACTCTCTCCAATATTGATAAAAATGTCAAGTACCATTAATCATATTTTATACAGCTTTCAATCTTTTTACGCAAAATTTAGAGCTTTACCTGCGATAATTTTGATTGGAGTCGGTGCTTTGAAGAAAATTCGCGATATATGGTGAAGAGTGTAGACGGGTGATTTCGTCGGTTGCAATGTCAAATCCACTACAGGAATTGCTCCAGGACCATCTATGACACCAAGATGTCATCTCGCAATCTGTCGCTGATCTGGGGTTCTGTCCTTCCAAGTGAAGACACGACGGTGTTGGCGGTGTCGGTGGTAATTCAAAATTGTCGGATATTCGACGGCTGTTCGTAATCGTGTTTTTCGACCACGACATCACGACTAGCAATGAGACAAATAAAGATTCGACAATTTTTCGGCACGTATGTTAATGCCACCTGTGTATATATAAAATTTCTTTCCAAATATATGATAATATATAGAAATTAGTAAAAAGACATTTAAACAAAATTCGCGATTCTTTTCCAATATAATTATTCATATATTCTTGATCTTCTATTTATTTCATATAATTTTATCTCAAAAGAAAAAAAAGGAAGAGAAAAGGTTCAAAAGAAAGTAAATTTTTAATTATTTATATTTAATTGGAAAGCATGTTTCTCACTCGGACATTATGAAGCATTTCTATAAGCTTTATAATTTTTAATGATATTGTTTTTGGTCTTCTTGCTCTTACTTTTTCCTCTCTTTTTCCTTTATATCTTTCAATAAAGTCGCATAAAATTTCAAAGATGTGTCAAAAACTTGATGTGTGTAACATTAAACATGTACAACAATTGGGAAACACCGTATATAATTAATTTGTTTAAGAAAATCACACAAATCGGAAGAACACAGCTTCACCACAGAATCACTCCGTGCGCGGTTCGGTGCGAATTGTGTTAGCGCCTACTGAGAAATGTCAAACGAGCACATGTGACAGCATCATCCTAAGACTCGCCGTAACATCATGGAGAATACTATTGGAATCGTAGGAGTAGGGTCTTTCATATAAGCTCTGGAAGCTTCTTCCACGTTTACTTTTGGCTTTTTGTCCAATCCCCGAGTGAATCGTTTCTCGTAGTCAAAGTGACTAATCCGCGTTCGCGAAAGAATTTAATTGATGACACACGAAGGCGGTCTTGTCGAATTTTTTCCTCTTGTCCACCATTTGCTGAAAATCAAGAGAATTTTAGACACGTGGGAGTGATGTTTTTACGACTTATTTTATTTGACAGCCGCTAAATTTTTAATATTTTTATAATAATATAATATTTTTACAAGTGTAGAATTTTAATTAAAATCAAAATAGGTTAAAAATAATTAGGAATCTTCATATTCTGAATACTTAAAACATGTTTTATAAAAATTTAAATAAATTTTAAAATATACTCTCTAAAAGTGAATCAGTGTATTATCATTGTAATCAGTGCTGTACTTATAACTGCTTGTAATCAGTGAGTATTTATTGTTTTTCAGTCACTCTAGTGAAAGTAGTATATATACTAGTATATATACTACTAGTATATATATACACTGATTCACTTTTAGAGAGTACATTTTATATATTTTCTTTCATAAAATTTTTAAGTAAATTTCATTAATGAGTGATTGAAATGGAATAAACTAAACTGAATTAAAATTTATACCATCAATCAATATCAATATTTTTAATTATATTAATATAATTGTTGGGATCAAATAATTAGAATTAAGTTTGACACCACTATAATAATTTAAAATATGACGTTAAAATATGATCCAAGTTTCACCATTTTGAAATACGATAACTTCCGAAGACATGCTATATAGAAAGGAAGGAAGTATTCGTTTCGGTTGTCGAAATGTTGATTAAAAGAAAAAATTAAAAATTAAATTAAATTAAAATTAAAAGTAAAATTTAAATTTAAAAAATTTTATAAATTCAGTGAAAGAGAGAAATCTTATGTACTTTGGATTTACTCATAATTGTTGATCAGAGGAAGTGCGAAGTTGAGAAGAGTTGTGTTGATTATTGTTATTTTAATTGATTTATTACATACGAAATTTGTTCATAATGAAATTTGTCCATATTTAAAATAACTTAGCTTCTTGCAATGCTAAAGTAAAAACAGACATCCTGAGATCTTTTTAATTATGTGCCTATTAATTCACTTACAATTAGCAATTTAAAATCAATTTAAGCAATTAAAAATCATTGAAAATGCCTATTTTTTATTAAAATGTTTATAAAAAGTTTAACTGTTGAAATCAAACGAAAAATCATGTTTAACATTAAGCGCGGGTTGAGAATTTAAGTGCGATTGCACACGATTTTCTTATCAATCAAAATAGAACGATAAAGAAGATATAGAAGAGAGAAATCGAATTATTCTTTTCTTCGAAACGATTCATTCACGAATTCGCCGTCGAACGTTGCATTGAGGAAGGCCATCATTCCATCAATGAGGAGTATAAGTCAATCAAGGGAAGAGGAGGGAGGAGAAACCACCTAAGAAAACACGGAGGGCGAGAGCGAGAGCGAGAGTGCGAGTCGGGGTCCGACGCTGTGTTTCGAGGGGTCGACCTCTCACGCGTCTCCATTAGTCATCGGCATTGTTTGGCTTCCTCTTTCAGGATGATGGTCACACGGCCAGAGAGGCCACCATCTCGTCAAGCACTCAGCTCTCGGCACAGGAAGCAGGATTCTCTGAAACGAGACACTCTCCTAACGGCGTATCGGTGCCAAGCAGTCTCGGTGGATGGAAACGCCGAACCCGCGTTTTCCGCATTTCACGCTTTGCAGCTAGTTTTTTTTAGCGCATAAATTCTCTGTATATATTCAATAAAAATTGGAAATCCATGAAAATGATCAATAGTCTACAGAATTAATAAAGATTATATAAATACTATAATATTATTATTAATTATAACGTGGATTAATTATAAGCTTTAGTTTATTTAAAAAACACAAGGAATTAAATTATATATATCTGTTGTCTAGAAACGTAATATTTTCCTGATATTATAGAACATTGAAGTAGATGATACGTAAAATAATTTTTTAAATCAATATGAAAGAATTAAATACTACTTTTTGGATTTACACTTGATAAAAGATTCGGCCGATGATTAAATTGCTCGAAAGATTCTCTGAAAAATAGGATCCTCTTTTTCCCACGAATTTTTTATCTTTCATATGACAGATATATTTTAGATCGGACAATATCTTACAAATTCAAGCCTTTTTTCGTGAAGTCAAGTTTCATGCGACATAATATGAAAAAAAGCGAAATCCCACAATGAACACTTGTCGCAGTCTTGGAATAGGTATCTGGCTTTCTCATTAACAGCCGAATGAGAATTCTCATGCAACTAACTCAAAAGCTAGACATATCTAGTAGTCGCAGCACATTAAGCGCACATTAGATACCCACGTGTTTGTTTCAATTATCCACAATCGCGGTCTAAACGATTTAACTCTTCGTTGATGATTTACGCAAAAATTATTGATGATAACAAATCTCTAAACAATTATTCATTTTTAAAAAAGTCATACTAAATCGAAAATCTAATATATCACAAAAGTCTTGAAGTTTATTGTTTTTTTTCCTTGATGTCGATTGGTCTTTTTCTTGTTAACAATTAGCACATATAATTTTCTTTCTTTAATTCCTTTTAAAAATTAAAAATTTACTTCGGTATATTGGATTATTAATAGTGAGAATTAATTTGTTGAATTTAATAATTTTTTCAAATCTTCTTAAAAAAACAAATTTAAGTCTGTTCCTCTTAAAAATCATTTTAATTTTAATTTTAAGTTTTTATAATTTTAATTTTAATTTTACATAATTTTTATGTATAATTGTAATCTATACCAATATATATATATATATATATATATATATATATATATATATTGATATATATTGTTGTATTTAAGAAAACACACATGCATTGTTCTTGTCATGACAAAGGAATTTTCACAGTTTATGAGATTACTGCGACAGATTATATATAAATAGCAACAGATTTGAGAGCGATTAATTGAAATATGCTGAATTTTATAGATATCTAATTAATTGAAATATATTGTCAATTTTGCAATATTCATATACATTTTCAAATCACCGAATTTTTTCTGGTTCATTGGTTTCCGGCCAATTCTGCCAATTTTGTTTACGGTGATTAATGGCTAAAATGATCCCAACCTTTCCTCGGTTCTTTACCGGAAGCTTATAAATTACAAGTGCAAGATGACGACGTTGCCCGTGTGTATTCTTGACTCATTGCATAACGAAACGTGCGCTTGTCACGACAGAGCGACGCCCGTCAATTTCTCGCGAGTTTCGGACGAATTGCAATTGTCTGTAAAATATACATGTATGATAATATTCAATGTTTAAGTGTTTCTCTTGGTGTATTTTTGGCGGGCACATCTGGCTGAACTCTTGACATGTTTCCCGCCTTTCGGACGCAGTTGCCGTTAGTTACTCGTCGGCAATGTTCGTCCGTTCATCAGATCTTGTGGGAGCATAGCACTTGTTCGCCGATAAGAATGGAGGATCATCAAACACAAGGTAATAGCATAGGGTAGGGAAAAACCTATCAAAATTGTTATTAGAAATACGATGTACAATTTGGGATATTTAAGAATGAATAATAATAAATATAATTATGACACATAATTTAGACACATGAGACAATTTATATATAATTCTTTTGTAAATAGTGACAAAATTTTGTAAAAATGCAGTTTATTCTGATTAATCAAAAAACGCAATACATAAAATAATTATTTTTTTCTTAAATGTAGTTGAATTGTGTTGAAATAATATTGATAAATATTATATACGAGGAATTAAAAATAAATTATCACACTTTGATTATTCTATTATATATTACTTTGGTATAACTTATTTTATTACAAACAAAAATAAATATATATAAAATCTCATGAATGATACTTTAGGAAGATCGCGTCATGGATGGCACGTGAGGGCGCGAGTCGCGATAATGATATTCATCTGCGTGGCCGTTAGTTCAATGATCATTTACTGGTTCGTTAGTTCGATTATAGAAAATCGGCGGAATAGTAAATACAGGGGCTCGATCGATGGAAAATCTCATAAAATGGCTTATTTGGAGAGGCTATCCGATCAAGTTTTACCGTTGGAGTACACGTAAATACAATCAGAATATTTTTTTTGCTTGCTACTGAAGCACTGGAAATAAAGAAAAGAGATATTTTTTTATTTTTTTATTTATTTCAATTTTTGAATTAAGCGTTTTGTCAGTTTTTATAACATGTATTAACATCAATATAAGTCGCTCAGTTTTCAGTATTATTCTTTCTCTCTCTCTCTCTCTCTCTCTCTCTCTCTCTCTCTCTCAATCAAATATATCAAATTAAATGTGCCAACCAGTGCGCATTAAGTATATTTAATTAAATTCGCCATTAAAGATTTCTTTAGCTGTTGTTAAAAGAAAATATCTATGCAACATATGTGATATTTAAATAAGTTTCCTCTAATTTTAAATCTCTGAATAGAATTCAAGTAATATATGCAATGTTTGTAAAATTAACACAGTTTGTCGCAATGATAGACTGACATTTGAATTTTCTGTCTGCGCCGCATGTCAATCATCTGAATGATTAATATTGCAGACATAAATTAGAATATTTGCAGCGCATAACTTTATTTGCTCTTCGCTTGTTCGGATTAAGATTAACGTTAGAATCCAATCATAACAACGAGGAGATAAATATTTATGTTTATAGGAAGTAGCACATCTAAATTAAAACAATTAACGTGTATTAATATACCACTTGTTTTTTGATCTTCCATAATGTAATCTTCTTCGCTTTGGAAAAATTTACGTTGCAGCTTGAAAATAATGCCTATATTAGAGGAGAAAAATTTTACGATGATTGGTATCGCACAAATTCAATTTTATTCCAAGATTTCGACCAAACACATACGTTTTCATGCCCGCAAACTTCTCATACAAAATATTACCGTGAAGGAATATCGTTCCTCGAATTCATTGAAGTTGATTTACAAATACATCGAGACGGAGAAGGATTTCATCGATGTGTATTTTTCGCAATTATTAATAGCCGGAGAGACTTACGTTTTGGATGTAAAATATACGATCCCATTACATGAGGAACCGATGGGATTTTTTAGGAGTTCATACATCGACCGTGATACTAATGAAACCAGGTAGTAATTGACGCAAAGATGATATTAAATATTACTTTGTTACCTTTAATATTATCTGTCAATATCGACATTAATTTCTTCGTTTTATAATAAAACATTTAGTGCAATTTGTGTTTATGTATTATATATATTTTCATCTTGTAATATTCTTTTAGATGGATAGCAGTGTCGAATTTTTCCCCCAACTACGCTCGTACAGCCTATCCATGCTTCGACGAGCCGTGGATCAAGACGCCGTTTCACATTTCAATCGCCAGAAAATCCAACATGCGATCGCACTCGAATTCAATGAGAAATGTCACCGAAGAAATGTAAGAGATCCATTCAATTTTATAACATATCGCATTGTTAATCGCACATCCAACTACTGCAAAGACTTACATATATAATGTATTCGCGTTTAATTACACACAAAGATTGATTATATATATATATATATATATATATATATATATATATATAATATTCCAATTTAATTCAGTTTCTTCTCTTCAGTCGTGATATGCCAGGATATGTTTGGGACCATTATGAGAAGACGTTACCAATGTCCACTTACTTGGTCGCCTTCATGGTCACCGATTTCGTGAGTTACGAAATTGCTGTCACCGATCGACCGTCACATACGATATTTTTGAGAAAAGATGTCGCAAATAATATAAAATATATCGGCAATTTAATACCAAAATTGCTTCGTTTAATTCAGAATTTTACCGAATTTTATTACGAATTGGACAAATTGGATGCGATTGTGGTTCCCAGCTTTGCTTATTCCGCGATGGAAAATTGGGGCCTTATAACATTTCGGTAAACAAACTTGCAATAATTTTTTTATAAGAGGTATATTACCTAAGATTTTTCGTCTCAAACGTGATTCGACTTTTTCTTCAAAAAAATGGTTACATATTTATAAAATATATTTATTAAATATTAATTTTATAATATATTTATATTAATTATATTACATATTAATTATTAATTATTAATTATATTTATATTAATATTTATTAACTATTAATTTTATGTGTAATATTATAACAACATATTAATTAACAAAATTTTAAATATAGCTTTGGAACTATTGATATTGCTACATTGATATTTTTAGAGAAGATTCCATCCTCATACAAGAAGCTGACGGTATCGCTAACGTTAAAAAAGAATTTGCTAGCATCGCAGCGCACGAAGTCGCCCATCAATGGTTTGGTAATCTTGTAACACCGAAATGGTGGGATGACGTATGGTTGAAAGAAGGATTCGCCTCATTTTTCGGATATTTGGCATTAAGCGTGGTAAAATATACTTAAATTAATTTTTTAAATTAATGTTAACGTTTCCTTTATATTTTTCACGTAATAATTTTTCTGTTAGACTTCTAGTAATTTGATGTGATTGCTATTTTTTTACTTATTTGCTGATAATTTTTCACAATAGCTTATATTTATCGCGTTTTAATGGTTTACGAGAAGTAATTATTAATTTTTATAATTGCGCAATCATGGCGTTGTAGTATTTATTCAAGGATTATCCTGCGATTACCCCCCTTGATTTTTCAGCTTGAGCCTGCATCTTGGGATTTGCAGACCAGCTTCCTGATCGAATGCCGCGACATGTTTGACAGCGACGCCGATGAAACGGCACACCCATTGCATATTGATTTGAGCGAACTGAGCTCGCTCGCTGATGTCTTCGATTTAACGTCGTACGTCAAGGGTAATTGCATGGCGCACATGATCTATCATTTTCTGGGTGAACGGATCTTTCTGTCGGCTGTGCGCCGCTACATACGTACATATCGCAGCGCTAATCAAACGGATCTCTGGAGCGCTTTTCAGGGTGAGATCGATGAAGCGAACGGGCTACTGGCTTCCTCGGGGCTCCGCATGAAGGACATTATGCGAACTTGGACGTATCAGGCAGGCTTCCCTGTCTTGCACGTCCGACAGAATCGTGAAACCGGTGTGATCGAGTTTACGCAGGTGCGCCCCATGTTTATCGCAGATCGATCTACACAAGCGTGTTTCTTCATCTCTCTTCCTTGTATCGTCGACGACAAATTATTTATCGATGGAATGTGTTTACGACGATATTAATCATCGTTATTCCTTCAATGAAATGAGACAAAAATGACATTATGTGGCTTTACGAATAAATTATATAGGATGCTTCTGTGTATATTTTAATCTCTCGGCAGATCCTCCGAGATTAATCTGAAATTCGATTTTTTCTTACCGAAAATTCGATCGAGTTACACACTTAGTCACGATCTTTCAATATTTTGAATTAATTGATAATTGAATTTTGTATTGAAATTTTGTTGATATGAATTTCATTTGAAATTAAAATATTTATTTTAAATATTTTTTGATTAAAAGTTAAATTGCAAATGAAATTGTAATTTAAAAATATAATTGTGAATAAACAAATAATTTTTATATTAATTTGTTTGCATAGTCAATATTAATAATTTTTTCGTTTATCATTTATCTTTTTTTCATTATATATGTATAATTTAATGTATATAACTTAAACATTTAAAATTAATCATAATGATTTATAAGCATTATAGATAACTTTTTCAGGAAAATATCGTAACTTATAATCTCCATCATTATAATAGATAAATAGATGTAAAACACAACCGTGAAATATTTGCAGTGGACGTCGATAAAAATTGCTCAATTATGCGATGTTTGTGTTTCAGAATCGATTTTATCATTATGGCCTAAATAGTACCAGCAAAGAGTTATGGCATATCCCGTTGACATGGACAACCGAAAATGAACAGCAATTTGGTAATACCTTGCCGAAGGCATGGATGGTCAAGAAACACATGAAAATTAACGACACTGCTCTTAGCCAGGCGACTTTCAACAATCACTGGATTCTGTTCAATATCAATCAAACAGGTAATACTCTGTCGTAACATCCACCGTTCAATTAAGAAGATAATATCCAGAGCGATATTTTCACCGACAATGTTAATCAGTTTGAAAATACCCGAGTCATTTGATAAATTTACATACATATTTATTTCACACATAAAATGTTCCAGAGCTTTCGCAAATATTAGAAACTTAAATTAAAAATAATGCTATTCATTTAAGTGTCCAGGGATTAATAGTTCACAAACTATAACACAATATTTTTTAAATTTTATTACTTTCAAATTATTCAAGACACTTCTGTTAATAGTTTATCGTCCTTATATTTTATAGCTTTATATCGTGTCAACTACGATATAAAGAATTGGAAATTGTTAACGAAATCCTTCCGAGCTTTGCCGAAAGTAGCAAAAGTGCAAGTGCTGACCGACTCGTCTGCGATGGTTAATGCTGGACTGCTCAATAAAAGAATCATGTGGAGTATTCTTGAGAAACTGGAAACGGAAAGCGAAGAAATGTTGTGGACACCCGCGATGCCTTTATTGACTACCATCCAGAGCCGTCTTTGGGACTCGAGCATATTCGAAGTAATATCTGAGATCATCAATGTCGCACTCAATGTTTGTGCACTCAATATCCATATAATAAAAACAAACTTTCTTAATTATTAACAATGATTTTTCCGCGACAACAAAACACACGATATATCCATAAATAAACGAAATCGCTAATTTTTGCGATATTTGCGCTACGTTTGCAACTCATTTGCCAATTTTTCCACGATCATAAATGGCAAGGAAAAAATTTGAGCACACATTATGTTTTATTATTAATTTATACGGCCGCGGCGCGCGATAAGATATACGAGATAAAATCGATGCCGCCTCGCGCGATCTAAATTGTTCACTATGCAGTTCTGTCTTATGTCGTTATTACGCGCAGTTAAGGCTTAAGTATGGTATTATAAAGCGTATGATTATCCCTGAGACAGATATATAAGCGATCATCGGCCCATCGGCCATCGTTACGATTCGACGTTCTCAATTAGGTCGGAGGACTCAATCATTATTTGCACCGAAATACGAGGCACGTAACATTTAATTAAGCACTCGCGCCGACCAATGTTGCCGTAACAGTTTCCTTTTCACAGAAGCCATTATTGCAAAAATATACGAGAGGAAGGTCTCACTGCAAGTAAAGAGGCGGGCCCGCGCGCGATTTCTTTGGACACTCCGTGTCCGTAAGCCTAACGTGCCAAATTAAATAAATACGCCGCGGCGTATCTTCGCGTTTTAATCCACCCGGTTTATGGCTCGTAAATTCTGAATAAATGGAATTACTCTCTTACTCCTTGTGCGAATCAACTGCAGATCTCCATAATGTTGCGATAAATATCGCTGCCGCGATTACTTTGCCTTCCTTCTCGCAATTTCACAAGAACATTTTGATGTTTTGCAAAAAAGTGAAACGGAATCTTGAAACGAGAGAGTGACATTCGCTTAAACTGTAGCAGCAGTTTGTGGTTTTTTTTCTTTTATAAAGAAAATAAAATCCTGCAATATACAAAAAATGAAGGGAGAAGGAAAGAGAAAACATAGCTTCAAACTTATATCCAAAACAAATTTTTTTTTAAAATTACTTAAATTATTTTTAAATTACATAATAATTAATTATCTTTTTATGTTTACGCGGGTATAATTTTAGTTACACTATTTAGAATGTAATAGCTATCAATTGCATCTTGTTCATTCTCAATAATATATTTTAGCTTCAAAAATATTAATATAATTAACATTTTTAAAAATATTAATGTAATTATTTTTATTTTTAAAGTTTGTTTACTTTACATTGAAATTTTTCTGAACAGAAAGCACAAATTTAATCGTTTCTTCCAGTTGGTGATGTGCAAATTCATAGACAAGGTATACAGTAAAATGGAACCGTCGTTGGTTCATAAGGATCCTTTGTTGTGGACAGAATTCGAGGTCAATGTAATGAAATCGGCATGTTTGGTAGGTCATCGGGCATGTTTAAGGACAGCTCTCAATTTCACAGACAAAATGCTACAAAGCGAATCGTCAAACTCGTAAGTAGTTACAGTTGCAATTGCAAATATTGATACCTTATATTTAATGTCGGATACAGTTTGTTGTTTTTGCAATTTATTGTTTGTTATCGACGTGATATATTAATATTAAATGATAATCAGAAAATTCTTATTCAGTTTTAAATATATGATAGGAATATAAACATGTTTTAATAGTAAACACTATTCTGATGGAAGAAAAATCACTATTGAATTAGTGTTCCAGAGAAATTTCGTAGTTGGATGTATTGTACATTTATGAAAGTTGCCACGGATAAACAATGGCTAGAATTCTTGAAGAGATATAACGAATCAGCTGTATACGAAAAGGAAAGTCTTGCCTTTGCATTAGGATGTCACGTTAATCCGAATCTGTTGAAAAAGTAAGTTACATGTACAAAATAAAATTATTGGATTTTTATATAAAAATTATCCTAGTATATCTATTTTAAATATAATATTTAAATAAATGTTTTCTTAATTACAAGATATAATATATACAAGAGATTTAATATATGTATAATTCTTGCGAATCATAAATTATGTTAGCATAAATACTTTCAGATATTTGCCTATGATATTTTCACAAAAGAATACGCCTAAACTTGCTTTAGAAAATGCTCTAACATCCGTGGTATTAAATCCATATGGGTATCACGTTGCAATGGAATTTCTAATTGAACATTGGGATAAGTTTAATGCGAATGCAATAGAGAAACATAATAATTAGTAAGTTAAAAAATTTAAAAACACGCATGATAATGTCATCTATTTCAAATTTTTATCAACGATTGTAAATTTGTATTTCTTAAAATATTAATTTTTCTATACATTTTATATTCAAATTACAACTCTTTAATATTTAAAATATTTTCATTATTTTAATTCCAGCGCGAATGTTGTTCTGATCAATATATTCCATGTCTTTGCGAAACGTATTCATCAAGAAGAGGACGTAGAATGGGTAAGAAAATTGCGAGTGGTGAAACTTAATGAGGATCGGAAAGTGAATGATAGTGTTCCTCGAAAACGGATATGCATATCTCGTGGGTATGAAAAGTGCCGAATTATTATGTAATCATGGCGTTTTTTCTTTCCCAGCTACGACGACTAAAAGGCATGAGCAAGAAATACGACACTGTGATCGGACGGGTTATTAATAGAGCTCGAATCAATGTCGCGTGGTACGAAAAAGAAAAAAATGAGGTAACAGGTCTCTGATTATTCAGAAAGTGAAACGAAGTTCCATATCTGACAGTCAAACTTCACGCGATTCAAAATCTTCCCGTTTTTTAATTCATTTTCGTTGTTTCATCGGTTATTAAGAAGATTATTATTATTAATTGATGACATTTAAATGCATTCTGATGTATTTATCACTTATCATAATTTACATGACGAAGTAAGAAGGCACACGCATGATAAAAATCCTTCACAACTGTTTATGTTGTCAGTTTTAAAAGGAACAGAAAGTTTGTTTGCAAAGCGCTAACATTTGATTCTTAAATACATATATTTTCTTGCAGACATTAAAGATACTGAAGGAAATTTCTATGAGACACGCTGAAACGAAATATTGCAGGAAGCAGAATTAACTGTGTTAAAGATTCATGCCAGAATCAATGTCAGCTATATATATGTATATGCGATTATAAAAGATCAACAAAACAATCATAAATAATTTATGAAACATTTAATTGTGCAGATGTTAATGCCAAGACACCAAAAGAAACTATTTTCACTCTCGTATTAATGAAAATTATTAGTGAAAATATCTACTTTTTACTATTAATGATAATAATTACGAAATAAAGAATATCTATTTTTATAATATTATTAAATGCAAAAAGCTCTTACGGAATTGCTAGACTTTTTCTTGAAATACGAAAGATAAATTGATGATAAAAAAAATCAATAGTAATCAAAAATAATATACAGTATAAAAAAATGCATCAAATGTGCTAGGATTAAAGGACGCAGGACATTACACTTTCCCTTCGAAATCATCCCTCGAATATCAATGCGTTGAGCCAAGCTCGAATATAATTTATCTGTACAAAAAATAATCAGCTGCCAAGTTATCGGTAGAACATCGCGGATGAGCGGATATCGTCAGCATCCCCCGAGGAGAAGTTGCGAGAAGTTCTTGCCGCGAGAAGCGCCGGCGGAACCCCGCTCCTAATCGGGCAGTAACGAGCCGGGCTTTCGTGTGGTCGGAGGGAACGTTGCTAAGTAAGGGATTGATTCACGGGCAGTTATAATACCGCCAAACCGAAGGCCCTAATAGATTCAGGTCAATGCCACTACCGTTCTTCGAAGTCGTTTATTATGTGGGAAGAGCGGACCCCGTTCTCATGCCACACAGGTCGTCGGTAACCTGTGTGTGCAACGGACTCTCCACGGCGGTAGGATTCGCCAGGAACGCCAAAGTCGAAGGTCCCATCGAGAGAATCTCCCTCTATCTACATAGGGGGGGTTCTTCGTCCGCACGGTGTCTTCTTTTATTTCCACATATGCCTCTCTCGATGCGGTTCATTGGACAAAAATGAAACACGATTCTATTCATCTCTTCTCTTTTTCTATTCTTTTTTTTTAACTTTTGATCACGTTGCGACCGGGAGAAAACACATGCGCTAAACTTGAATAAAAATTACCAGCTTGATTTCACGTACTAAATTTTTCATTATTATAATAAATATTTTATTTTAATGCAGTATTTTTGGAGTCTTTTACACAATATAATATGTTCGTAAAAATGAAGTCGCTAATAGTAATTCATACCTTCTTTGTCGATTAAATTTGTAAAGTTTGCTGAGAGGGAAGTTGATTGGTAACTTTCTCACGCCTGAATGGTACCCTTTGAAAAAAAATCTCACGCCAAGTTGTTTTGACCAGCATAGTTATCCGAGTGGCGTTTAAGTTCATTTTTGAAGAATGTTTCTAGTAAAAGTCACGTATCGGTTTCTGAATTAATATATATGTACATTATATTCACACATGCGCACAAAAAAAAACGATACGAAAATATAGATGCTTTCGCACATGTATAAAATAAAAATATAAAATATAAAATAAAAATAAAATTAGCATGTAATTGTAATTCATATTAATTATAATTCCTATTAAATATTTTCAATTGTTAAAAACGCATGCTTGATGAACGAGTAAGTTTTTCTTCTTTGAATACACTTCTTCACGTTCTCAATACGCCATAAAAATTACTTTGTTTGATATTAAAATAATAAATGATAGAAATAAAAAAGAACCTTATACATTTTAATAAAATAATGAATAATGAAAGACTCTCTCAGAGTTTTGTTCGATTCACGGGTGTATGGTTAGAAGAAAGGAGCACGGTTAGATTAAAGAAAGAACCCTCTTCTCCCTCGAAAAGAAGGGTCAAAGAGCGCTACCGTGTCCTCAAATGCGACGGGGAAGAAAGGAAGAAAAAGGAAGAAAGGAAGGAATAGGAAGGAAGCTCTCCCGTCGTCGGTTCGGCGAACGCGCTCCCCGCGCGTGTACTCCTCGCTTGCGCGTGCGAGCCCCAGGACCCTTCCTGAAGTTAATGATTCGGTCATTGCAATGGGTGGCGGTGACGGTGGAGAGTGGTGGAAAGCAAGTGGTGTGGGCCCGGTGTAGAGTAGGAGAAAAGTGCGCCAGGAGGGCGAGAGAGCAAGGAGAGAAGGAGGATCGGTCTGCACAGGAAAGTAAGCCCGATCCCAGTTCGAACGCTTCGGCTCGGTCTTACGGGTTTAGTCTTGTTGCGGATTGTTGCCGTGGCTGAGTGGCTGGTCGGCGGAAATCCAGAGATAGATAACGTCCCACGCAATCACGTTATCAGTTGACTCGAGCGAGCCTGACAGTCTGGCGCCATGCACCGGCCGTGTTTCTAATAAGGACGACGACGACGCGTCGTTTGCGGTGAAACAAAAAGGGCCCTGTTCCTTCAAGGAAAGATCCTTGGCGCTTTTCCATTCATTTGGACAGAGATCCGCGATAGGATTCACGGTCGAGCACGTCGCTCCCGGAAAATCATATTGCGATCCGATGCCGCACGCCGGCAATCCAACGTCAGCTGTAGCCGCGAAGAGAAGGTGGAGGCAGCAACCGATCACCCTCAAAAGTACGTATGGGGATGTAGGATGTAGGGATGAATAAGAGATATCCACGATGACATTAACTGGTCAAGAAAGAATTGGAATGAAAATCCTAATCGCTTTATATACTTTATCGTCTATAATAGTAATTTTAGCATTGATATATTTTTTATACATATTTCACTTACATTATACTGTTGTAGATATATTAAGAAAAGTCTATATATATATGTAGTGGAACATTTAGAGATTAAAATTGTTGTTGATAAACAAAAGAAATACATTGCGCCATAATTAATATTCCTATTTAACTCTCTCGTTAAATGGTTATATGATTTTACTTTATGTTTTGATAAATATTTTTTAAATTTAGATCAGAAATTTTCAATTTTGATGATAGTTAATTTAAACGATAAATTTAATTCAAATAATAAATATTATAATAATTAATATAATAATTTGAGATTAATTTTAATTGCAACCCTTCAACAACCGCAGTCTTGAAAGATAAATAGCTTTTTAAAAGAAAAAATAAAAGCTACCTAAAAATTTTTTATGTATTCTTTCTCTTTCTCTCTCTCTCTCTTTTTTTCTTTCTTTTTCTAATATACATATGAGAGAAAAATTTTTAAAATAATGCATCATGATATGAAATAAGACATTTCGCGTATTCAAGTGAAAAAGCTAAAGTGGATTGACGAGAACCACTTACAGACTCCGGTCTTACCAAAGTACCGTTTAACTCAAAGCTTCCCAGAGTAGCACATTCGAACCCTTGAAGTATTCCCTTATTACTGAAAATCAAAGATTACGATCAAAGTGTCACTAAACACATTTAAAAAAATAATTAAATTATCAAATTAATTTAAAATTTATCAAAGAATCTTTTTCAAACGTTTAAGCAAGATTAAGCAAATATTTATTGTAATTTTGCAAAACTTCAAATTTATTTGGATAAGCATGTAAAAATTGAAAAAAATTTTAAATATAAACATATGTGAATTGTAGGATGTAGAAATATAAGTGATACAATTAGATACAAACCTTTTTCAAAACGAATCTTTTTTTAGAACATTTTAAAATAATGTAAAAATAAAAAGAGAGAAATATCAAACGATTAATTTTTTTAAATTAGTCTCACCTTTACCATGTAGCGTATAATATTTGCAAAGGCAAGGCTAATATCTCGGGGGTATCGAGTAATGTACGCATTCCAAAACACATAGCGTACTTTCTCGCGAAATACATTGAGATAAGCGTAATGAGCGAGAAGAACGTTGAGACAAGAATTATCGGTAAGATTAGAGACGTGGGATAAATCCAGCTGGTATTAAGGAATAAATACATGAGTCATAAATTTCCATTTCAATCGTTTGTACGAGATGCATTAACTAAAATAATAACAATAAAGAAAGAATTATACAGACAGAAAAAAATAAAGATAATTCAATCGAAGAAATCAGCTAAATGTTGTATGTCATTAACAATCACTCGATCACGCTGTTTTTTTACAATGTTGAGATTTTATAAGTATAAATTAATCAGAGAGAACTGTAAGAATTTAATTAGACAACCCTGCTACTCGATATCTTCACATTTTTACTGCTAAATATCAACTTAATTTTCAATTCAAGAGAAGAATGCATTTTGCATAAATAGAATTTAAAATTAGATTTATCATGATATATGAAGTATGCTATGCAGTTCGAGAATTATTTCTCTTTCTCCTATTTAATCATATTTGAATCTTTATTTGTTGTAGAAAAAATTAGTTCTATTAAATTAATCCTGTTTATATTTACGGTGTTACTTTGATTAGAATTAAATAATGAATTTTTGTCTTATCGAGGTTAAATTGATAGCATTATTATACTTTTCCAATGAGAAGTACAGTAATGTTAATAATCAGTGACAGTATATTCACGCGTTAAAATAAAGCACGAGTACCTGAACATACTTTCAAGAAGTCGACGTTAATCGATCGAAGTCAGATCATTAAACGTGCGAATTAATAGTCGACAAAAAATTAAGGGGTCGTCATGTCTCCGTGACGTTCGGTTGTCGCTGGTAACCGGCAACTCTTTCTCGACCACTCTCTCAGGACGAGCATGTCCTTCTCGGTGAGAGAAGGCATTGAAGTCACCGACAAACGTGATTCTCTTTGACGACCGATGTCGTAACACGAATCGATCGTGTATTAATATTTAGTTGATGTATTGTAATTATAAATTTGGAAAATTGAATAAAATTGCTGTAGATATATAACTATGTTATAAATATATAAAGACTTTATAAATATATCAAAAAATTATACATAATTATTATATATAACAAATGCAAGTTTAAATTTTTTTAATACAATATTTCGTTTATAATAGTAGGATAGCATGAATGATGATTTAATAAAAATATAATTAATAAAAAAGATGATTAATTTTCTCGTTTGAATAAAATAATCATTAAAATGTAAAATAATCATTAATAATCATTGTTTAATAATATGAGAAACTCACATTTTCTTCGCGTATCCCTCTTTTCTCATTAGCGATATCCGCGCAAAGAAATCGATTCACAAATCTTATTCCTTACTTGTTTTCTCGTTTATTCATACGGACATGATCGATG